AAGTCAGAGCTGATCCACTTCAACAAAGGCCGAAAACAGTGGTCCGAACCACTACAACTAGCCAAACCCGGCCACCCTTATGACTATACTATAGTTAAACCAACGGCTTCAGCCCGGTTCCTAGGGGTCTGGCTTGACTGGAGGCTTTCTTGGAAGGCCCACGGAGCTAGCATAGCTACCAAGCTAAGAACCCAAGACTTTGCTCTATCAAGGATAGCAGCCAAGACCTGGGGCCCGGGGCTAATCAGGGCCAGAGAGGTCTACACTAAGTGCATTCGCAGTGCAATAGCCTATGGGGCATCCAGCTTCCACAAGCCTACAACACTCAACGGCTCACCACAAGGCCTAGCTAGAGACCTAGCAAAGGCCCAGAACCGAAGCCTACGCATCGTAGCCGGAGCCTATAAGGCTACCTCTATACGGAATCTCGAGACGGAAACTTGGATCCCTCCCCTAGACCTTTATCTTAACAAGAGGCTGGCCGACTTCGAAGACCAACTCAACAAGCCTACCCTACAGGCCGGGCTAGGCCCAGAGGCCCCGAGGCGCCGACCAAAGGAAATCATCCAAGGGGCCTGCAATAGGCTCCAACGAAGGTTCCGGTCGCTACGGCGCCGGCCCTGGAGCCTAGAAAAGCCAACAGATGCTGAAAAGGCCTCGGCTACAGTGGCCGAATGGAATACCCAAGCTAAGGCCTTGGGCCCACCATTGGCTAAGACCCAGGAAGACTGGGCACTATTAAGAGCCTGGGAAGCTAGGTGGAATACCCAAGTCCAAGGACAGCCAACTAGGCTAGCCGACGAAGGCCTACCAACAGTCCTCTTCACGAACCAGAGCCTATAGAAACACCAAGGCCTTACAAAGGCTAAGAGCTCCCTACTAGTACAGGCTCGTACAGGGGCTATAGGCCTACGGGACTTCCTTTTCAAACAAAAGGCCTGTAACCAGCCTACCCCCTATTGCGAATGCGGGGAAGCCAGAGAGACAGTAGAGCATCTTGTGATTTGGTGCTCTATACCACCTATACCAAGAACTTGTCCTAGGCAACTAATACGCACCCACCGGGACCTTAGCCTTGTTCTACAGGGCCTAGGCTACCGGAACCGAAGACTTCTGAAGAAGGTACTGGGTTGGCTAATGGACTCGGGCCGGCTAGGGGAATATAGGCTCGCTCGGAACCTCGATGAGGAACTGGAAGCTAGAGAGCCCGGCTAGCCACACCCGTGGCCACGGCTTAGCCGGGCTAGCACACTACTAGCCGTTGGCCCAAGGCCTTCCCAAGGCCTTTTTCCTTACTTGCAGCAGCGTGTATCACTGAAACCATGTCTTTCCTATTACTTCCGACGAAGGTTTTTACCCGGCCTGAATGGTACGGTTTTTCCTTTGTACATAGCAGTAGAGGGTCCGGCGCGCCTTGTAAATAGCTAGGCATAGCGGAGTAGGAGAATATATATATATATTAAGGGTTTCGATAACCTGCTATATCTGTTGCATGGTCGCAGTCTGGCCCTGGGATCCTAGGGTGCTAGATGTCTAAGGCGCTATAATAGTCGATATTACCTTCGATCTAAACCGTAATAGAGTCAAAGGGAGTAAGCAATGTATGACGAAACCACAGGCAGTCCTGCCTCTGAAAGGGTTCGCCGGTCGAAGGTACTGCTGGTCGGACTGTAGGTCTCGGTGAAGCCAAAAGGTTTATAATAATGCTAGCCGCAATGTCTGCACAATAGGTAGAGGCTATTGCTTGTATTGCTTACTGGAGAACTCCTAGAGTCCTCTAGAACGAGTGACTATATACTGGCTATCTTTGGGTGCTCTTATATGCTCTATAGAGCTCCCTAGAGCTCGGTGCTCTGTTGACTCCATCGAGAGCTGTCATTTCCTCGCGTTGATTGGCTTAGCTCCTGAAGCTCTCGTCTGCTCTCTAGAGCACCTTAGAGCTCCTTCTTATTGGTCCTAAATGATTGGTTCCGGTGCGCCCTGCGCCACTCGTCGGGTTGTCCCACCTGCACCTGTCCTGTTGGCTTAATTCGTGACATCTTAGCAGCGTAGTACCACCTTACCAACTGGTATATAGAATGCAACCTCCCTGCTGACTGGCGCATTACAACCACCGAGAATGGCTGGACTACCAATATAGTAGGCCTTGATTGGATCAAGCACTTCGACTACCATACAGCGCCTCGGACAAAGGGCAAATACCAGTTATTGATCCTCGATGGCTATAAAAGCCACGACTCAACCGAGTTCGAGCTCTACTGCCAGCAGAACAACATTATCACGCTCTATATACCTCCATATTCCTCCTATATCCTCCAGCCACTTGATGTTAGCTGCTTTAGGCCGTTGAAGCAGGCGTACGGTCGCCAGATCAAGGACTTAATACGCGCGTATATCAACCACATAAGCAAGCTCGAGTTCCTTTATACCTTTCGCGCGGCCTTCTTTGCCTCTATCACCAAGAGGAATATATAGGGCGGTTTTGCAGGGGCTGGCCTTATACCGTACGATCCAGAGAGGGTACTTTCAAAGCTAGATATCAAGCTTCGTACACCAACACCCCCAACCTCACGGCCGGGCACTGTACAATCTTAGATCTTCCAGACACCACACAACCCCCGAGAAGCCAACTCACAGTCAACGCTCATCAAGACTCGCATTGCCACCCACCAAAATAGCTCCCCGACTTCGATGTTGGCTGCTGTGGACCAGCTGACAAAGAGTACAATGGCTGTAATGCACCAGGTGGCTCTCCTGCAGGCAGAGAATGCTTCGCTCCGCAAGGCCAACGAGGCACTAAGCAAGCACCGAAGAGCCAAAAGAACGCGTATATAGCTTGGAGGATCACTTGCAGTAGAAGATGCAAAGGATCTACTAGACCAAAAGGCTGTGGTTGGGGAGGTGGCATAAGAAATGCAGCCGGATGGTGGTGGTGCAGGGGGGGCTCGTACGAAGGTTCGGTGCTGTGGTGTATGCGGCAAGCCTGGTCATAATGCCGCACTTGTCAGGAGGTTGCAGAAGCATCTGATTCAGCCGTTTCTGATGTAATTGTAGTTGGTTGATAGTTCTGTTGTTTTGTAATTGAGGATAATGTGTGTAGGGTAGTGGAGAGTGGGTCATTCGCTTGTCTGGGTCACTCGCTTATCATGTACGATAGCACTCTAGATACTATAGCTAGCAATTATTTAGAATTAGAACCGAGCAAGAGAGGATGGTTATAATGGCTTCTTCTCTTATAACTATTAATTACTTGCCCTTCTGTAGCCCCTGGAATCTAGCAACTAAATCCTCCCAGGTAACCTCCGTCGGCAAGCTACTCCTCTCTAATATCCACTGTCCCTCGGCATGCTTCGCCCTAGCTACTAGCTCCCTCGTCCTGCCATGGACTGCCGTCCGAATGCTTTTTGCAATCCCGGCGGTGGGATAAGCAAACAGGCCAAACATACCAGCGCCGCTTTTCGCGACAAGACTGACCGCTCCCTTGCCGACGCCCTTGACGGCGCCCACCGCGCCGCCCCCGTTGCTGGCGCCGCGGATAGGCTCCATGACCAGATCGCTCAGGCCGTCGACAAATCCCCACGCAAACGTCTGGCCAGCGACCGCTGCGCCGCTCTTCGCGTCGGTGACTGGGCCATGGTGCCGGGTCTTGGTTCCCAAGTGCTGCGGCACGGCCTTCAGGCCCTCTGTGATGGCCAACGGGAAGTCGACAAGCATCCCCTTAGCGGCGATCGGCCCGATCATGCCAATGCTCTTGACCGACGCCAACGCGGCCGTGCCGGCTATGGACCGTTGTTTTGGCTTTCCGAGGTCGTCAGCGGAACCGGACACGGAGGTCTGGGAGGGGCTGGTGAGGCTGGAGCTACGGCTTCTCGGGGGGGGCTCATGGCGACTATTTTGTGTGGACTGATCCTTCTTTCGCTGTCGCTCGCGGCGCCGTTGTTCGTGTCGATACTCGTCCACCGGCTTGGTCACCATGCCGGTGATGGAGTCGGTCATGTCGACTGCCGTCGCCATGACGGCGGAGGCGCCGCCGGATATCGGGTCCCACCGGGTCACTTGAATGGACAGTGGTTTCGTGCGGTAGCTGGAAGCTTGAATGTCAGCGATGGTTGAATATTTAGAGGTTCTAATGTGATCTTACAGCTCTAGACGTTTCGGGTTGACGGCTTTGCGAGACAAGAGCTCTTCTACTGCCATTTTGGATATCTTGACGGGCTTCTTTCCCTTACTGTAAACCCATGCTGCAGGCTGGCTCGGCAGCAAGTCACATCGCAAACGCTGTGCAATAGGCAACTGACGGAGCCATGACTGCGCAGCGGTTCGGACGCCCTGCTCCGACTTCATCTGCTGGCCGATATACTGGGCTGCCGACTTTGCTTGGGAAGTCAGACAGTATGCGATGCCATCGGCCAGCTTCTGCGCGGTGAGTTGCCTGAAGGGAACCGGCTTCGGACCCGCACCGGAGTTGGCGACCATCTCTCCCCAGAAGGGTTGGCTGTATCAAGTCAGAGGGGCCTAGGGCTTCTACATCAACGTGAGGACTTACTCCCCAAAAAAGGGTACGATCATGGTAGGTACTCCGTTTCCCAGGCCGCAGGCTGTGGTGCCCGCGCCACCATGGTGGACAACGGCTGCGACATGAGTGAAGAGCCACTCGTGAGGGCAGTCTCCGATCCAGTATACGTGTTCGCTCACCGGCCCCGCCAAGTGGCTCCATCCCTTGGAGATGATGGCCCGAACGCCTGCTACTTTGATAGCATCCAGAATGATTTGAATGGCGCCTTGGGGGTCGTCAAGCACGATGCTTCCGAATCCAATATAGACAGGCTTCGGGCCAGCAGAAAGAAAACACGTGAGATCTTCAGGAGGCGAGTACGAGGGTGGGTTGCGGAAGAAGAACCCACAGACATCTGTGAGTACAGGTGTTAGCTGTTACGGCCGCAACCAGATCCTCAGTGTTCGGTTAAGCTCTTACCAATATGAGCGCCCCAATCCGCGGGCTTGGGAACGAGGGCAGGGGACCAGCAGTATGTGTGAGGGATGAGAAGCCTCTCTGTCAGCAACGGGCCGTCAAACATGGCCACGTTCTCCAGACCGAGTGACCGCCGCCATTTGTTGATGATAGGGCCTAAGCTATATAGTGGACATGATTATTAGTCCACGTTCGTCCAACGTCGTCAAGGAGCTCAAGCCTACCCCTGCCATGTCAGATGCTCGACTATTGCATAAGACGCGTAGTTGGCCATCGGCTGATTGCCCCTGCTGTTGTTGAGATTCGCCAGTGGGTGCGGAAATGCGCTTGTGCTTGTCCAGGGCATGGTGAACATGATGTGTACCGGGATTCCGAGGGCCTCGGCGCAGTGTACATGTGCAAAGGCAGGCGGGTTGGCGATAATGGCGTCGGCCACGAACGGTGCTCCGGTGATGGTGTCTGGGCGGAAACAAGAAGCCCAAAACCCTTCGAGCATCTCCTCCACCATGTCACGTTTTTGCTGGATCTCACCTGCATGCAGACTCTGGAAGCTTGGGATGAGGCCGGGGTTCTTAACCATGTACGCCATCAGTGCGGCGGGATCGCCGCCGACCGAATAGAACTCGAGACCAGAATCCCGGACAAAGTTCTCGAACACATCGTGAGTAGCGAGACGGACTCGGAAACCCAGCCTCTGAATCTCGTTTCCAAGGGCAACGAAAGGTTGGACATCCCCTCGGCTGCCAACGACTTGAATCACGACGTTGAGCCTTGGATGCTCCGGTCGATGTCCAGTGGCTTCCTCGTATGGTGGAGGTGCAGGCTCATATTCCGGCTCGGGTTCCTCGACGGTCTGTTCCATTTCAAGCCCTGTTTTCTGCCTGTACATGAGGCTGAGGGCTCTTGCAAGTTTGGACTCGCAATCAATTTCGACCCGCCCATCGCCTGCTCAACACATGTGTTTGTTTGGTAAGCTGATTCACTTCAAGGGGTCACTACGAGCGCTCGCTGCAAGACCTACCGCCAACTGTCACGCTACTTCCCATGAGCTCGTAGACATAACTGTCCTGTTGACATAGGTCGACGCCATCTCCTCCCTTTTCGGAGCGCGTCTCAGAACTGTCATCGGCGGCCCAGGAGGGCATGCCCGCTACAGGAACCTCGACGGGTTCAGCTGGCAACTCGTACTGGACGCTCTCACCGGGCAGCTCGTATCGTATGGTGCGCCGCTTGTCTGCCATGGCGGCAGTAAATCATTCGAGGAAGAGAAGACGTACTCTTGTCGGTCAAAAGGGCAGATGGGACGAGTTAGACGCGATTCGATGCACTGCGTCGAAAGCAGATGGTAATCTAAGGTAGTGTAGGGACGAAAGTGATTGCAAGAAGAGAAAGGATGCGAGAGATAAAGATATGAAGACTAGTCCAGCAAACGACTGACTTCTAGGTCCTAGGGAGTTTTCGGTAGGGACATACCTACACGAACCTGCCACAAGTCAGAGTGACAATCATGGAGTGCCCTGGACATGTTTCATACATGCGGCTATACAGCTCCACTGCTGAAAAGTTCTGAGAGATAATTACATTTCGTCAATTCCTCGTGCTCGGTCACATCTCGTTGGGTCCCTTAACCTGTAACTTGTCTCCCCGGGCGATCATCTAGTGTCGAGCAGATTCCATGTGTTAAGAAGAACGGCTGAAGTGTACGCAATGGCCGGAGTACCGATCCGTAATCCGTGAAGTGCCGACAGGCATCTAAGGTACCTTAGTGGGGCCTTCGTTCATATGCGATCCACACCTCGCTCACGATTCATACCATAAAATCTCGTTTGTGGTGCGAAGCTGAACGAACTCTAAACGAACCTTGCCCTCACACTAAGCCTCAAATTCTGGCTCCATCCATCTCCGCATATCAGCCTGATTCATTCATTCGGCTTTCTGGCCCGCTGTTTTGGTTTCGCATGCAATATGCCATGTTCGCCGGACACGGATCCGTTGGCTTGACCATGGCCAAGAAATGCATACTGCATAGCCTCGGGTTCGCAGAACCGACGACGGGATGGACCGCACTGCCCCTGAATATAATGAGAAATAGTCGGGTAGAGTGGCAGCATGCTTTAAACATTCTGGTCAATTAATCCACCCCCAAGAAGCATGGCGACTACCTGGTATACTTGCGCTAGACAGCAAGTCATCCGCAATAGATACGCGTAATGCGGGTTGCCCGTCATCCAAGATTCTCGGTATTTGTTTCTTGATCTTCCTTTTTACACTCGCTCGTTGGCCTTGAACTGCACAGTGATCCCGCTCCTGTCGACTCATCCCATCAACCCCTTCGCGCCACGTCCGCCAGGCCCGTCGCCTCGTTACCGCACCAATGTACCTCCCTATCAGAGAAGATGCTGCCGCCCCGCCGGTAAACCCTTTCAAGCTTTACCACTATGACCCTAGCATCGCGGGCGCCGTCGTCGTGCTTCTACTGTTTCTCGGCACCACGGCCCTGCATTTCTGGCAGCTGTTTCGGGCCCGATGTTGGTTCATGCTGCCGTTGGCTATTGGCGGTATCTGTAGGGAACCCACCTTCCATCCTGAGGACACCGATCACGACCCAAAGACATGCTAACCAATTAACTCATTGCAGTCGAGTTCGTCGGGTACGCCGCTCGTGCGAAGTCGGGCGCCGAAAGCCCCAACTGGACGCTGGGTCCATACATCATCCAGGCGATTCTGCTTCTTGTCGCACCGGCGCTGTTCGCTGCCACCATCTACATGCAGCTCGGCCGGATCATACTGCTCTTGCATGGCGAGTCCCGGGCATTGATCAAGAAGAAGTGGTTGACCAAGATATTTGTCACTGGGGATGTGCTGTCATTCTTTTTGCAAGCAGGGGGTGAGTACATATTGTATAAATCCATCGGCAAGAACCGCGCTAATCATGTGTCTTGACAGGCGGCGGATATCAGGCCACTGGGTATGGAAAAGCACCGACGGATATGCCTTAATAAGCTCGGGAATGTTGCAGCTGACAGTGTTGGCAGGACTCTTGAAGCCCTTAACAACGGAGCAACTGTCATCATCGTGGGCCTGTTTGTGCAGCTCGTCTTCTTCGGCGTCTTCATGGTCGTCGCCGTGGCCTTTATCCTCTCCATCCGGCGGGCGCCAACCTCCCAGTCACAGACGCACTCGTCGATCTGGCGGCGCCAGATGTTTGCCCTATGCGTGGGAAGTATGCTCATTATGGTCCGCTCAGTATTCCGCGCCATTGAGTATCTGCAAGGCTTCGACGGATACCTTCTCAGCCACGAGGCGTACCTCTACGTCTTCGATGCGGTGCTTATGTTCCTGGTTATGGTGCTCTTCAACTACATTCATCCATCCGAAGTGGCAGAGCTCCTTGTCCGGGAAGATCGGGAGTGGTATGTCAAACTCGCTCTCTTTTTATCCCTTTTCAACCGTCTCGGAAGCCGCTGAAGTCTTCTTTTAACGCAAGCGACAGCGCTCTTACTCCTGAATTGCCTCCGATCCCGGCCCGCTCAGCATAAAATGGCTAACCTTGTTGGACAGGAAGATGGGAATCCTCCCTGACAACCGCTACGATACGCGCCTGGATTCCGATTCTTGATGAGCGAAGTTACCTATCCTTTGTAACAGGCTGGGGGGCGGATTTTAGGCAGAGCCTGGCATGTATGGAAGTATGTCGGTTGGGATCTTCTAGAAGGGGCACGGCGTTTTTTGGAGATTGGCTGGGATCAGAAAGTTTACCTTGTCTATCAGTATTTTGGGTTATCCCATTGCTTTTCTCTCTCTCTTGTTCTTTCTTGACTATGAACCTTCGTTCAAATCAGTCAAGCCCAACATACTCGATTGGCCAGGAGATCCATGGCCTCCAATAAGACCCAAGCAGGTGGGCAACAACTTCTACAATCTCCTTTCCTAAGCCTTCCATAAACCAGTGATCTCGGATGCCGTGCAGTAGGGCACCGAAGTAAGCAAACAAGACCAGTGCGGGAGGCTGTCTCTGGTGTAGCAAGGTAAAATAGGACTGGGGCGCAAAGTGAATGAACATCAGGGGCCCAGACCATGCGCGGTTGTAGCCCCATTCGGCCAAAGTGGCTGCATCCATCGTTTCAAACTGCTGGATAAACATTCGACATTTACGGAGGATCCGAAGGGCTTGGTCGTATGTCTCTGCATCGTTGCTGTTCTTCCACGTCTCTCGCGTGCAGCAAAGATAGCCATCGGGGCCCTGGTACGCGGCGGCCGGGCCTGGCTCCAGATCGTCCCAGTTCCCTAAGCTCAAGATGCGCTTCATGCGACCAAACAGCAGGTAGTTGAAGGTCGGGTGCAGCACCGCTTCGATGCCGCGGATCATGGGAATCCATTCGATGCCGAGAACCAAGTCCTTGTGCGAATGGCGGGCAAGGCTGCAGTCGGTGTCCACGCCGCGTCGCCTAGACACACCGAACACGTAAATCATGTTTAACAGAGACCAGACAAACAGGGCCTCGCTGTTCGCCTCGGTGATGCTGGCCAGCGACTGGCGGAAGCCTCGGAGCCCCTCGTTGTGATGCTCGGCAGCCCTGGCGACATATGGGCCATCTCCCGTCCCATGGCTGTGCACGAGATGAAGGGCAGCCACGCTCAGGATGGCGTGGAACACGAAAGGATGTCGCAATCCTACCTCTGGAAACAGGCGTTGCCAGATGTCAGCGCAGCTGGGCTCGCGGCAGATGCTGAGGCTAGTGGACCATGTCCACTGGTGAAGAAGAACCAGGTCGTCGATGATGAAGGCGCATGCTGTGGGGCAACATGGCCCATCTGAAAGGGCCGAGATCTCCTGGGGAGGACGGACAGGCGATCCATGCGGTGCCAAGGACGAAAGGGGTGGAGATGGCCCATTTGGTAGCGGCGATGCCAGAGTATCAGGCGCCAGCGGCAGTTCTAGGGACACATCCGTCGCGACATCCTTGATAATTCGGTATTCTGTTGTATATTTGCATGGGACCGCACGGCGCACGCAGGCCCGGCAACTCGGCTTTTGCTCATCGCACTTGGCAACATCAGCATAGCGCTGGGAGTATCGATATTCTCAAAGTCACCTTGACGCGCCGTCGGCGGCACTCGGTGCAGCCGGTCTTTGTCTTCCGATGGGGACGGCGTCGCTGGGGCCCATGTAGGCCGCGAGAGATTGCTTCAGGCGACTGGGAAGCTGTGGATCCATTCATTTTGGATTGTCCAGGCGTTTTGCAGAAAGCGTTCGGCGAATCAATGCGAAGCGGCCTTTCGAAGAACGAGATGCGTTTAGGGTGACACAAACGAGAAACGAACAAAATGGCAAAATGAGTTCGGGAACATCTGGAAACTTAAACGAGACAGCGCCTGTCCACACTTTTTACAGGCTAGCGGAACTTGCCGGGCGGACAGAGTAGAGCTTATTAGTTCTACGTGGGGCAATAACTTTAGGCACGAGTCAGGGGTTACGGCACCTGCATAGATTCTCGCGAAACTAGCTCGCCTAGCCTTGCTGCTCGTTTAAGGGTGCCAGGGCATATATACAAGTATCCGTATCGAGGGAAGCGTCTTCTGACTCGGGCACCCCTGGTTTCTACTAAGCACCTCCAGTCTCTTGAGTTTATAACTCTATCGGGCCTGTTTACATAGTACCTATAATGCCAGAACATGCCATCCTAGCGACTCCATCCGTTTACTCTTATAGCCACTAATAGGCTGGAGCTCTAAGGACATTATGGTCCTGGAACAGCAGAGCCCGCCGAGAATATGTCCGAATGTCTATATCCGATACGACATCAGGCGACCGATCATCCTGTTTTCCGGCTACTAAAGCAGCAAGACAGTAGCATATCGACGCAACTCATTACTAAATATGGGGATGCCATATCCTTTTATTGGTGTGCCAAGCCCTCTGGAACGACATGGTCAACGTCACCAAACATCTCGCTACGTTGGCGATACTCCTGGCCACCGCCGCCCTCGCCGATGGAGCCGAACATTTTAAGACGCTGCTAGTGTTTCCCACCCGTGAGTAGTCACCTATAGAGTTCTACCGCTTAAAGGCTCGGATGTTGACAGATAAATCGGCCGAGAGTAACGGATATGGCTAGGTAGGGGCATACCGGAAGGCCCAGGAGGCTGTAACTCGTCTCAACCTGACGCAGAAAGTCGCCTTGACGACAGGCTACGTACATGGCCTATCGGCTATCCTGCAATGGAAACATCCGCCCAATCCCGGAGATCGGATTCCAGGGGTTATGTCTGGCTGACGGCCCAGTGTCCGGTGAGTGTCATTTGTTTATGGTTCTATCAAGATGAGTTTTGATGCTAATGCTTAGCCTAGTAAGGATTGCCGATTTGGCTACCGTCTTCCCGGCCGGTTTGACTGCGGCCGTATATAGGAAATAGGCGTGCAGGCATCCGCTAAGCATTATATCGGCAATGAGCAAGAGATGCAGCGATCCAACACCTCCACCAAGGACGGCCACGAGGTCGCCGTCATTTCTTCCAACATTGGCGACCGAACCATGCACGAGCATTATATGTGGGATCCATAGTCTCTAGGGGTGGCCATTACCCGTCCTGATATTTGCCGTCACATTCTAGTTAGGGAGATCCTATTAACGGGGGTTATTAAGGGTCGCTTTGATACGGTATAGTGTCTATCTATACGCGGAGAATCACTTTGCGCAATACCTTCCTGATTGACCTAAGCTTAATGTAGATGGACAAGGATAGTTCTCGGTGTCTGCTCTCGATATAAAGACGTGCCTGGGTAGTGCCATCAACGAGACTTGCGATAGCATATTCTTTACATCATGTTGAACGCAGCTGAGGTATCATTTTCATTAGCTAGTCTTGTCTAATCGTTGTAGCCGCCACACTCCCAGGCTCGCTTATCCTTTGTACAATACATACGCGTTGCCGCCCGCTCTATTGCCCGTCGACCCCGTTATATAGCATGGCTGACCAGCTGCGACTCAAACTGCAGGCTGAACGGATAATCTATGTACCCTTTGGCCAGCTTGGGCGTGTAAAACACGCTGCGATCGTGCTTTACCAGCTCGATAGCCTTCTTAATGCGGAATACGAGGTCAGGGTTCGAGATGAAGGCCCGCCCAAAAGCAATGACGACGTCGTACCCGGCATATATCTGGTCGACTGCCTTCCTCGCGCTCTCGGGCGTGAAGCCGCCAGCAAGCAGCACGGGACTGGCATTTTCCCACAGTCTGACTAGCCAGTCGACGCTCCGCTGGCCTCCACACGCTGACTCGATGTTTCCGCTAATGCGTGCCTCGATCAGATGTAGATATCCCAGGCCCAACGGACGCAGCTGACTCACGAGATAACGAAAGGTCGGGTCCGGATCATCCATCAACATGCCGCCAAAGTCACTGTAAGGGCTTAAGCGGATACCGGTTCGACTAGCACCGATCGCGGCAGCTACCGCCTTGACGACCTCAATGGGGAAACGCGCCCGATTCTCGACGGAACCGCCCCACGCATCCGTGCGTTTGTTGCATGTGTCTTGCAGAAACTGGTCCGGCAAGTACCCGTTGGCGCTATGGACCTCGACGCCGTCGAACCCCGCGGCAATCGCGTTCCTGGCGGCTGCGGCATATTGGGCGACCGTGTCCCAGATCTCGTTCTCGGACATCTCCTCGGGTACTTGTGAATTGGGACCGATGGGTACGGCACTGGATGATACCGTCCTAGTGATGACCTCGGGCGTGCTTTGCGTGGCGGCTGGGCCACTGTATCTCTCGCTCCCAGCACGGCCCGGATGCCACAGCTGACACCAGATGAAGCATCCCTTGGCGTGGACGGCGTCGGTGATATTGCGCCAGGCCTCAACCTGTTCCGTGGACCAGATTCCGGGGGCGTTGGTGGTACCGCCCGAGGCAGCAGCCGAGGGAAACATCCCTTCAGACAGAATGAGCGTTCCAGGGACGCTAGCTCGCTGCTCATAGTACTCTGGACCCCTGGTTAGCCGGACGTTAAATGGAGACAGCGCGGTTGAGGTTCTTCTAAGTACCTTTTACCATCGGCAGCAGCGGGAGCCAATTGTCGTCGCTTCGAAAACGAGTCAACGGCGCCATGGCGACGCGATGGCCCAGCTGGGCTTCACCGACTTTGAGTGGTTTGAAAAGGGTGGACATGGTGAGGACTCCTTAACCACTACGACTGGTACCGTGGGAAGAACTTGTTGATGAGGAATGCGATGCTTGAAGTTCATCTTTGCCACACACGCTGGTATTTGTAGTTTCGCTTCCACCCCTACCTGTACAACGTAACACCACCTTTTTCAAATCCGAGCTTCGGATGCTTCGCCAGATAGTACGCTTGGCTGCTTACGTATCACTGTATCACGCTCCAGGGAGCACAGAGAGCATAGTATCACTGATTGGGTATTACTAATCTATACGGATTACTGATCTATGCGTATTAGTGATCTACACTGCATTTGTCAAGCGGAGAATCGTTTCCAACGCAAGCCATAAGAGTGACCAAACGTGAAACCATGAATGGGTGGGTGATAGGGAAGCCAGTCCTGTCTGGCTGCCACTCTGGCGGCGGTGGGGTGTGTTCTCAAGCGCCAAAACAAACTCAGTTTCTGAGAATTTAGGATCAAATTCTTTATCCAGAACTAGGATGTGAAACATATCGTTGCAATCTAGCGAACAAGAAAAGAAAGAAGACGACAAAATCGCAGGGCGTCACCACAAGTCGTAGCAGACTGGTCCCTTCATGTACTATCCAGCGGGGACTCCGCATCCTTCCAGCTTGGTTTCACTTCTCTCACCGAGTGACTAGGACGACACAATAGCTCAGCCAAGAAAGTCGCCCACAACCTGGCCCAGCCTTTTCATGGTCGGGCCAGGATCCATAAGACTGAAATGATTGACGTCGTCCAGCACACGTATTGTCAGCCTGTCCCGTCCAAGCAAGCTGGCCCAGCCGTCGGCCGAAAAGTCCGTCCTGTTATTCAGCAGCCACAGCATCTCGCGGGGGTCGTCAGGGCGCATCTCGGGCCGCGGACCGTTGGGGTCTTTGCACACTCCGTCGCGCGCATACACAATCAGGGTGGGCGGCGCGTCGGCAAGCGGGGTTGGCTCGTACTTGTCAAGGATGTTGATGAAGGCGCTGAAGTGTGCGCGCAGCCAGTCGGGCATCTTGTTGCGACCGCCGCCGAAGAGGCCGATCGAGTCGAAGAAGTCGTACATGCGCTGCGGCGGGTTCTGCAGCCCGATCGGGTTCGGCGAGTCGAGCAGAACCAGCTTGTCCACGCTCTGGCGCGAGCCGCGCAACTGCCGCGCCGCCTCGACCGCGATGATCCCTCCCGCTGACCAGCCGCCGATGGCGACGGGGATGTGTTGGTTGCGCTGAGCCAGGAGCCGCTGGATTTCGGCGACATATTTGGCTGCAAGCATGGCCATGTCGACGCCGAGGCGTGTCATCTCCTCCGCTGTCTTCCGCCAGGGGCAGTTCAGGCCGTACACGGCGACGGTGTCGGTAATGCAGGGGCCCAGGGCGGCATAGGACGTGGCAGAGCCGGAGCCGTCGGGAAGCCAAAATAGGAGAGAAGCTGCGGTGCGTGCATTCCCCGACAACAAGACGGAAGTCGCATGTGGAGGGGAGGACAAAATGGACTCCATTTGCAGGCTTCCGCTGGTCTCCTCCGACAGACCCAGCACGCTCGTAAGCGCCCGCTCAACCTCTTGAAGTGTTTCATTCTCCATGAACAAGGTGGAGGGCACCGCGTCACCGAGAAGGTCTCGGAGTTGGGCGGTGATGGTCAATGCTAGCAGCGAATCCACGCCGATGTCGCCGAGGCAGGTGGAGGGGGCTAGTTCATGGAGAGGCACACCCGTTTCGTCTGTGATGGTCTGCCGGAGAACTAAAAGCGTCGCTTCTCGGCTGTCCGAGTCCACCTTCCCAGAGTTAACGGAACCGTCTTCCCGAGGCGTGGGAGCGGTGATGTGCGTTTCATCGCTAGTGCGACTGCTGACGCTCCGAGAACGGGTTCGGGAATGTGGTGTCGGCACTCCACTGCTTCCCGAATCGGGAGCTTGATCGTCCAACCAAGTCTGTAGGTTGGCGACGGTTGGGCACTCGATGAATATCGAAGAGGGCAAGTCCCTTTGCAGCTCATCGCGGATCCTGGCCGTGATGGTGAGCGAGAGCAGCGAGTCGAGACCGAAATCCGCGAATTCGCTTGCCGGCTTCAGCTCCGTTGGGGAGAGGCCAACTTCCTGGCAGATGACGGATAAGACATGGTCGAAGAGCCCTGATGACGTGCGGCGTTCGGCTTTGGGTTCCGGTCTTGAGGGTTCTAGAGTACGAGGCTTTCTGGGTTCTTTTTCGACAACAAGAGGTTGGCGCGGCTGCATCTCAGAGAGACCGGTTGCTCGAGAAGGAGCATTGACCGGCGGGACCGTGGCAACTGCTTTGCGCGGGGGCAGAGCGTGGTCGAGAACCCGACGCGGGACACCCTGGAACTGTTGTTCATTAACGTCAGCCACTTCGCATCACGGAGAAACCTCAAGTGGTAGGAACTTGAAGTAACACCTACCTTCACGCCCTCGAATATGGCGACTATCCGCCCTTCATGGAGAATGTACGTGTCACCGGCGTAGAGCGTCTTCTCAACCAACTGCATGCGATTGTAGGCGTAGTATGTCTTGGTCGCGTCCAGCCTCTCGGCAATCCGCAGCCTTTCCCAGCCGTGGTTGATGAACACCTGCTTCTCGCTGTCGACGGCATCGTTGCCGTTCATGATAAACCCGGCAATTCCGCCAAGGCTGTCGATCCATCGCGGATTCACCACGAAGCCACCATCGCCCACCTGGAAGTTGACCGTGGACACGGCCTCGAGCCGCTCGCTGTCGAGGACCACCTCCTTCATGCCCTGGTAGTCGCTGCTGTACACCACGATGGCGCCAAACAGCTTGTAGACCATGCCGCGCTTCAGTTTGTGGCTCTCGCCGCTGTGGATGCCCTGGTTCAAAGCCTCAATGCGGGACAGGATCAAATGTGTGTTGCGCCGCCACTCGTCCAGCCATCGTTGTTCCGGGAAGATGCGGGCGTCGAGTGTGGCGTGGGACCTTGTTCGCTTGCCATTGCCGTCCACGCTGTAGATCGACATGGAGATGGAGCGGGCGCCCCAGTCCGCCGTCGCAGACACGCGGAAGAGATGTGTTGACTCGTCGGGCTGAGCAATCAAGGGAGCGTCAACCTTGACATCGGTTACATCAATCCCCGTCGTCTCAGTCGACATGCCGGCGCCCTGCAGCATGTAGTGGGCCATAGTGATGGCGACGTCGGCATATAGAGACTAAAAGCAAACCTCCATGTTAGTGATTGGATCACTTTGAATGGACTCTTCAACATGTTGAGTGTAGTAGGAAGGACTCACTGAAGGAGCAAGGTGAGCACCGTTGACGACGTGTCCCTGTAAGACTGGTAGTAGCCGATCGTCAAAGATGTCAGACTCCACGAGCAGCGACGATCGATCCGCCCCGTGGCGTTCTTCCAACACCCTCTGCACCGACGGCGATAGATATTTATACTGCGGCGCAGCCGTGGTTGCCTCGAGTTTGTGTTGAGCGTTTGCAGCCTCGGTAGCAGGCACCAATCCCTCGCCTTTCGCCAGACAGAAGTTGTTGCGATATGGTATCCAATACTTCTTGAGGTCCCAAGAGTAGCGAGGGAGCTGCACGACCTTCCGGGCAGCCGGGAAGTTTCTGTGATATTCGTTCCACTCAATGTTGAACCCAGCGAGGTATAAGGACTCGAGCGCAGCAGCAAGCGTCTTGTAGGCATCGGCGTCCCTGCGAAGTGTCGCCAGGGTCGTACAGTCGGATCCAAGCGTACCCTTCACCATGTCGCTGCAGGCAGGGTGGACGCCGATCTCGAGCCACACGGTGCGTTCGTTAGCAATGCTGCTGGTACTTGTCTTAGCAGCCTCCACCGCTCCAGCAAAGTCAACCTTGGCCCGGAAAGCCTTGGCCAGGTACGATGCGTCCAACACCCCGTGCTCGCCCGCCTGAACTGGTCGGGAAAGCAGAGGGGACAGGACCGGGATTTGGGGAGAACGATACACCACGCCCTGCGAAGCCGCAGTCTCGAACGGTGCGAGAATGGGTTCCACCTGTGCTGAGTGGAAGGCAAAGGGGAGGTCGAGTCGGACAGACCTGAGGCCCTTCGCTGTGGCTAGCTTCTCCACTTCGCAGATATTATCCAGTCGGCCGCTGATGACATGACCCGCCGGCTGGTTCGCGCAGGCGACCTCACATTGCGAGCCGCCCTCTTGAATCAGCTCCCCGATGACATCGGCGGTGGTCTTGACGGCCAGCATTGCATGGGTTCCAGGCGTGCAGTGCTCTTCGAGCAGCGCGGCCCGCCGGCCAACGAGATACACGGCGTCGGCGGCCGAGATCACCCCGGCGACGTAGAGCGCGGCATACTCCCCCAGGCTGTGGCCCACCACGGCCGAAGCCGTGACTCCCAGACTCTGCCAAAACCTCGCAAGGGCCATCTGCACGCAAGTGAGAGCGAGGTGTGAGGCAACGACGCTCACTTCCTTCGCGTTGTTTATGGCGTGGCTGCCGTCGATGAGACCAATGAAGGCGGGGAATCCTTGGTCTGTGGCCAGGCGGTTGAAGCGTAGCATGTCGGCACGGAAGGACGGGTTGGTTGTGTAGAGAGACTTGCCCATGCCGCTGTAGAGGGTCCCTTGGCCAGTAAAGGTGAAGACCACGTTGGGGGTCTTGCTAGCCGCGGGAATCGGCTTAGCGGCGACCTGGTTCAGGGACAGCAAACGGGTCGTGATGCCAGCCATGATGGATGCTGTGTCTGTGCCCGAAACCATGGTGCGATAGTTGTGGTGCATCCGTCGTGCCGTGGTCGTGTAAGACAGCGCCGGGAGCGAGGTCTGTGGGTTAGCCTCCAACCAAGACAGAAGCCCGTTAAGATTCTCGGCTAGAGATTGTGCTGTCTTGGCCGTCACCGCAACCAAGTGCACCGGCCGTGGGTCGGGTGCCACGGTTGCGTCAACGGTGTCTTGGGCGGGTGCGTCCTCCAAGAGAACAGCGGTATTCCCGCCCGCGGCACTGAAGTTGTTCAAGAATACGGCTCGCTTGCCCGACACGCTGTCCTCCCGTCGCCAGGGGGTAGGGTTGAAAGCGATACGCACCCCGCGTTCGGATAGATCCTGCGGATAGTTGTGGTTGATGCGCGTCTTAATACCGCAGTGCGGTGGGATCTCGCTGTGCTTCATCATCATGAGCACCTTGATCAGGGACGACACGCCCGACGCGGATTCAGCGTGCCCGATGTTGGCCTTGGCGGACCCGAGGTACAGCGGGCGCTGCGGGCTGCTATCGGTCCGCTTCCTGTGGGGCACAAACACGGACAGGACCGAGTTCATCTCGGTTGCGTCGCCCGCCTGCGTCCCCGTTCCGTGCATCTCGACGTAGCTGATATCGAGTGGGTCGACGTCGGCATACCGCATGATCCGCTTGAACACGCTGGCCTGATCGCCCTCGTGTGGGCGAGTGATGCTGTCGGTCTGTCCGCAGTGGTTGGTGGCCGTCCCGACGATGACACCAAAGATGGGGTCGTTGTCTGCTTCAGCGTCCTCGAGACGCTTCAGTATGACGGTGGCCACCGCATCGGCACGGCAATACCCGCTAGCTCCGTCGTCAAAGGCATTGCAGTTACCTATGATGAAAAAGTGTTAGCAGGCCATACATGAACCACTACTGTCGAGATCGCGGACAGGACTCACCCGTGGTAGACAGAAAGTGGCCGCGGTCCAAGCCGGCAAAGTTGTCAGGGTTCGTCAGAACGTTGGTGCCCCCTGCGATGGCAGTGTCGACGTCGCCTCTCCAGAGATAGTTGCAGGCGCTCTGAATAGCGGCGAAGCTCGACGAGCAGGCCGTGTCAATGCTGAGGCTGGGGCCCGAGAAGCGGAAGAAGTAGCTACATTGTAGGGTCAACAGGTGCCAATTCATGTACGTGAGCCGGAAGACGTATTGTACCTAATGCGGCCGGGCACAAAGGCACGGTTGCCGCCCGGGATGAAGTATGTGTCGACGTCCTGACCACTGTTCACCTCGCGCCAATCATCACTCGTGGTGCCGAAGAACACGCCCACCCGGTCTTGCTGTGTGCTTGGCGTGCGGTTCCGGACTAGGCCGGCCATCTCCATTGCCTCGTAGGTAGTGGTGATGGCTAAGCGTTGCGCCGGGTCGGTGTTCTCGGCTTCCCGCGGCGACATGTTGAAGAAGCGGGCGTCGAACATGCCGGGTTCCTCGATGAAGCACCCATACTTGACGCGGCTAGTGTTCTTTTGCTTGCCGGTGGGGTCGTAGTGCGCCTTCCAGTCAAAGCGATCCGGGGGAATCTCGCGGTGCACGTCTCGGCCGGCGCGAAGGAGCTCCCAGAAAGCTTCGTTCGAGTCGGCATCCGGAAACCGGCCCGAATACCCAATGATGGCGATCTTGGAATGCTCAAACGCTCCCGACACGCCAGGCGGATGTCCGCCGGGCTGCGATGTTTGTGGGGTGTCGACACGCACGGTGATTCCGTGGATGCTCAAGGCCATGCTGAGCATGGGCGCAGCATTGCTCGCAAACGGGACAATAGTGCACTCGGATGCCTCCGCCTCGGCCAAGAGGGAGCGGAATCGGGTTGCCACCCGCTCCCAGCGAACCGGCCTTTGAAGGGTTTCGCGCACCACGTCCCGGATCACAGCCTTGAAGCCAGAGGCTGTCATGCTCTCGCCTGTTGACGGCGACAGAAGGCGCAGTCTGAGAGGCTTCGAGGCAGCGGCGCTGTCGTCAGAGATGTGGTCCACAATGTCGTCCACATCGGACTCGTCGAAGATGCCCGAGGCATGGAAGGGCGATTGGATATCCAAGTACCGCACCCGCAGCCTGCCAGATTCCTGGGTCAACAGGTCCTGTAGCGTGGACGGCGGGCCACTGATTGTGGCTACATGGCTTGGTGTTGTGGCGCTGATGTATAGCTTCGCGTCGCTCCGGACAGCCTAGGTAACCAGAATTGTCTTTAGCCTCGGACTCAAAGGAAGTTGGATCCTTGGCCTGTGCCCTTACTTCTGAGCCCTGCAGTACAGGCAAGATCTCTTTTTCTGTGTCAGCCCTTTCCTTTGGGCTGACAATGGCCGACCATGACTTGGCAGCATCTGCCTCCTCAGACTGCACTGTTGGCGATATGTCCTGCCCGGCCAACCAGGAACACAGCGCTGTCCGGAATGCGGCGAGAGCGGCTTCAATAGCCAAAGGAACCAGATCGGTCAGCGTCTGCGAGCAGCTCACAGCTGCGGCCGCAAACCCCCCTGTGCAAGGTCCAATGACATATGTCCCGCCAGGCGAGGGATATGCCCTGGCACCGTTCTCATTCTCTCTGGTGCTACGGTTAGTGTAATGTTAAGTTGCCGTGATGTAGAAGATGGAGGACGGCTTACGCAATAAAAAGCGCCAGTTCATAGACGCACAACGCGAAGAATCTCAGAACCGGCGTGCCTTTGGTATCCCCCAGCCGGGACACGAGGTCGACAAGGGTTGTGAAGTGAGGGAACAAGTCTTGCTCGCGGGCTGGAAGTCCGCCGATGAATTTTCGGAGGCCGTAAGCAAGACGGGTGAAGAAGGAGGCCAGTACGGGGTTTGTTTTGGTATGCAACAGCCGCCAGAGATCCTCCTCGACCCTGGATGACGATAAATCGCCGAAGAGGAGTACTTGGTAATGCTGGACGGAGCCGTCCGGGGCCGTCGAAGATGTGTTTGTCGCCATGATTGGTTCTCAGGGACATAAGACAGTATCACACAAACTCAGCTTGGCCCATATTCTAAAGGTGTCTGTCTGCTTGAAGATAAGGGCAGACTTTAAGGGTTTATGCTCAGACATCGCATATTGTTTTGTAAGATGGCGAGAAATCACATCAACACACTCACTGTCAGCAAATTCGCTCATATTCTTAGTATTCTCGCCGCCACCTCAACTGCCTCTCACTTCGGGTGCCGTAGCCCGGGCGCCGAGCGAAGAGCAGACGCATATGCGTTTTTGGCAATCCACTCGAGGTCCGAAGCGCTGCGGGCGTAAGACGCCGAAAACCGAGAGTTCCGCATCGGAGCAGGATGGAACTGTAAGCAGATGGTCTCCCGTCCGAGATAGGGGGCTGGTGCTCAATGAGAACTTGCGCTGTCTTTTTCTTGATTTAATACTACTTCTCGGCTTGATTAAAGCCCGCCGTGTTTCGCCGGTGTGGTGTGTACATACACCTTTGCCATTGTGTCCGTGCTTACGGTTGCCTCCGAATTTCTTTGCAACCCTCCATTGTTTCCAGTCATCATGAGCAACGCCGGCCACACACAGAAGCTCTACGCCATCACCATCTTCGGCTACAAGAAGGAGGGCATGGGCGAGGAGGAATACCATGACTATGTGAGCAAAGTACATGCTGGGCACCTGAAGGCCCTCCTGGCCCAGAATAACATTGTGTCTTACACGATGGTGAGTTCGGCCTTTGTGTGGTTCGTTCAACATTCATTCGGAGCTCAGGTGGTTAACTTCACTCTCCCAACAGCAACACAACACGTCGGAAACTCGCAGGATGCTTCAGGCAATCCACCCTGGCGCCCCCGCCGAGAAGGAGGCGGACTGTGACATGGTGGTCCAAATCGTCTTCAGGGACCTCGACGACTACCTTAGGGTGCGGCAGGACCCCCATTTCCTGCAGGTGGTGAACCCAGACCATCACAACTTCGCCGAGGGCAAGAAGACAAAGTTTGTCACGGGCTGGTATGAACTTCATGTCGTCGATGGTCGTGTGGTTTCGTGATGAGTACGTAGTAGATCAAATACTGAAATACGATGATGTCGCCATGTCGTCATGTTGTTATATGTCTGTCCGCAGTTGAAAATAATGACATATGCACATTCCGGTGTCCCCGCCCTAGGCAGTAGTAGTGAGGGAGGGTTATACGCTGGTGTATGGTTTCATGTATGGTTTCAGCATGCAGCAATGCCGTAAAAGAATATTTGAGCTACAAGGACACAACTAATTTCGTTCCACTGACGCCGGCCCTCAGAATCTCGAGTCCACTGCCAATGGCTTCAAGGCCTTTACCAACGACCACAACCCGTAACGGGAGCTTGAACTGTCCGCGGGACACCATCTCTGAAAGCTTCTCCATTGCCCAGAATCCACCCGGCATCTGAAACACCATGCGACCGAAAACCGTTTGTGCTGACACCCTCTCGGGAATGGCCAGCTGGTGAGTGCCTGTAAAGACCTGGCTGTACAATCTGGGGCCATCAGATCTTAGTGTCTCGAATAGCTGTCCGTTGTCTGGCACGCCAGCTACGGCATCGAGGATAGCGTCCACTCCCTGCCCCGTGGGCGAAGCGGCTCTGATGGCCGCAACAATGTCTGGTTCATTGCGATCGATGCATGCCGTGGCCCCGAGGCTCAAGACGTGGACATTGTGCTTGCGCGAGTTGGTCGTTAGGATTGCGGCATGCGGGAGCGCAGCTCGCAGTAACTGCACCGCCGATGCGCCAACTCCAGAGCTGCCGCCCAGAACGAGGATACTGTTAAGGGGCAGGGCGTTTGAGGCGGCTTGGTCCTGGAACAGAGAAACGCCCAAGCCCTTGGCAACGGCTGCCGCCGCCGTGAGGTAACAGATACTGGTGCTGATGATTAGCGTTTTGTTTCCCCTGAGACAGCCTTTGTTTGCCCTCGCTTGCTTTCCACACTTACGGAACAGAGCAGGCCTCTTCAAAAGTCCAGTCGACCGGCTTCCTGGTGGCAAAGTTCGCCGGCACGGTAGTGACGTCCTGAAACGCACCGGCTCGGCCGCCGTGCCCGGAAAGGCTCATGACGGCATCGCCGGGCTTGAAGGCAGTCACATTCTCGCCCACCGCTACCACAATGCCTGCTGTGTCGATACCGAAGATCTCGGGCCAGGCCTTCACCATCTCGCCGTGGTAGAGGTTCTTCCAGTCCAGCGGGTTCAATCCGACCGCGACATTACGGATGCACAGCTCGTTCGGACCCGGGGTAGGATACGGCGCGTGTGTCACGGCGAAGGGGCCGCCTTTCTGGGTCGCCACATATTGTCTGATTTGGCTGTCGCCCTCGTTTTGGGAAACCATGGGGGCCTGAATCTGGGACTGTAACAAAGGACAGGCCGAGGTCAGCTATGCCCGGCGTGAAAATGAATTGGTAAGCACACGGACGGTGGTAAGGACTTAAGATTGGGGTCGATTGCGCTTGCACGATGGAGGATAGCACCGCACTGTCGATACAATGACTACTGCATTCCCTGTCCCTTTGCCAACTCTCATCAGTCCCTGGGACGAAGAAAGGTTCGGTGCCGAGCCGAACCCGAAGACCCCGAGCCGCGGTCCACCGGTTTTTTTAATGTCGGACGCCGAAGCCCGAGCTGTGTCGTTTATGCAATGCTCTGAGACTCTGAATAGACCTCAGCCCTGAATGTTCCATACCGCGCAACACATCATGTGAGATGTCTCACACATCGGGTCCCGGGGACGAACGATAGACCGGACCTTAGCTACTAGTGCTAGCTAGGATTCGAGACACGTAATCATACCCTCAGTTAGGGACGTATAAAAATGGGAGCCGTGACATATCAGCGCATCGTCAGAGTTGTAATAGCTCCGACCGAGCGAATCATCGTTGAGTTTATTCCCGGAATTAACACACGGTTTCATCCCGCTTCGTCGAACCAGACACACGGCAACCATGGATGCTCAACATGAGGCCTACGCGTCGACCCTCGACGTTCACCACTTCAAGCCCGACAATGTCCCATGGCGCAGGCTCGGCGAGTGTAAGCTGTTCTCTTCCCGGTCATGAAAACTCTCTTCCAATGTATAGTACAGATGACTGACTGGGAATGTGTCACATCCGGTTCCAGACTTTTGGCGGCCCATCGAGGATGGCTCCAACACACAGTACCGACTGGCCGTCATTGAGAGTCTCATTCCGCCCCACAAGGCCGGGCCCATCTTTCACTTCCATGAGATGCACGACGAGGGATTCTACGTGACAGTGAGTTACAAGTCATATGATTCTTTCTCTCCTGGCTGAGTTAAGGACCAATCAATTACCTTACCAGCACGCCCGCCAATGCTGACGTGCGACCCCCACCCACCCACAGAAGGGCAAGGTCCGCTTCCACGTGCCCGGCCGTCCCGATGTAGACGTGGCGGCCGGCGAGATGGTGACGGTGCCCGTGCGCCTGCCGCACAAGTTCAGCAACCCGTTTGACGAGGAAGCCGTGTTCATCAACACGGCGACGCCCGGCTTCTTCGTGCGCTACTTCGAGCATCTGGAGAATCTCATTGGCGAAGGCAAGGTGCTGACTCCCGAGGTCAACGCCGACGCGCTCAAGCGCTTCGCTACGATTCCGCTCCCAGCCGCCGACGTCGAACGTCTTCAGGAGAGGGGCATGAATGGCGAGAGGCTGATGAAGGGGTTCCAGAACGGGGGGAAGGAGGCTGGTGAACAGGCGCATCGGGCGGTGATGTAGTATACTGGGTGCTACTAGTACTGGTAACTCCATCAATAGAGTAGAAATAGAAAGAAAGCACGACCTTTCCGGGGGGTACAGATGAAGATGTCTTGTACGAGTCGCCTTTCCTCACCGCCGCTATCCAATCCTACGTACTGAGTTGGAGGTATTGCTACTCCTTGAGAACCTAGAAGTGGAAATAGCCAGGTGTCTCCGGCTTGGGATTAATATCTAGCAGATCAGACTCAGGGATACGAAATGACACATGGCGATGTCTGAACAGCTCTCCCGGTCTACGCGGGCAGCCATAGCTGCTTGTTCTCTTCGGCAAACGACTTGAAGCTCAGGGGCTTCCTGCCCGTCATCCTCTCTACCGTGTCGTCCGTATAATCCTCTTTGCCTTCGGCGGCAAGCTTCTCCAACGAGACCACGAAGCCAGCGTAGTGGGTGGGGAGCTTGAGCTGCTCGGTCATGTGCTTCAGTCTGTCTTCGGGTGAGAGACTGACATGCGCAATGGGACGAGCCAGAACCTTGCTGAGCGTGGCAGCCGCCTATTTCGTTTGTTTCCCAGCAACTGTCAGTAAAACAAGAAAAAAAAAGGATTTCTTTCCTTGGCGGTAGAGGATTGAAAATGGTGAAGACGAGAAACAAGTAAAAGAACTGGGCTGGGCTGGGGCGAAGCATACCTCATCATGCGTGATTGACTCAGGGCCGACAATCCGGTAGTCGGTGTTGGGCGGCTCGCGCTGCGTCAGGGCAGCAAAGGCGACGCCGCCGATGTCGAGGGCGCTGACAAAGGGCACCTTGGCATCCCCGACACTGCTGTATATTTTGGACTCCTCGCGGATGGTTTTCAGGTGGAAGCCGTCAGATAGGTTCTCTGTGACCTTGGCGTTTAGCCGTACTGACTGGTACTCGTTTGCAACGGTAGGAATGAATCACCACTCGCACTTACCCATGAACCAGGTCGGGCGGCACACAGCCCATTCCACCCCTTTCTGGACCATATGCTCCCACACCTTGCCCGGGCCGGGTGCGCCCATCTTGGCCGTGGTGCCGGCCATCAGTACAAACCTCTTGACCCCGCGGTCGGCCGCATAGTCGATGAAGGCGTTGATGGGCTTGTCCGGCTCCGGCACGCGCGGCATGACCATGTAGACGGCGCGGATGGCCTCGCCGCCGGGGAAGGCATGGGCGAAGGGCGCAGCATATGTCGTTTGGTCCGTCCAGTCAAAGCGGACGGCGGGGCCGTCGGCGTCCGCATCAGCGTCAGATCCCCCGCGGCGCGAGGCAAAAAGATACGGAATGCCGGCATCGGAGCAGAGGCTGGCGATCCGTCGCGCTGTTTTGGCCCCCGCGCCGCCCGTGAGCAGGACAGCCATCTTTTCCGTAGATTGTTTTGTGACGTTGGCTTTCTGCGAGTTGCGACCGAATTTCCTAAGGAAAGGTAGACGATGTTGCTCGTTGTCACTTGTCAGCAGCGTGCTGGGCTTTGTGAAGACTTAAGAGACAGTGTGGACTGTGGAACACGGTAACCCACGGGTTGGTGGGCAGACCGCGGAAGTCGCGATTGATGATTGTTGGGCCTTGTTCTTGTTGGCTGCGGAAGGTGCGTGATCCGAGAGCTCTACTGTGTAGGTAGTATAACTGTGCTGACGCTTGACACGCACATTCGTCACTCCGGTCGGCCGGGTGCTTGCCTGTTTTATCCTTACCTAGTAGTACCCAGACAACCCAACTGGCAAAAGCCCGACTTTCCAAAGGCGCCAACCAAACTTACCAAACTGCAGCTTTTCTGTTTCTTTGTTGTTCCGGAGTTTGCTTTAAACTCCGCCAACTGGCCTGTGTGCACCACCGAGTACCGCGTGCCCGGAACCCGAGGGATGGAATGTATTGACATCATAGCCCTTGTTTTTGGCTTGTCTGGTGAGGGGTAAGCGCCTCCATCCAATAGCTCGTCATTTCGCTACTAAGACATGATGTGAAACACGTTATTGGTGGACGGATCAATGCAGAAGTCATTCGAGACAGCTGGCTTCTTAGTGCAGATATTTTGTGGTTCTTCATCGCACTGTGGCATTATCGTTCAGCTGAAGTGTACTAGTCTAGGCACCGTCTAACATTAAATTTTGCAAGGATTGCGATCTGCTTGTATGTTGTACGTCGACATTACATTAGATAGTGTAGTATGGCCCTTCAACTCCCGCATTTATGATCAAGTAAGATGGCCCGGATGGGGAAGCACGGAATTAAGGAATAATAAGCTTCTGACGGCGGGGAGCAATGATCAGCCGCTAAAGGAATGTGTCTCCACAGTGATCCTGGATCCGATCTTATCGTAACCCAAGTTCCAGGTTATAGGTAGGCCCACTGCATAGGTAAGGCGGATCTCGGCGTTTATAGCTCCGATGCCTAGCCGGGCACTAAGTAAAGGCCGGCTCCCATCTTGGCGCCCACCTGGCTGCGCGCGTCCCGACTCCCAAATGCCCCAGCTTCCACCTGACAGAGACAACCCAGACAAGAGCGGTCAGAACAGTGCCTCAACCAGGCGTCGGACCGCGGCTCGCAACTCCTTCTCCTCCGGGCCTTTCACGGCTCGCTCGACGATAATCGGGATCTGGTCTCGGCCGACGCCGCGATCGGACAGCGACGGCTGCTGCAAGCCCAGACGCAAGACAAGCTCGTCCAAGCTTGCGGCAAAGTCGGCGGAATCGTGGACGGCGTCCCCTGTCGGTTGTCGACCAATCGCCGGCAGCAGGAAGCGACTGATTTGAGATGCGGCTGGTGGCCGTTCCGACGCGAGAAGTCGGATGACAGGGGCAAGCGTTAGGCAGCTCGTTTCTCCATCTGCAAGTGCCGGATCCGGGGGAGGGGTGCGCCACATTGCACCACACCCCCCCCCCCCCCCCCCGCGGCCGTGTCAGTGTCGATCTCAATCTCATCTCATGTGTGTATGTGTGTACAATGCATACATCACACTCGACGCAGCCTGGTCATTGGGAATTGAAAAGACGCAGGAAGAGCCGGGTCGGAGGATAAAAAAATAAAAAAAAAAAAAAAAAACCGGGGCTTTCTGCTTACGGGGAATGCCGTACGGGCTGCCCAGGGCATGGCCCAAGCTGTGGGACAAGCCCATGCCGCCGGCAAAGTTGGTACCGCGGAAGCCGGAGCTGGCGAATGACGCGAGCATCAGCATGGTGAGCGCGTCATCATCCATCCCCCCCCCGTGCTGCTGCGGGTCGTTGTCAAAATGGTCAGCAACCTGCGGCAGATACTGAAACAGCACACCGAGTGCCCAGCACGCCATGGCTTTCCAGGGCACGAGGGACGCGTTCGGGTGGTAGACAGATTCGACGGCGTGGTCGACGGCCCGCATGCCACTTCCGAGCAGCAGCCTGCGCGGCGTGTATCGCGCGAAGGCAGGGTCGTAGAAGATGGCGCTCACGCCCATGCCCGCCGCCATGAAGCCCTCTTTCGTGCCGTCCGGGCGGGTGAAGCCGCCACCAGGGGTGCACTCGGCCGCGCTAAGCGTGGTGGGGATGGCGAGATGGGTGAGGAAGACGCCCCCGCGCTGCTGACTGATGCGGAACGACACCACCTTGGCTGCGTCGATGGCCGAGCCGCCGCCGACCGAGAGGATCGTGTCGATGGCCGGATGGGCCGAGACCACCGCGGCAAAGGCCTGGTCCACGCCCACCGCCTCGCCGTGCTGTCGGATGCCGGCGAACGTTCCCGCGTGGTGCTCGCCCAAGAGCGTCTCGAGCTGGCGAATGAGCGGCGTCTTGGTCGCGAGCGACTGACTGGTGACGATAAAAACCCGGGAGCCGGGACACGGCAAGGTTCGGAGCAAATGCTGCTCCACGCAGGAAGGGCCGTAGTACAGCTGCTTCAGGTGTGCATGGGGCATCCACGCCCCGAATAGCGGCGATCCGTCGCTGCACGGGACGAGTCGGCTTCCATGCGACATGTTTCCTTTGGGAATGGTAGGATGGAGAGATTGTTCAGGGATCTGGGTAGGGGACCTGGGGGTTCGTGTAACAGGTAGGCTGGATCTGGATTGGATCTGGATTCCACGTCGTTTCTCCCGTCAATCATGATGCGAGAGAGAGACGAGAAACCCCAATAAATATGTAGGATAATACGAGTAATCGAGCCTCATCATGCATACAATGCTACTATTGCTGTAACCACTGCCGGCCCCCGAGTCCCGACTCGGCGGAACAGTGTAGTCGCGACCGTTGTGTTGCCCCTCCTCGACTTCTTGGATGGTAGTAGGTATGCCTGCTGACTGCGTGATAAGCCTGTCATGTAAAATGAAGTAAGCTGCTCGAGCTCCAATAGGTTGTGCCCAGCCTTGTGCTGAGGTAGAGCGGGAGGGGGGGACGGGGGAGGTGTTGTATGTGCTTACTTCCAGTGTCTTCCGAGCTCTGATCTGCGATTCCATGGTTATGGTGTGTGCTGCATACCTGGAAGGTATTCTTCTCACCACTTCTATGACTGCCTGGAATCGATTCCAACCATGGCGTCATCATCCAATGGAGCAGTGGCGTCAGCTTGTAAGGCGATCTCACACAAGATAGCCGAAGAGAGTCACAGCAGCATATTCCGAATAGTTGAGTCCGTCAACGTTACCAAATGGTTACTCGTACTTTCACTTGTGGCACGCTGCATCCTGGCTGGGCTCATGGGAACAGGGATTGGCGAGCGCTGCCTTCGAGTGGTGTATAGCTGGGCACTGACTAGGGATAGATAACTGAGTGTGGCTTGCCAAGGGACACAGAACCATAATAAGCCAAGCCAAGTCGTTGTGTTCGGGGTGGCGGCCGTGGCGTTGGGAGCTAAGGTGAACGCACTGTGTAAGATCGTCAGTAGTAATCAGCCCGTACCGCAGAAATGCTTGGAATCCATGACGGGGATCGGGGACTATCCGTAGGGAATGGTGGCTCGCTCACGCCGTCGCCGTCCTGCGGCGGCTGTGGCTTACTGCTGCGCGACTGCGATGCACCCGCCGGTGTTAATTAATAAAAGTCGTAACGAAACCGCTTCACCTCCGTCGTGCAGAACAGCCCAGGTCGCTACGATCCCACAACGTGACACAGAGCGAGCTCTATGGAGAGCACAAGCAAGCAAGAGGTGAGCTAGCCGCTCGAGGATCGTCCAGCAACACAACCCACTGTTACCGACACACGCATGGCCTCTGATTGCTGACCCCGCGCCTGCCTTTGTGCTTCTGTTTCTCTAGTCACATTGTTGGACGATGCAGGACGTTGCGTGTACCAACTGCCGATCCCGCAAAGTCCGGTGCGACCGGGAGCGGCCACAATGCGGCTCCTGTGCCCGAGACAAGGTCGAGTGCACCTACTCGTCTCCGACCAAGCGAGTAAACCACGTGAAAGTGCTGTGAGTGCGGAGTTTCCCCCTCCCCCTGACTACCTATTTGGTCTGGACGAGGAAGAGAAAGGGGCACGCACCAGAGTACTGACTCGAGTAATGACTTGCCACAGTGCCCAGGGTTTCGACGACATCCAGAATCGCTTAATCCATGTTCAAGAAGAGCTCAGGTCACTGACGAGGATGTTCCAAGCGAGTGGGATCGCCGACGGGTTCCCGCTTCGCCCGGGAGTAATGCATCCCGATGGGCCTCCGATGTATGATGCCTTTGGCGGGGGCGGTTATTATTATCCTGCAGCTCCTGCAGATGGCCATGTCGTCCGGGATGACAGCACGTTGGTCGAGAAGTACCACGGCCCATGGACGCTGCCGGCCCTGTGCCGCGGCCTTGGGACGGACGTGGCTCCCGTCTTTGGGAGTGACGGCGGCCACGACAGGCTGTTAGAGGAGATGTGGCGTCACGCCTTGGGTGACGGGCAGTGTCGGCTCACTACCACGGAGGACAAGACGGGCCGAGATGCCGTCGGACTCCCGCCGCGGCAGTTCCTCACCGTGGTGCTGGATAGCTTCTTCGGCCGCAACGACCACACCACGGATATCTTCGTGCCGTCGGCCTTCTACAGCGCCATCGACCAGACCTATGCCGAACCTTCCAGCCCGGCGTCGGAGGCGTGGGCGGTATGCTTCAACCTCGTCATCTTGCTCGTCATTGGCGCAGAGCAAGGTACTACTAGTACTACTAGTAGTACTAGTACTAGTAGTACCGGCCGGCAGGATCCTTTTATCCAACCCCTGATCCGCGCTGCACAGGTGGCCGCTAGCAACCATGCCATTTTCCTATCGCCGAGGCTGGTAAACGTCCAGGTGCTAGCTCTTGTTGTAAGTCAAAAAGTCGTGAGAACCTGACATGGCATCTACTAGTACTATCTCACATTAGCTGACCTCCGCCTTTCGGAATACGCAGAGCCTTCTGAGCCAGCAATCCTACAGCGAGACGCTTGGTGACGCCTTGTTCGCTCAGGCATGCATGTTGGCCAAGTCGATGGGCCTGGAGAGAGCAGCTTCCGGTGTCCTATCGTCACCTCTCTCGCCCGAAGAGGTAGAGGAGCGGCGCAAGGTGTTTCGATCCTTATATATCCGCGATCAGTGTTCTTCCATAACAAGGGGGACGCCTACCTGGCTTCCCAATCGTCATTCCGCGCCATTGGCACCTGGAGAGACATCGGGAACAGCGCACCCGGAGATCCCCTCGGTTGGGACACAAGAAGTTAGCCAATCCAAGTGGAACGAAGCGGCCTGGGTCGAGCTAGCCAACTTACAGACGACGTTGCTACATATTCTCCCCGCTCCGGAGAATCATGCCGTAGGATATGCGCCAGCGCGGAAGACGTCGTTGGACAAGCACATGCAGAGTCTGGAGGCGTGGTCGCACAAGTACGGCGTGCTGGCGGCGTCCGCCATGCCCACCACGGCAGAGGACTTCTCAATCCACCTGGCATTCCTCGGGACGCGCATGAGGGTTTCGGGCGTACACAGACATGCAGACGCGGAAGGGAATGCCGCCACGCAAGCGCTCCATGACGCGCGCCTGAGTTGCCTTCTATTCTTGGTCGCGTGCGATGGCCGAAGGAACAAGCATCTGGTGGCATGGCTGGAGCGACTGCTTGGTGTACGGTCCTCTAGGTCTGCTGCCGGCGCCGAGACAGCGAACAAGTCCGGGCTCAACACGCCGGCCACGCAACCGCCGGTCTCACCGCACGCACCGGATACAGCAGGGCCACTTACGCCGGAAGCACCAAAACAAGCAATATCATCCATTTCGTCGCCGAAGCTGATAGCGGTCCACCGGCTGGTGCTTGTCTTCCCGACGATGGCCCCTTTCATCCTCGCCAGGAATATCCTTGGAATGCCAGTGTTGGGAAGCGTCGGGAGGGTATCGAGAATGGAACCGCGGGGGATGAATAAAGAACACGAATCCCGAGCGGCCGAGGACGATAGCTCGTTGCTGAAAGCCATATTGGCAACCTTCTTAGGTGCCGCGGCTGCAGCTGATGGTGGGCTCGACAACCGCGCTGTCAAGTTCGCTCGCGTCATCCAGTCATTGGTGGATCTCGTCACCACTCTTAGCCCCCACCACCACCACCACCACGACGCTCATCTGGAAGATATGCCCGAGAGTGCGATCAGTAGCGACATGATCAACAACCCCCTGTTGGAGGGTGACTGGGCCATGTTGCCACACGACGATAACACAGCCGCCGGAACCTTTAGCACAACGGTCGATATGCCGGATTTGGCCCATCCATCGCCCAGGAGCTCGTGGACAAACGATCAGGGGTCATCGGCCGGGTACCTGTCCGGTACGGGCTCGTCCTCGGTGTCCATCTCGGCCACGACCATGTCGGAAATGTCCTTCGACATCTCCCAGTTGATGGACCGCATGGGCACCGAGACAGCCAGATCGATGTGGGGCGATCTCGACGCAGCCATGGCGACGGCAACGTCGTCAGAGTACCAGGACGATACTGCGGAGTCACCTAGAACGAGAAAGAGAGCACGCACGAGCTTGGGGCTCGGTGGGGTAGAAGAGAATAAATATCTGTAGACCCCAGGCCTCCGGGAGTAAGGAGACGGCGGATACTACTAGACTTTAGAGCGTTGACGGTATCACGGGCGGTTGGTTACATGACTTACGATGAAGAATACTAGTATTGTTACGAACACGAAATACCAGCACAGTAATCCAATGCTGGATGTCCCCGAGTCCTGGACTCCTGCCCGACAATGGTTTGCGTGACCCACAGGAGCGGAATGCCAAGTTACTATGTCGCCGGGGCCGCTCCTGCGGAAGCTGAGGCCCAATCCACCTGCAGACGGGGGAACAATTCACGATGACATCGTTACTTCAATGTGTCCGAGAGGGGACATTTTGGATGGAAAGCAACGGGCAGGTGCATCGTTGACTGCGAGAGCCTTTTTCACTATCAAGGATTCAGAAGACAGAGCTAGTATGGATTGATTCTCAATAGACTTTAATACATATCATTTGTCCGCAGACACAAACGACGTCTTTCAAGCCAAAGACACGGCCAGACCGGGCGCCGCCGACTGAGCATCCCGCAGCAGCTGGACTTTGGCGTGTTCGCCAAGCTCCCTCGCCGGCCCAGCAACCGCATCCGCAGCGTTGCCGTGGCCGTCCATGGGCTTGAAGCCGCGCTGGAATACGGGGCTCGTCTGGATCTTGTCCCAGTCATGCAGCATCAGCCCGTTCTCCACCGAGCAGCGGACTTCTTCGGCGCCGCGAGGGATCATCTCCTTTTCGTAGCTGTTCACTGCCTCGCCAAGTGTTACTCCGCCGTTGCCGCTACCAAAGACGGCCTTCAGCGCCTGCGAGAGGTGGAAGACGTCGTTGATGCAGTGGTTGAGTCCCTGACCCCGGTCTGCATTTGGTAACATGTCAGTTACACCATGATTCCTGAGAGAGTGCGTGAGAGGAGATAACCAGTGCACGGGGAGGACTCACAGGGCGGCATGGGATGGGCAGCGTCTCCTACCAGCGTAAGCCGTCCCTTGCGGTTATCCCACGGCTGCGTGACCCAGTAGCTGATGTCGGCCTTGTGAACCTCGGTGTCCTCTGGCAGCCACATAAAAGCTGAGCGAGCCGGCTCGCCCAGGCCCGCGGCGCGCTCCTTGATCAGCGCCAGGCGTTCCTTGTAGCCCAGCGAGTTGTCCACCTCGCCAAGCCAGGCCATGGCCATGTGAAAGATCCAAGACTCCGGGTGGTCAGGACCATCCGGCATGCTCGAGACTAGTATCAAAATGACGGCGTTAGGAAGGTGGAGAGAGAAGGGGGGGGCGGGGGCAGCAACACGACACAGGCCGGGACAAACAAACACAAACTTGGGCTTACTCGACTGAAATGCGTGGAAGGACCGCTGACTCAGGGCCAGATAGCTCGTGGGGTACTGCTCCCTGACGAAGCGTGCTTTGTCGGCATCGTTGTAGCACACCGTCATGTTGGTGTGGAAGATGGGGAACTTGGTCACGGCCGCCTTCTCTGCACTGCCCATGGCAAACTCGCGCACTTTGGACTTGGGGCCGTCGGTGCCGAGGATCATGGTTCCTGTCACCAAGCTGCCATCGGAGAAGGTAGCAATGACCCCGTCTCCGCTGTCGTTGAAGGCGATGTCGGTGAGAGATTTGTTGTACTGCGTGGACAAAGTCAGTAACCCAAGATATATCGTGGAGCTTGTAAAGGGAGGAGGAGAGGGGGGAGCGTCAAGCACATGAACGTCAATCCCTTCGGAGGCTAGCTCCCGCATCCGGCTTCGGGGGACACGCAGACCGTTCTCGTACGGCACACCGGTGATGAGCTCGCCCGTCTCGCCGTTGATGATGGGATAGAGGTCCGAGTGGATGCCGACCGTCGGGTTGCAAGCAATGGCGCCCATCTTGGCGAACACCGCCTCCGGGAGAATCTGCTGGAGCAGAGGGAGAGCCCAGTGGATTGCCATGGTCCACTCATTGCTGCGGTAGTTCATGGCCTTCTCCCTCTCGAAGATGGAGTACTTGATGCCGGCCTACGTTAAAAGTCAGTCAGTAATGAGTCATGATATGAGTCGAGTGACGACTTGACTAAGCCTGCGTACTTTCTTCAGCGCCTGGCAAGTCAAGAGGCCGGTGATACCTGTGTGCGCCCAGAAGGAAGTCCGAGTGAGCGGTATGATCCGGATATGTTGAGACTGACGGGGATTGAACACATACCAGCGCCTATGACAATAATATGCACGTCGTGGGAAGGCATCTTGTTTAGCGATAAGGGGTTACTGGTATAGGGAGGTACAGACAGGGCCAGACTTCAGTTTACGAGACCTATCCGGGCAGGAAGGTAAACCACGAATGACACTACCCACCTTACTATAAACCTCATTGTTCGGTGGCTCTCGGAAGAAATTCCCGCCAAACCGATCGAGATGGGGGCGGGGGGTGCAGAGGCTCATTCACGCATGGCCCGAAGATCGGAGGTCCGGCATCCGACCCCCGGGCGCCAACGGAGCTGAACTGTCACACAAAAGATGGTCCGCATTTGCCGCAAGGCCAGCTTGCAGACTTGGGAATCCTGCTCAGTCTTCATAATGGTACGATCTAACTACCGTAAGCAGTGCCTATCCTCCGGCTGCTAGGGGGTGTTGAGCAGCTTTGGACTCACACACCTGATCCTTTGCTATTGAGGATGACTACTAGTACTGTGATCATCGGTTGGGGAACCCGCCTGCTGGGAACCCTCTCATCCCAGGGTACGTTTATTACGTTGACACGAGTCGTGGAACTTTGCGTACTTGCTGTAAGTCAATTTGCTACCCGCCAGTTATTAGCATCAGGGTTTCAGAGTCCGGAATGCAAGATAGGTACTGAAGACATACTCATTCCCGACCACAGGCGAGCTGCTATTTTATTCGCAACATTTATTTCCACCCGCTCAGCCAACACCCTGGACCCAAGGCTTGGGCCGCGAGTCGACTGCCATGGTGCCTACACCAATACCGGGGCAATCTGAGCCAGCGGCTGCACCAGCTACACCAGTGTTATGGCCCGGTGGTGCGAGTGGCGCCGGATGAGATCTCGTACATCTCGGCCGACGCTTGGAAGACGATCTACGGCCAGAGATCGGTGGAAATGCCCAAGGACCCCAATTTCTCGCTGCTCACTCCTTCCGGCGTGCAGAGTGCGTTCCCTCCTCCCCCCCCCCTTCTTTCATGTCTGTCCCAACTATAGTGTCTTACACATATGCCGTTTTCTATACTACCTTAGACATCCTGACGGCCGACCGTGAGACCCATACTCGCCAGCGGCGTCTGCTGTCGCATGCCTTCTCGGAAAGGGCGTTGCGGGAGCAAGAGGAGATCCTGCAGACCTACTGCACCAAGCTATGCTCCCAGCTCGAAGAGCGCTGTTGCAGCGGGCCCGTTGATTTGTTCGACTGGTATACCTTCGCCAGTGCGTCTTGACCCGTCCCGTGTGTATTGCATCCAGTATCAATATTATCTGCGATATATCTAACCCCTCTTGCTGATTCTTGTAACATTCTTAGCCTTTGATCTGATTGGCGATCTCGCGTTCGGCAAGAGCTTCGGCTGTCTAGACTCGGGCGTGTCGTCCCCCTTTGTGGAATCCATCCAGTCGGGCTCGCGGGAGTTGATGGTGAACCAGATGCTGCGCTACTATGGAATCCTCTTTGTCCGGCCGCTGCTTCCCCTGGGCGGAGGAGTCGTGGGTTCACGTGCGGCCAACATGCGGCGTGCGGTCGAGACGGTGCGCGCACGCATCGCCCGCGGTCCGACGGCCGACCGCAAGGACTTCTGGCACTATGTCCTGCGCCACATGGCCGACGGTGAGGAGAAAAGCAAGACGACCATGACCGAGGCCGAGATGTATACCAACGCCTTCTCCATCAGCATTGCCGGGTCCGAGGGCACGGCCACGGCGCTGGCAGGCGCCACTTTCCTGCTCCTGCGGCATTCCGAGGCCCACCGTGAGGCGGTGCGAGAGGTGCGCGGCGTCTTCACGGCCGAGACGGACATCACGTCGGCCAACATAGTGGGCAGGCTGCCGTTCCTGGAGGCTGTGCTGCACGAGTCGATGCGGCTGTATCCGCCCGTCGCCATCACGCTCCCGCGCAGGGTCCCGGAAGGGGGCGAGACCGTGGATGGCCGGTTTGTGCCGGCCGGGTACACGGTCGGTGTCAACCACCTCGCTTGCTACCGCTCTGCGCTCAACTTTGAGGATCCGGACGTTTTTCGGCCGGAGCGCTGGTTGGATGGAAGTGGTACTACTACGGAAGCCTTCAAGCCGTTTTCCTATGGGCCACGCGCTTGTCTGGGCAAGAGTCTGGCATGGGTCGAGCTGAGGCTGATCTTGGCACGCATGCTCTGGCGCTTTGACATGCAGCTGGTCGAGACGGAGGCCAATCTGAGGTGGTTGGACGGACAGAAGCTCTGGGGGTTCTGGCAAAAGCCCCCTCTGTTATGTAGGTTGGTGCCGGTGCGGCGATAGGCGTGCCTTGGGCCGCTGAAAGGTGTAGATGGCTATAATACCTGGGTATTCGTGTAGATGAAAGCGGGAGAAATGTCAAGTTAACATTCAAAACTGCATCGTTAAACACTATAGCCCACTAGTAACGATTACTATTACTATATGTATGGTACTAGTACTCTCTCGCTTATTCGTCCGTACCCCGACGGCCCCGTTGCTGACGACGTCTGCCGAGTTATACTTGTATTGCTTCTCTCTACTAGACCTCTAGCTTGGCGAGATTCTATGGGACAAACCTAATGATGACTATCGTAGTATTACATTGTAGGAGAGAAGAAGCAGAACCATACATGGCTCGCTGGAACAACTATCATACAAAGCGTACAAAGAGGGAAGACCTAACCCTCACAAAGTTCGTCTCCCTTTCTAGAGCCAGTCGCTTCACCGGCATCCCAACCTAGACCACTACTCGAAGACGCGGGGGAGGAGACGCTCGGTAAAGTTCCACACATGGGACGCGGTCGTCGACGAGAAGGTCGCGCCCGTGTACCACGTGCTTCTGTGACCCTGCAGCGCGTCCAGGCGGGTGTAGAAGCCGCCGGCCATGTCGCTGGCGCTGACCCGTAGGCTGAAGGGCCAGTGACTCGAGAAGGCCAGCAGCTCGACGGAAGGCAGGCTCGCCGCGTTGGGCACGACTGCGCGGCGGACGCGGTCGACGGTGCGGACGATGTCGGCGCGGACATCGCTCTCGGTCATGTAGCTTGGCGAGCCGTAGCGCACGAGGTGGATTCCCTCGACGCGCGTGGGCGAGATCTGGTAGAGCGCCGGCAGCTGGGGCAGATGGAACTGCGAGTGCGCCGCCGCCGCGTTGATAAACTCGTGGCCCGCGACAAAGCCTGTCGCGTTCACCAAACCGACATACCAGCCTTGGGCCTCGAAGCGGGAGAAGAGCCCGTGCTCGCGAGCATCGAGATCGAGTGGGCGCATGTTGGCGAGCGTCGGTGGCATCGTGACCAGGAGCTTCCTCGCGACGATGGTCTGGGTGCGGGTCGGTGTCTTGACGACCAGGACCACGCGGCTGTCGTTGCGCTGCGCGGCCACGACACGGGACGAGACGAGTGCGCTCGCGCCAAAGTCGGCCTGGGCCCGGAGATAGACCTCCTGGTTGAAGGCCCGCTCTGTCACGAAGAAGCCCGGCGACGTTGGGAGCTGGCCATCCAAGTAGGCTGGGTTCAGGTACTTGAAGACGTAGAGCGTGGGTTTCGACAGCAGGTCGCCCAGGCCCTCGGTCTGGAAGTAGATGCTGAAGACGGAGGATTCGATGCCGTACTTGGTGACGAAGTCGCGGAACGTCAGAGCAAGATCCTCCGGAAGAGGGCTTGGCAGCGCCGTGTTCAGTGAAAGCTCCGGGTACTTGTACACCTCGCGCGCGAGGACGCTGATGTTCTGGTCTGGGCGGAAATCGGGCAGTTCCGTCGACGTCTTGAAGTCGACGTAACGGGTCTTGCCAAAGCCAACCTCGGCCAGCTTCACACGGACGAGCGGGATGTCGTAGTAGCCGAAGAAACGACGGATCGAATCCTCATCGCCGCCGAAGCCCTGTGCGCCGTAGTCGATATGGGTTTCCGTCCCCGGGACAGTGTAAGTCGAGACGTGGCCGCCAAAGTGGTCCCTCTCCTCGACGATTGCAAAGGAATGGTTCATCTCGCGCAGTCGAAGTGCGGCATACACGCCGGAGGCGCCGCCACCGATGATGGCAATGTCTCGCTCAAGGACATTGCTGGCATAGGCGGTGTGGATGGACGTCCATGCTAGGAAGGAGAAGGTCAGGAGCTTGAGTCTCGGAAGCGGCCGGTGCGAGACATGCATGCTGGGCGGCAGTACTACCTGGAGCTCTTGGCGGAGGGGGCGACGCGAAGACGGCAGGGGAAGGGAACTGAGATGGTACGCAGCACAGCTTCGCAAGCATAGAAAGGCTACAGCAAGCGGAGATTGAGAATGGTATTAGTCTTATATACTAATAGCTAGTATGCCTTGTAGGTTTATATCGCTTTCTGGCCCGTGGCTTCGCAGTTGTAATAGCGTTGTTGAAAGCTAGCCTACGGCCCCCTTTGCGAACGCCACAGCAAATCCTTCGGCCAAATTACCAGAATATACCTGAATTGAACCGGGCGATTGTCCATACTGGGCGAACAGATAGATCTGACGGCTGAGGTGAGACAATGCTACGGCTGAAGGCAGGGTACATGAGCTGAAAGGCAGCGGGGCCCGTTGCCCGTTGCCCCTTGCAGATATCCACGTGCGCATATGTTATGCTGAGGTGGTAGTGGAGCTCGGCGCCCGGCCTCCGGGGTCTGCCCTTCCCGGGACCCGCATCTCCGGATCTCCCACCAGAGTCCGAGTCCCACCCTGGTATTATCCACTGCAACGTAAAGTAGGTACTTGGGTAGGATTGCTTCGCGGGCATGCGGCTCGACTTACCACACGTTCGGCGCGCGAGCGCCGCCACTGACCGCTCCGGAGTTGGAAGTGGTACGTGCAGGGTAGAGCCGAGAACATGTGTGATGTAACATGTTCGGCTGCCGCCCCACGAGCCCCAAGGCAGGGGTAGAGGAGCATCTCGCTACCATGCTCGGTGGAATTCGCAAGGGGTGCTGATCCTGACGCATTCCAAGGAGAGCAGCCACACATTAACACAGAAAGGAGTTCCGAGGAATCCGGCAGGTGGATAGGCCATCACCTATCAATCCCACATTTTGTCACCATTCTCTTCCCGTCAACAACTACATCTAATAGTATCTACGACCAACAACTTGGGATTCGAACCATGGAGCCTCCCCAGCACGGACAAAGCCAGCTGGTTCGTATTGCCGAAGACATCCTAAGCCACACCAAAAGGCTTGTTTCCTGTCTGTCGGATCGCTCTTCCGCTCCGCCAACAAGCCTCGAGGTTGGTGCGCACTCCGAGCTTTGGGTTTCTGATATACACGATGGCGGCGATAGTACCATCGAACAACACCGCAACGCCTTGCGCGGCCTCGTGCAGCAGTTGGAAAAGCTGGTAGAAGGACCCCACGGCTTCCTGCACGAGTATGTCTCCACAAACTGGGAGCACGGCGCCTTGTATGCTCTCCTCGAGTTTGGTATCTTGGAGCAAATCCCGCTCGACGGAGCCATATCCATTGCTCAACTGGCCGAGAGGCGGGGACACTTGCCCTCCGAGAAGCTGCTGCGCGTCTGTCGATTGGTTGCCTGTGCCGGCATCCTGAAGGAGACGGAGGAAGGCGTGTTTGCGCATACCGCCATCTCTGAGGAGTTGGTCAGGGATGCAGGGTTCAGGTCGTGGGTTGCGTTTCAGTGAGTCAACAACCAATAATAGGAATACTTGTATGGTGATGGCATTTTCACCTCCTGATTCTTAATCCTCATATGGCAGGCTGTACGAGACACGGGTAGCAAGCGCCCATCTGGCCGATTCGCTACGGCAGAGCAATCCTTTCTGGGAAGGGCAGTCAGCGTTCGAGTACGCGTGAGTAACCTTCAGAGCGCCTTTCCACATTCAAGGTTGAGATTGCGGCCCTGACAGTGGAAAAGATGGGGTCTACCGATGTATGACTGGCATGCGAAGCATCCAAGACAGGGCCAGCGGTTTGCCGAGGCTATGGAGAGCGTTTCAAAGAGTGAGTGTGAGATCTCTCGAAACCGGAATTATCGTGCATGGGCTGACAGCAATGTGAAGATCTCGATCCTGGAAACAGCATGATCCTGTCCTGGTTCTCGGCCCAGTCCGGAATCCACGAAGACGAGACGGCACTTGTTGTCGATGTCGCGGGTAAGACGGGTTCGTTTGCTGCGGAGCTGGCCCGCAGCTTCCCAAAACTCAAGTTCGAGGTCCAAGACTCGTCCGAGACGTTATTAAGACGCGGACAAGAGAGCTTGCAGCAGCCGCTGACAAACAGAGTGATCTTTCGGCAGAGGGAACTCTTTGCCATGCGTTCTTTCGACGAACACGTTCAGGGAGAAGAACTCTTGCCGCGCGTCTTCCTCTTGCGCAGCGTCCTCTGGTGTCTCAATGACGAGTCCTGCATCAGACTGTTGCGCAGCTTCATACCCGCTCTCCAACATGCCAGCCGCCCTGCGCTTCTGATCAATGATCTGGTGTCGCCGGTCTGGGGCACCTTCGAACCGCACATTGAGAGGGCATTCCGCCGGCGCGATGTGACTGTCATGACGATGCACAACGCTAAACAGAGGACGTCAGCCGAATGGGATGCGCTGTTCCGGGCGGCCAGTGATCGCTTCCGGATCGAGTACCGGGAGGCGTATAGCTCACACAGCTGTCGTGGTCTCTGGACGATCCAGCTGGATGCTACCGATGCAGGTGGTCGGAGTTGATTGAGAAGAGAAACCAGTTTGTTAGAAGCATGCCGGCAGACTAGGTAGACAAATCACACTTGCAAATCACAGCACGTTGGAGAATTCCAGTTGTTGCTCGCCATTGACTTCTGGTTTGACCACTCACTACTATCCCCAAAGCCTTTTGCCTTGGGGATGGTAACATAGGTAAGGTAGGCACCAAGGCTGCTACCACAGGCTTCAGTGACGAATTGGGATGGCGAAACGCACATGGGATATCATGATGGACATTGCTAGTAGCATTCGAGTTGCACTATCCTGGTGCTCAGACATTAAGTTTGTTTTGTCCTTCTTCAACTTCATCCTATACCTGTCAAAGCCCGTCCGCTTCCTCCGCATCCCGCTTCGCCGTGGTCTCCATCTTGGTCTGAAGGTGCTGTAGATGGATCAAGTGGTCTTTCTCCTCCGAAGCCCACTCACGCTGCATGACTCGACATACACTTTCCCTCCGCGGGACGAAAGACACCTTGAAGGGCAACGGCTGCGAGTTGAAAGTGTTTGTGAAGGCCATGGGATCGACTGGGCATCTCGTCTTCACCCCGTCCCTCAGCTCGTAGGCATGCTCGACGTTGTATGCCCAAAGCATGCGCGCCGTGTTGATCAGCAGGGAGTTTTTGCCGACGTGTTGTCCTGGGTGATACTTCGGGTTAGTACTATAGTAGTAGCTAGCACCACGCTTTCGCTGCGGCAAGATCATGGGGGCCAGAGATACTAGTCTACTAGTAGTATCAGCTGTCAACACATACCAGGGCACACCCTCCGGCCGAAGCCAAACGGAAACAGCGGCAGATCGGGGTTTTCGATCCACCTTTCCGGAATAAACTCGCTGGGATGCTCAAACAACTGCGAATCCATGGCCATGGCCCATAGATTCGGGATGAGGACGGTCCCCTTGGGGATGCGGTATCCGGCGTACTCATCGTCCCGGGTGACGGCATGGGGGATCCCGCCGGGGATCACGGGTCGCCAGCGGAGGACCTCCTTTACGACGGCATCGATGTACGGCAGCTTCGGCAGGTCGTCAAAGGTGGGCATCCGCTCCGGGCCGACCACGCGGTCAATGTCCTCCTGGGCCTTGCGTGCCACGCGCGGATACAGCACCATGGCCATGACGAACACGGACAGCGCGATGGCGGTGGTGTCGCTGCCGGCCTCGTACAGCACGCCCAGCACGTAGCCCAGCTCGGTGCGCGACATGTTCCTGCTGCCTCGCATGGCCAGCATGTTCTTGGCCCAGTTCCAGCCGGGCTTCTGCTCGGCCGACCGCACGAGGCCCGCCAGGAAGGCCGACTCGAAGTCGTGCATGCGGTCGGCCGTGCGCTTCCATGGCGCCAGCGCCGTAGGCAGGACATTGACCCAGGGGAAGACGTCGACCAGCCAGGTGCGCAGGAAGACCTGGTTGAGCTCGTGCATGACCTGGTTGGCCGTCTGCAGCTCGGGCTCGTCGCCCCGCGCGAGGCGGATGCCGTAGGCCAGGCTGTAGACGAGGCTGGCCGAGTAGCGGAAGAAGCGCTCGGCAAAGCGCTCGCCGGCGTCCGGCTCGGCCAGCTCCCGCAGCAGCTGCCGGCTCTCGAGGTCGTGGAGCGGGCGGTAGGCGTCCGAGACGCGCACGTTGAGCACCGACGCGTGCAGCTTGTGGTAGGCCCGCCAGCGGTCGCCGTACGGCAGGAACAGGATGCGCAGGTTGCGCGAGATGCACTCCTGGACCATGGGCGCGCGCGGGCGGGAGCTGTAGATGGCGTTGCGCTTGTCCAGCAGGTCGCGCGCCACTTCGAGCGAGCCGATCATCACGGCCTTCTGCCCTGGTCCGAACTGCATCGTCACGAGCGGGCCGTGCTTCTTGAACAGCTCGGCAAACCCCCGCCACGCGTGCTCCTTCGGAATCTGGTGCACGTTCCCGATGAAGGGGAGCGGCCGCGGGCCGGGCGGCATGCGCCGTCGAGAGGCATACTGCTGGACGGTGGATGCGACGAGGCAGACAAGGATGGCGAGGAGCACCGATGATAGGATCCCATTCCCGGCCATGCCAGTCACGGTTGATTCGGCGTCGCCTACTATCTTCATCGTGGCTGCCACACCTCCGGTTAGCGCTTGTTGGGGGTATGGATGGAAGGCCGCGCGGTGTTTCCATGTATTGTACATAGCATTCCTGTCTGCTGGCAGGAAGCACCATCGGCAGAGACCGTATGTAGTCTAATTGCCGCGGGCTGCACCCCCTCTGAGGCCGGGCCGCCCGGGCCCCCTCGGAGTCCGGAATCCGGACGCACCACCCACGCGCCAAGGCTCGCCGAAGGACCCGAGAAAGCAAGCCACCCGGAACAACCAGGGCGGAGTGAGGTACTAGTACTAGTTAATAAATCCCGGATTATCAATATTTTGTTCCTATACTACTACTAGTAGTTGGAGCTTGCGCTTCGTCAATGGTACTCTATTAGGATTGTTTTTACCTTTGACTACTACTACCAACAACCTTGTCGCTCCGTGTAGACCATGGCGCTCTTTCCACGATCCCAGCTGTTCGAGATCGAGGACATGCCGTGGTGTCCGTCCTGGCTCCGCGAGTACTCACACCGGGCGCTCCACCAGATGTGGAACACGGTTGGGCCGGGCCGGACAAGTTCGACAGCCGCCCAGGCCTGCGACATCCTCGTGTCGAAGCTGCCCGCCGCGCCGACCGCCTACACCTTCGTCGACGCCTGTGCCGGCGCCGGCGGGCCAACGCCCATGTTGGAGCGCAATCTCAACGCACGCCTCCGCGCACGCGGCGAGAAGCCGGCCCGGTTCGTTCTGGCGGACCTGTATCCGGATTGGGCCGCCTGGAAGAGGATCACGTCCGCGTCCGAGAACATCTCGTTCCAGAGCAAGCCCGTCGACGCCACCACGGTAACGCGCTACGTCGACGACGACACGCTGGAGTGCCGCCTGTTCAACCTGTGCTTCCACCATTTCGACGACGACCAAGCGGCCAAGATCTTGCGCGCGTCGATCCAGAGCTCCGACGCATTCGTGTAAGTTTGGCCCATCTACTAAGTAGTACTACTTACCTACAAGTTGGCGCTTCCATAGTACCTGGTTGACTCCTCTCTGACTCTCTCTACCTTACGAAACGAAAAAGCATCTTTGAGATGACACAGCGCAACATCCCAGCGCTGCTCAACACGTCGCTGGTGATCCTCTCCCCGCTGCTCACAACCCTGGTCTGGTTCTGGTGGTCGCCTATGCACCTGATCCTGACCTATGTCGTCCCGGTCGTGCCCTTGTTCTTTGCCTGGGACGGCTACGTGTCGTGCATCCGCACGCGCTCGCCCCAGGAGATCCGGGACCTCATCGCGACCGAGGAGAGCCGGGGGCGCCTGGACGCCAGCGGGTGGACCTTCCATCACGGCGAAACGACGGTTCTTCCGCCCTTTGGCAATTTATATTGGTTTGTGGGCGTCAGGAACAGCAGGGATGCTGGACTTTAAGATCGCGGGTTCAACTAGAAGCCGATGGGTCTAAGCCTTATTAAGGGGGGAGGAGGGGAAATAAAGAGACTGCTAGTATTAGATAGTACTAGTAGTATTAGACAAATGCATAGCACGACCTGGTAGCGGAAGGCTCAAGCAGAAAAGTGAACTAGAAGCTACATTACACGTGCAGTACATACTTCCTACAGTGGTAAATGACTATGCGCATGGGACGGTAACACTAAGGAAGACGACAAGGGAAATGGGACGAACGGACCATCTTCAGTGCAAAGAGATCTTGGCAATTACCAAATGTGACGGCCTGGACAACCCCTTCATTTCCATTTCCCAGACGCTTCACCCAGCGGATCGGCTCCCCATCCGTGGGAATCGGCGGAGTTTCGGCGACAGGAAGTCGGCCCAACGACAGGGCGGCTCACCCTGCATCGGCTCGCTGGACAGAAATGGCGGTAGCTCCATAGCCCTGGTGAATGGTGCCTGTGTCGGAGGCGGGATGCGGACAATGGGGACTGAATCCGGGGAATGGGACGACGGTTTTGGAAGCCAGGGGCAACTTCAGAACTGCGTTCGGTGCGGAGAGGGACGACGCGATCGAGATCGAATCCGCTGTCAAGCTCTGCTCGGCATGTATTAGGTATGCTGTTGGTAAGGAAGCGCCGGTTGTGGTTGGATCAATGCCGCCCGCGACGCGTCTTGACGACGAGGTTGACAGGAACAAGTCGCACGGTTCCCGATGGCATGCTGTGACGCCAACAACTGGCGCCTCCATTACTAGCAGCGCTGACCGGCCAACCGATGTTTGTGCACTGTGAGTTTGTGCAGCTCGTGTCGTCTTGGCGGCCAAAGACGCCCAACTGTGACGCCGTCACCTGAGAGCGGTTAGATAGGACACTGGATAGCGGTGAAGGTTTCACGGTGAAACGCCTCCCATTCTAGCTGGATCTATTTTTTTAAGCTGGCCTTTTTGGACTGTAGGGAACGGGCCCAAAAGACTATAGGTACCTAGGTACCTGACCTAGGTACCTTACCTACGGAAACCCGCGCTTATTGTAGATACCGCTATTTGTTCGCCCCCTGGTCAAGTCTTGCCCGTACCCGCTGCGCTAGCCATCTCTGGCATTCAATGAACAGAAGATAGGATGTACCATAAGATGTAGAAACGGCATGTAACAGAAACATCGAACAAAACTGATGTATTTTAAAGTGAGCGCAATACTAGTACAGCTCAATCAAGCATGCAAGACCACTGTTTTGCTTGCATGTATTTGGTGGTACGGAGTATTGAGGCCCAAAATGTCGCCAAATGCATGTGGTCGCCTACGCGGCCGAATTCAGATGTACAATACAATGTATACACACGAGAGAGTCACGACGCGAAGGGCCTAAGCTGTGGCTGAGACTAAGACCTTTTTTTTTTTTTTTTTTTTTTTTTTTTTTTTTTTTTTTGGTATCATCACAGCACACTATATTGTCATGGACATGATTCAGGCCGAGACCTTAGCAATCAAGCGGCCCCGATCGGGCCCTAGATTTGCCCGCTTCTGCGCGCGCCGGGAGTTAAAACGTAGCGGGCAGGTACGGTTGCTTTGCAGGTCCTCCCTGCCAGCAGATACCTAGAAAAAGATGCTATATGTATACGGTACCTAAGTAGCTAACAGTTTACGTGACACGTATTTGATTGTAATTCGCAGGCACGATATGGCTGTTCTCAGTAATTCTAGGAGTCGACCGCAAGCTATACGAGACAATTACGAATGGCGGGCTTTGTTGGTAACGTTAGTCGATCTTCGTAGGACTATGCGTCTCTAACTGTGATCCCGTCAGTTGACCCAAAGTTGTATGATTCAGGTAGTTAAGAGGCTAACCTAGTACCTCAAGTCGCACCATAATAGGTCCAACTCTTGCAGTTGGTGCTGCGATGCTTGGGAGAGTATGGTGGACCCTGCGTGTTAGCCTCGTGATGAACTAGTACCTAGTTATGTTGGTCCCAGTTTAGTCTCCGGGCCATCGCGGCAACCCATGGGGCAACCGACACCACCATTCACAGCCTTAGACAAATGTGAGTATTATGCCATAGTCATGCAGAGCATGTTGGTCAAGGTTTCAAGCCCTGACGTCCTAAGGTTCCACCAAATGGGTCGTCAGGCTGCGACCGCAAGGAAAACTCCTAAGCGGATTCGCCAGGGGCATCTTGATTTCATTCCAGATGTACCAACTTAGACCTTGCGCGCCGCAAAGGGGAAGGTGGCAAGCCGGGACTTAGGTGACCTGTGCCTAAGTTTGAAGATCTCCGGTGTGCATGGCCGCTGCCTCGCTCAATTCGCCCGACGGCGTGGGCCGCCAGGTCACAGATGGTACACAGCCGGATACGGCGGCAACAGGAATAGCAATGATGCGGATTGTCTCCCATGCCGTACTATATAGAGATCGATCCCATCGCCGCTAGACTAACCCATCCGATAACAACGAGCCACGACCAAGAGCACTTGTTTGCCTTCTCCCGTTTTATCCTTCCCGCTTTGCAGTTCCACCCGATGAACACCAACCAAGAGCACTTGTTTACCTTTCCCCATCTTCTATCTTCTCCTTCGCATTTTGAAGAAGCACTCGTACCGAATTCCCGGCCGATTATTCCACCATCATGTCCTCCACCACCATTCTCCGCGAGCTATCTGTTCCAAACCCAAAGGTGGATAGTTCTAGGACCAAGCCCGGCCCGAACTCGCGCAATGAGAAGTGGGAGGATGGGCGTGACGAATTGGTGAAATGGGAGGACTTCAGCCTTTACACCATGAACCGCCTCTACGGCCACATTCTCCGCGCGAGCTGGGACAACCCACCTGTTTTCCATCCTACCGAGGACGTGGAGGACCTTCGAATCGGTAATGAAGACTGTCTCGACCATGTCATCACGAAGTATCTGCTGCCCTCGGTCAACCAGAGTCTCATATTTGCCAACACGGTTCAGCATGCTGAGTACGCGGAGCTGGCCGGAGCCTTCCGACACAGCCCGGGGAACAGGGCACATATCGGTCGCGGTGGTCGAGCCTATAACGGCGATGACGGAGATATCCCGGATTGGGCCGTCGTATCCCCGGGAATCAATGCGGATGGAACTCTGCTTCCTAGGAACCTCATCCCCGGCGACACCAAGCTTGCCATCAAGTTTAACGACGAGCTAGCAAAGATCAATCTCAGCCAGTACAGTTTGCCGCTATATCAGATCCAATATTATGCCAAGACGGTAGGCTCCCGTTACGGCTTCATCATCACCGAAGACGAGCTTGTCGTCTTCCAATTTGCGTGGGAGAGGACGGGAAGCCGCAGCGCGGGTAGAAAGACCTGCCTCAGCCGGAGACGGAGACCCAAGCCGGCCTTCCACTACGGGCACGGCCGCAACCGAGGGCGGAAAGGCGTTCGATGACACGCACACGAACTTTGATCTCACCTCTCCCAGGTCCGCCACGATCCGCTGGTCAGCGGAAGGGGACGGGGTGATGACTGTGCGTCTGGCGCTCTTCTTTCTCTGCATGCTCGCCACAGAGCATGACGGCGCCAACCTGGGCTTGGATTCTTACCCGCCTTTACACTCGTGGACTCGAACCGGCGACAGCGAGTTCACGCACAACACCACAGGGCGAATCGTCACCGCGCAGCCGCCCAACGGCCGCGTGTTCGAAGAGCACACTGCCACGAGTCGGTCGTCGGCAACCTCCAGGTCACCCTCGGCCAGCGGCAGGTCCACTCGCAGCACCAGCGCCACCAGGCGGACCCCTGACAGCCATCAGGTTGCTGGCGGCGGCCAGACCGGTGCGGCCGCCAATGTCAGCGTGCGCACTCGCGCCCAAGAAGCCACGCACACCGCTGTGGCCGATAGCATAGTCGTCGCCAGCGGGAGTGGTATCACTATTAGCATGCCCAGGTCGGCTCCCAGTACTAACCACCCGGCTCGTGGTCAGTCTTCTCATGCACAGCCCACCCAACCCGGGCACGCCCGCGGCGGCCAGCATGGCCATAGTGGCACCAACTCTCATGCCTCTGCCACTGCCACTGCCACTGTTACTTTCACTGCTGCTGCTGCTGCTCCCACCACTACCACTGCTCAGGCTGCCACGGCTCCTCCATCTCAGGGGGTTCCCCAGCCACGGAGAAGCGCGCGGTTGGAGGAGGCGGCCCGGCAGGCGAGTGCGGGAAGAGGACCTAGTGCTGCCAAAAGTGGCGGAAGTGGCGGTGGCAGTGGTGGCAAGGATAGTAAGGGCGGCAGTCGTGATAAGAAGAAGTAGGTGGGGGCGAAATAGTATTGTTGGATTTACCTCCCCTAGCTGGTCTAGGCGGTAGGTCTGCTGTTTATGTTGTTCGTTTATCTCGTTTTTGTTTCCAAGTCGGCTCTGCTTTCCCAACTTTCTATTGTTCCGTTTAGTTACCTATAGAGCGTATCGACCTAACTTGACGTTATAACCTATCTTAAGAAGTTACGCCAAGTACTAGTACTACTAGTAGTAACAGTCACTAGTCTTTGGTGGCGTCCTCATCAGGCCCTCACCTAAGCACCTCAAGCCAGCAGAACCTCCTTCCACACCGGTCCCGGGTCACAGCTCCTCGTAATCGCACTCCTCAGCACCAGCCCGACCGCCCGCCGCTCGGCTAGTCCTCCACTCCACTCCAACACTAGCACGTGATAGAACTCATCCGGCGCCTCCCACGCTAGAGCCCCTTCCAGCCACTTGTCGTAAAAGACCCAAGGTTCCTTCACCGTCTCGGATACAGCAATCATCTCAAACGGACCATGCCCATGAAAGAAGGTACTCCCCTCCAGACCGTCGAGGTACAACGCCCCACAGGCCGTTCCGCCCCGATCCCTGACCATCGCCATGCCGCGGATAGGATCCATAATTTCGAGGTGAAAGAACACGGCGAGCGTCCAGAACTGCAGGATGGGATAGCTTCTCAGGGCAGTCACCTCAACGGTCCCGTGGGCTTGGGTTCTGGTCGTGGCAAAGGGCAGGGCCACCGGAGGCGTGAATGGCCGCCTCGGCTCGCGGTAGCCGATGTAGTTGTCATCGTGGAACGGAAAGCTGTCGTTTGCCAGCGGGTCCCAGACGAGATTGGCAACCCCGCGCGGGCTGCGCTTGTACCACACGATCCAGGTGTGGTCATGGAGCCATTTGTTCTCGTCGCCTGGTAGGTCAACGACCATGACGGGGCCCTGCCAGCCGGCCCAGGAGTAGCTGGGGAAGCCTTCCCTGCGGCGCAGCATTGACCGGTGCGAACGAAAGAGTAGGAATAGATCCAGCGATGCGGTAGGAAGCCCTTCCAAGAAGCGACACTTCATCTTGTGTGACACGCGACGCATGATGCCGGCCATTGCGTTGAGCACATCGCCTTGGTAGGTCAGCGCCCGGCGGGAGTAGTAGAGGAGCATGGTCGAGTAGTCCTCAACAGAACTCTCCATGCGCACTGCACCAGGGAGCATGGAAGCGAGGTCGACACTCCACATCCTCTCTTCGTCGAGGCTAGAGTGGAAGCGCTCATTCAGCGTAGTCTTGCGGCAGCGGAAGAAGACATTGTTGTCCACGAAATATACACATCTTCGTGAGAGTATGTTCTCTTGAAACCTGCCAGGTAGGCTTTGGTCAATAAATGTTGGTCAAGAATGAGGAATGAAACGCTTACGTCCATGCCCGGGTGCTATAGACTGAGTTCTTAAGCAGCAGCTCGAGCACAGGATAGGCATCCAACTTCACGCCAGGAAGTATCTCTTCGGAGGGCCTAGACATGAACCGAGTCCCTTCCTTAACGCCTGGAAGACCGGCATCTGCATCGTGACCGCACGCAGCGACAACGGTGAGTAGGGCCTTCTCGTAGATTAAGTCCATGGCCTGGACTCCCCGGCGCACATCGTCTGGGTCGTTCTGGACGAGACACAGGGAATCAACCCAGAGATAGCGTTCGCCTATTCCTCGAACGAAGGCTGTGGCATCGCGAACCGTAAGAGCGATACTAGGAGCGTACTGCGTTAGTGCTTCCGGCTTCGTCAAAACCGCCTTGTTCGTTGTGCTGAGTCGCACACACGCTGCCTGGCCCCAGACGTAGCTCAAAGCCACGTAACGGCAGACCTTCTGCTTCTCAACTATGCACATCTTCTCAACATCAACAAACCGCATCAAACCCAGTCCAGGATAGCAATCCGCAACCTCGGTATCACTATCCACGCTGTTGCTCCCACATTCCCGGCCATGATTCTGTTCGCAGTGACCAACCCATTTCCTAACCCGTTGCAGATCCAAGGCTTTCCCAAGATTGGGAGTTAGGTAATGTATGTATTTGTTCCGAGATTCGACATCACTGTGAGGGTCGACTAGGAACCCAATCCTCACGTCGCGGTAAGGGGTAACATAAAAAAAGCCCGGACTCCGAAACGGAGTGTCGGAGGTCCATTGTAGCTCCACTTCCTTGTCGGCGTCGGGCCTGGACCAGGTATTTCCATTTCGTGCGTACTCGTACAAGCAAAACAACACAATTCGACAGAGCGGACAATCGCTTGTCTGGACTCGCTGGAAGGTTCCGAGGGAATAGGCACCGCCAAACGTCTTGTGTCTGACTGCCAGAGCGACTTTCTGGCAATAGGCGCATAATCCATTCGGGGCAACCGCAGGCGATACATGGCTGTTGTCCATGGCACATCAAGGTTACTGAAGGACTCAATCTCAGATCATAGAGCCCCTGGCGCGTTGTGGAACGAAAGTTCCTATGAGGAACGAAATGACCAGAAGAGAGGAATGAGAAATCTTACCCCGCTAGTTCCCTTGCGGCAGAAAAGAAAATAATGAGTAATACAACAGCGTTTCCAACTCATCCTGATTCGCCTGCAAAAGGCCGTACCTCGACCAATAGCGGCAGGATATTCCTAGTTGTTCCGCAGTGCCGCTTCGTGTTGACTGGCCATTGAGCCCCTCGCCCGTGCCTTTTTCTTGCGTTGGCGAAGTACCAGTAGCCTCTTATAGAGAACCTTTAGTAGGGGCAATGCCATGAGTTCCGTTCGCCCCTTTCGGCGTCTCCCCACTACCCCACGGCTATCACGAGCCGAAGTGTCACATTTCCGTGTAACTTCAGTGTGCGCACAGGTGTGCAGCACCGGAAACTTGGGCGCAGAATGATTGGCTGGAAGTTGCCCGACGGTCGAGGGGCGTCTTTCGTAACATCCCGAAGCTGAAGTGGCGTGTTGAAAGTTCCGTTGGCTGGTCTGGATCCATCATCATGGTTGGTTTCATTGCATTTCAGGTGCTGTCGTGCAAGCCAATTGTATCCCTTGAGATACCCGCCCTGGGTGGTGGTGGTTGTTGTTGGGGGGGTGCGACCTGCTTTCATTGTCCTGCAACTTTCACATTGCATTGCGCCAAAGCCACACGTTCGGCTATTCCACGCTCTCTGGGGAGTGGTATTGGAGAGGAGAAGGCTCTGGCGCAATAAATGTCTATTAAAATTGCCAGAGTCCTACGGGTATCCTACTGCAAGTATCGCTCATGCTCTCTTCGCTCCAGGCAGGCTCATCAACATGAATTTCACCCTAACTGTGCCTGAAGGCTCTACAAATCATGGCAATCCAAAACTGTTGTGCACACCTCCCGAATGGTATGACTTCATTATTTTCTTCTTTACGAATTATGTTGCGCATGCTGCGACCGTTGTTCCAGAGCCTGGCCAAAGCCCTGTGATGGCTGCTCTTCAGATCCTTCTTGCTCTTACCCTGCCGGGTAGCGCAGTCTTTCGAGCTGTAAATGCCATCGCACGGCATGCGGCAACCGAAACGAAGGACCCATTACGACGCGCTGCTAGAGCAAATGCTCTCTGTATGGTTCTAAAGAAGCGGCCTGCCACCAAGTTCTTGGTAGCGATAAGAAGTAGGGACAACCGGTCTGAAGTTGAGAGCGGAGATACTGCTGGGAACAGCATCCGAGTCGAAAGCTGGCAGCCAAAGGAGAAGACATTTCGTATGCCAAACGCGGCCGAGGAAGGAAACAAACAGTTGCCCGGACCTCAAATCCGTCCTGTATCTCGGGGACTAGACAGTATTGCCATAATGTAGGTTAGACTATTACCGTCCATTTACGTCGGTCCCCAATACTTTTGTTTAACTACAGAGGCACGCTCCTATCGTCAGATTGACCCTGGTGGGAGTCTGCTCAAGGCTCCCACCCCATTCCGCCTGACGCGACTGTCCACGGCGAATATTGGCTCCACGAAGATTACTACTTCGCCGTTGTCCTGCCCACGGCCTCATTAACGCTCTCCTTCGACCATGACGGGCGCAACCCCGAGGATATTGACCTCGGCAACTTGCATCACTCGAAAGCGGTGCTGGCTTCGTCACACAACATTCTGAAACTCTCCATCAGTTACGTGCAGGCCATGTGGGCAACCGCCACGGTATACCGTGCGCGACGGGACCAGATTCATCAGTACGGATACGCTGCGTTTGGTCTGACGGTGGCTCCATATGCCGTCATGTCGATCCTGAACACGCTGGCAAACATGCTGACGCCCGAGTACCCAGCGATGTTCGTGATCAGAACACCGGCAATGGCAGACGCCGAGAGGGAAAATAAGGGCTTCTTCAAAGGGGCTATCCGTGTGGATCTCGAAAATGCGAACAATACGACGGAAGGAACACCCACGAGAGGGGCAGAGATGCTCCCGGAACTCCGTCCACTCGTCAAAATTCCGACTTCGGTAATCCTAGCAAGTCTTCTACTCAGCCTGGTTCCACTTGCAATTGTTGAGGGGCTTTCGGGGTTTCAGGAGGGAAACAGTTCACAACTTGAACGAGGTTTCACTATGTCGTGGCTAATCGTCGGAACCATCTACGGGGTGCTCGCTGGCATAAACGCAGGTCTGAGCGGCCCAGGCGATGAAGTCGTAACGTCGATGATGGCAGTCATCCAAACGTCCCGGACGCGTCGGTATTTCAGGGTGATGGAACGGTTATTGCTGGGCTTCTTTTCCGTACTGGGCTTGCTACTTTTCTTGGGTGTTTCCGCGGTAGGCGGCATGGTTATCGTAGGGAGGATGATCCGTGATTTTGGCCTGTGCACTTCAGTTGACTAGGACGTGACAGGCGGCACTACCATATCCTAGCTCAAGGTGGGAGATGGTTGGCACAAGTACAAGTGTCCGCGGTAGGCTGAAGCACCTTAGAGGCGCTCAGTGGCAAGCAGTCAATGAATCTTCTAGATGTTGATGACCCAGCTCCCTGCCAAGGCGGCGACCGCATCAAGGAAATATCACCGACGAGGCGGGCCAATCGAATGTGTAGAAGACTTTGATTAATGAAGAGGGTATTTTATGTGATGCTGACCTGACCTCACTGCGGGAGCTTGTTCGACACTTCGAATTCCGGGTTTACCCACGTCGGGTTCCCAGATTTCTGACGCATTGCGCCGCCAAATCGATGCAGCGCTGCCATCACCGGGATACAGACGAAGATAGTAATCATGGCATGGCCAGCAAACGTCCAGGTAAAGCCCACATGCTCCACCCACGGCACGATGAAGAACGGGTCGACGAAGGCAGACAGGTTCAGCATCACAGCATAGAAGGTCATGGTAGCCATGCTCTGCATCGGGTACGCATCCACCACATACGAGCAGATCGCAGTGTTTCCCATCTGAATACCGGCGCCAACTTTTGACCGAGAGACAATCAGTTCTCCTTTCCATTCGTACGGACACCCTGGTTGGTCAGGATTTCAGGGGGGCAAAACTTACAGAGACCCAAGGCCACTTGACCCACGATCCAGTGGTAGCCACGGTCGACACTGACGCCCCAGACGACCAGGCCAACAGCAGTCAGCACGGCGGCGGGATAAGCGAGCCAGAGGCGCATCTCCGGCGTCTTCTGGTTGTTGTGGTTGCTCTTGGCTAGCTTGATGACGATCCAGTCGCTCAGGCTGCCAGAGCAAAACACTTCAGACACCAACGTCCCGACTATTAGGCCGAGATACAAAAGCCTGAATGGTTTGCTGAGTTAGCTCAAGACGGACTTCGATGTTGTCACGGGGTAAGAACTATTACAGTAAGGTAGGTAAGGCAGACTCACCCTTGGATGTGTGCGGCATACGTTTGGTACGCAACGGGCACCAGCGTCACCACAGAAAGTACCCACCAGTACCAGCCAAAGCAGTAGGCGATGACGGAGATGGGGACCACCATGTACCGGAACGTCTTGATGAATCGGAAGGCGGTGTCGTATAGCCGTGGGTGCTTGATCCCCGAAAGTGGGGAGAGGTTCGCGAATGGTAGGTCCTTGGTCTTCCGCACAATGAGATGCTTGTTGGGAGGAGAAGTCGCCAGAACGGTCTTCTCGTCACCTGACGACGGGGTTGTCATCACGGCACTCTGCGCAGTTCCCGCAAGCATGAGGTGGCGCGGGTAAAGCGTCTCGGGGAGGAAGAAGAGCTCAGCGAGAAGGATTACGCCGAAAAAGATGGCAGAGAGCCACTGGATCCATTGGTAACCCGCCATGTTGACGAACCCGCCGATGAGCGGGCCAAAATACAGCCCTTGGTCGATGGCCAAGACCCAGAGTCCCAGCTTCTGGCCGCGTTCATGCTCGAAGAAGATGTCGTTGATGATGGCCAAGCCGACGTTGGCCGCGGGGCTGACGCCCAGCCCCTGGAAGAAGCGCGCGGCCATGTAGCCCGAGTAGCTTGGGGCTAGGGCCGCTCCGATCGTCGACAGCAGTGCCATGGCGGTGCCGAGGATGAAGATTGGACGCCGGCCGATGATGTCCGCCGGAGACGCCCACAGCAATGGGCCGAGAGAGAGGCCGAGAGCAGGAATGGCGACGGTCCAGTTGACTTCGGCCAAGCCGGCCGAGTATTTCTCTTGGAGAGTTGGGAACGACGGTACAGTGGTCGTTGTGATGTAAGTGAACATGAAATACCTGTTCCCGCACGGGTTACCTATCAGTATTACCCCTTAGGTGTCACTACTAGTAGAAAGGAAGCATGCTACTTACAGAGACATTACAATGGCCAGGATGATGTGCTTTTGCGCGGATGACCAGTTCAGGGGGTCAAGGTCGTCGTCCAGGACAGGTTGCGGGAACAGTGGGAAGCCATCTTTGCTCAAGACAAGCTCTTCAGTTACTTGACCAGCGGAGTTGTATGGTTCCACGCCCAAGGGTGTGCGAGGTGCCGACACCTTGTCTCGCTTCTCGTCGTCGGCCATGTCGACGATTCGATCCTGGTCATGGACCTTGGAGGTTGGTTGAGGGGAAGCAACAGGTGGGTTTGCTAACGGTTGGGGCAGCGGCAATTCGAATCAGGGAGTTCCAAGATCAGGACCATGATGGTAGGAGAAAATAAAGTGCTAGTATATAAGGTGGATAGATTGAATATTAAGAGTACACATAACAGTCCACCTCTGCCAGCACCGTGTTATTGAACTGTTCTCCAGCAGCGTAAATCAACAGGAACCATGACCGAGGCGTAGTAGATACAATACGCACTTGCCCATCTCTCGTCTTATCGTGCCAGCCCGTTGTGGCGCTGGCCTCTTATCTCTCTTCGCTCCGCATCGGCGTTCTGCCAGCAGTAATATTACCAAAAACGGAGCAGTACGCGCCTTATCGATCGGCTCTCGAACTCACCAGCGTCGTTATCAACAACGCCCAACACTCGGAAATGGTGCATGTGTTATCTCCGGCCTATGGTGATTAGACCCGATCAAGAATCGTGGGGAAGGAAATCCGTGTTCTCGGAACTGACTGGATACCGTAGGCAAGGTCACATCTCCCCACGCTTGTTCAACTACAAAGTGGCACTTCAACGGTCATGTTGGGGGTCGTCCAATTCCAGCCCTAGGACGTAGATAAGTACGTACCTAGTAGGTACTTTGCCACTCTACCTGCCAACAGCTGCCTTCTGTCACTCAGAGGCGTCGTTTGAGCAACCACTGGCAACACCACTTGCAACGGACAGCTCATGGGAAGTGCAATAGATGCTGCTCAGAGTGCAGTATAAATACAACTAGTAGTACAATACATACATCGCCGCGTCGCAAGACATATTGTCCAGAGTCCGGGCCTAGCTCGTAGTGATTTTAGTCTATACATCCTACTAACAGGAGACAACACTTGAATCGTGATTCTCATCATCCAACCGGTCCACAGCCCTTTGCACCTCATTCTCCCAGTTGCTCAACCCGACAATCACCCACTCCAAGATGCCCACCAGCGAGAGAGCGATGCATTGCCCCATCCACAGACCGGCCAGTCCCCAGCCGTGGAACGCAAGATAGATACCGCCGGGAAGAGCACCGCCATAGTACGACACGCAGTTCACGAGCGCACCCACCCACTGACGGCCCATGCCCCGCAACGCGCCGCCACAGCTGCCGTTCAGCCCATCCGCAATCTGGAACAGGGCGACGTAGGGGATGACCTCGGCGACGAGGACAATAACCCGCTTGTCACTGTTGAAGAGCCCCCCGAAAACATCCCTCGTTGCGAACAGGACGGTAAGAAGAACCGAACCGAAGGCGACAGACAGGAGGGCAGCGCAATGAGCAGAACGCCTCGCGGCCGTGGGACTTCTCGCCCCGAGCAGATTCCCCAGCCGCGCCGACTCTGCCACGCCGAGGCCGAACGGGATGGTGTTGATGATCTGGTCCGCCGTCATGACCACCGATTGGGCGGCGAGGGGAAGCGTTCCCAGCCGGCCGGCAGCAAGGGCGACAATCTCGAACGCCCACCACTCCGTGCCGACATGGACGACGCCCAGGAAGGCGAGCTTCGCAAAGGGCCACGAGTTTGCCAGCGCCCGTCTTGGCTGCAGCCCGCTCCAGCACTGCTTGCCCTGGACAAAGGCGGCGTAGGCGACAAGAAGCAGGAAGGAAAGCCAGTAGGAGATCCCCGTGGCCAGGGGAGCGCCGTACATGCCGAGATCAAAAGTGTAAATGAACAAGTAGTTGAGAACAGCGTTGAGCGGCGAGGTGATCATGAGGGCGTATGTCCCTGCCCGGTAAGCGCCCTGCGCCTGCAGGAACTTCTTCATGCACTCGAACCAGACGTAACCGAGCCCGCCGGGCGCCAGGAGCTGGAGGAATCTGGCGCTGTGGATGCAGATGGACTCGGGCTGGCCCAGCGCCCGGAACAGATGTTCGGAAAAGCACCAGATGACCACCACGACGGCGTAGAACCCAGTCAACACAAATATCCCCCTCTGTAGCAGAATACCAAGGTTCCCCTTATCCTTTGATGCCGTGAAGCTGCTCGAGGCCAGCGTGTCAAGGGCGCTCGTGCCGCCCAAGGCGATCAGCCAGGCCGTCGCCATGGCAAACATGTATGAGAACGCAGCAACTGCGAGGGCCTCCGAAGACAGCCGTCCCACGACAAGGACGGACACTGTCTGCAGACTGTTTTGGAGCATGTACGCGAGGATGACGGGAATCGAGGCCTTCGTCAAGAACCACATCTCGGCGATCCATTCAACATGTTCTGGTCGGGCGGCCGATCGACGAGCGCGATGGGGGGAGAGCAGGGGCGCCGTTTCGTCGGGGTAGCCCTCGGCATCTGGAGGGAGGGTTTCGTGGCTAGGTCGGGACTTGTTCATTCTTTCTTTCTGACAGACTAGTCTTTGTGGAAGGAGAGTTGGGCTCTTGACGTTTCCAGTTGGTGGTTCGGACAATCGTTGGCCGGTCTTCTCGTCGAGGTCAATCCTCAAACGGCCTCCGAGTTAGGTCGGCCTTCACGGGACTTTAGTGAACATCATACGCGCCAGGACGTGATGCCGATTGTTGACCAATCTGTCCTGTCGTGCATACGTTCTGCAGCATCCCGCAGATGTTATCAGTCCATGCCATGCAGCAAGCCATGATAGCAAGCCGTTCTGCGGTCCGCGGGGCTATCGCCAATGGCCATCGGCCAAGTATCAAACCAATCCGCGGAAAAGCAGCATGTCCGCGTCATGATGACTGCTCAGCGATTGGACTCCGGGCGGCTATCAGACCTTTTTGGGGAAGGGAGGCAGACAGGGCTAGGATATCGCGCACGGCTCTCGATCTCGCTGCTTGGAAATCCGGGGATATTGTGGACTAACGCGATCCGGCAATGTAGCCACGATAACAGGGATGTGGAGAAGGTTTCGGCAGAGCAATGGAACCCCGGAGAGACTTACCAACTAGACCCATTTTGGTGAATTAGGCGCCTGGCAGGTCCGAATGACGATTTTATCGTAGGTTGTCCAAAGACTAGAACAGACCGGCGTCAGAGGAGGGGGGATGCATGGCGTCTCTGGTGTATACCCACCCTGGTGAGGGACATCAGCTGTCTCGTGGATGTATAAGACAAGGTCTGCAGTTCAAGCCAAATGATCAAGTCTTCCTGCTTCGCCATCAGGTAGAACGTAAAGTCATAACGATGTATTCGGCGCTGTTGACCCTCGGATGGACGGCCATTGCCACCGCCCACGCCGGGCATGAGCAAAAGACCATTGCGGGACCCCACCAGTCACTGTGGTATAACACGCTTCCCGGAGATGGCGGCACCCAAGTATGCCTTCTCCAATTTCTCGCAAGTTTACCGATAAACGAGTCACTAACACGCTGACGCAGGCGGACTCGGTCTTCTCCGGGATCTCTACCTTTGGCCGTCTCCCCTACCAGCCCTGCCTCCAGAACCCCGACGCTATTTATGACATTGCCTTCATCGGTGCTCCGTTCGATACTGGAACATCGTACCGGCCAGGCGCTCGCTTCGGCCCGTCTGGTATCCGCCAGGGCTCTCGCCGACTGAATCTCTAGTATGGCCGCTTCTGGTTCCTTGGCAAGCCGCCTTCGTGTTGACCACCAATTCCAGTGGAGGGTACAATGTGCCCCTGAAGACCAACCCGTTTAACAGCTGGGCAACGGTGCTCGACTGCGGTGACATCCCCGTTACCTCGTAAGCCTCAAAAGCCAATACCAGCCCCCCTGCAGACCGGGTCAGGGGAACTGACAATCACATAAGCTATGACAACACTTGGGCCCTTCACCAGATCGAAGAAGGCCATTTCCAAATCCTCTCACGCCCTCCCGCGACAGATGCAGACAAGAGGGGCCCCGCCATCAAGGGCCGGACGCTGCCCCGAGTCATCACGCTTGGCGGAGACCACACCATCACCCTGCCCTTGCTGCGGTCGATCAACCGTGCTTATGGTCCCGTCTCAGTGATCCACTTTGACAGCCATTTAGACACCTGTAAGCAAATCCGTTGCACTAGGAAAAAACAAAAAGGAAAGGAAACACGGTTTGTATCACCAGTCAGCCTGACCCAGTATCTATCATGCAGGGAAGCCCAAGGTATTCGGCGGCTCGCCCTCGGAGGTTGCGGCGGTCAACCACGGCACCTACTTCTACCACGCCGCCATGGAGGGCCTGCTCGCCAACGACACCAACATCCACGCGGGCATCCGCACGACGCTGAGCGGGCCCAGCGACTACGACAACGACGGCTACTGCGGCTTCGAGATTGTCGAGGCGCGCGAGATCGACACCATCGGCACCGACGGCATCATCAAGCGCATCGTCGACCGCATCGGCACCGAGAGGCCCGTGTACCTGTCCATCGACATCGACACGCTCGACCCGGCCTTTGCCCCGGCCACTGGCACGCCTGAGACCGGGGGCTGGTCGACGCGCGAGCTGAGGACTATCCTGCGCGGACTGGAGAATCTGAATTTGATTGCTGCGGATATTGTTGAGGTTGCTGTGAGTCTTGTCTCTCCTTTTCTTCTTTCCTGGATTGCTTTCTTCGCGCCACGGTTGGTGCTAAAAAAAGGCAAACAGCCGGCGTACGACACGAATGCGGAGCACACTACCATGGCTGCGGCCGATGTGCTGTATGAGGTGATGAGCATCATGGTGAAGAAGGGTCCGCTGAGCAAAATGGTGGAGAGCAAGCGGACGGATGACTTGTGAACGGGAAGACATGCGCGGCCGTGGAAACTGAATCGTGGGGGGTCATGAGGGGGGTTTCAAAGTGATAACGTCACGGTGTTGGGGCAATCTTTTTGAAAGAAGATACTCAACGAGGTTCACGATATCCGTAGCCGGGTTTTGGCATTGCATTGGTATCCCATGACGATTGGGCCTAGTACTCGTAGTCGAGAGGCTCTAGAAGAGAATTACATTGTAGTCCAATTTCTCTGTATCAACTCAACGTCAGCGCCGGCTACACGTATTAGTGCTAAAACAGACGACAAACCTAGCAGCTGGCTCGCGCAGAGCTCACCGGTGAAATCGCCCAGGCTTGCCCTGAGATCCCATATGTGCTGCAGTGCTTGGCGAATGATCCTGACATGGAGCGAGCGGATGCACTGCTCCAGTTTGTTGATTTTGTCTAGGGCGAAGGTCCTTTGCTCCTCGGTGAAGGCCTCGCAGCCGAGCGTGAACAGAGGCATCGCCATCGCGACCCAGGTGTGGCATGGCTGCCTCTGGCTCATATTGCTGACCATTTCTTCCATGGCGCGTACCGCAGATTGTATGGGCGGTGACCCGGATGGAAGGTGGTAAAGCCGCCTGTACAGGTAGATTAAGGTGGTTTGTTGGAATACCTGGTGGCAGAGCGTGAACTCGCGACCGTACTCGGGTGACAAGGGGGAGCAGATCGATATGGCCGGTGGGGCCTTGTTGTCGCGCCTGATCATTGCCTTGACTTTGCCGAGAAGAATGTCGGCTTCGAAGGACGACTGTTCCGTATTACGTTGTGACAGTTGGTCGATTTGATGGATGATATCCAACAGTTCGTCGCTGTAGCCGAGGAACCCGTCGATCGCAGGACTGGGCGTGGACTTCAGCTTGGACTCTGCTGTCTCTGTAGTACGTACCATCGGTGTTGAGGTCTCGGGGACCTCGCAAGCGGGAATGTATGGGAGGGTTCGCAGAGACAGATACAGTTGATACAGATGCCTCATCGCCGATTGTAGAGGGCCGGATCGGGTTGTGAAGTCGCGGTGGGCGCCGTCGCCATCCAAAAGGGCTCGAATGCCTTGGAGATGAATCCGCCAGGAAGACGTGCCCTGCCGGTAGGTGAAGACATCGGTAAGACACCAGATGAGACACGTTGCCAGCAGTGTCTCGTTCATTTGGCCCGTTCCCAAGGCACCTCGCAAAAGCGCCAAACCTGATGACTGCAAATGCCCTAGTAGCTTGGGAGTCTCCACGCCGTCCACGGAGACAACGCCTCTGGACAGAAACCCTGCGGCTGACAATGCAAGGCAGGCCGACATAAGCTGAGGCGAATCGAGAGTCACGGGAACCAGCCCCTGCCGGAGGTCTTCGTGAATCGACGGATGGCAGGACAGGGAGGCGAGGATATCCCCTGCAAAGTAGCTCAGGAGCCTCTGGTACCTTGGCGAGAGCGGTATACCATTAGGAAGGTGTCGCGGGAGGAGGGATGTCGATGGCTCGAGAGGTTCCGCCGGCACGGTACTGTTCAGGTTCCGGTGCACTAAGGTCTCGTTCTGTCGGTCTGGTAGTAGTCAGCCCCGGTCTTAAGCGTTTGGAAAGACGTCAAGGTGAACCGTGACTGTACCTATCGCGTGATCGGCTTGGGTTGCACCGGATCCAACTTGGCTAACCAAAGACGTTTTACGACCTGGGCCACGACCCCATACCAACCTCAACGTGTATTTACACATCCGGTTGAAGGTCGAACACTGCCCGCAACAGGGCTTCTGCTCATCGCACTTCCTCCTCCGCCTTCGGCACTCCTCACATCCTTGCCGAGATCGCGTGCCAGGCATACCGTGCAGTGGGGTTCGCGTGAGTTGTTCATGGAGATTCGGAATCGTGATCACGGACAGATCTTAGTCGAACTTCAAAAGGTGACGCATTCATAGCCCTTATCATGTTGAAGGTTCTGCAGCATGTTGTCGGAGTAGAGCCATGAGAAAGGGACGGCTAGAACGCGACATGCTCGTGTATCTATAATGGCAATGGTCACTACGATACATCCTAAAACTCCTAATGTTATAATAATAATATCGTTTTCAATGCGCAAGATAAGCATGTGCTAAGGAGATAAGAGTAGAGATAAGCAATATGGTGCTTTTAGCTCGAGAACCACCGGACATGCTAAAGTCCTCTATGGCGTGGGGTAGCCACAATAGCCGGCATCGACATCGGCTCGGGCTCCGGGACTCGGCCCGCGGGACCCACGCCCTCGGAGGCGTCCCGTGATTGGACCTTATTTCCACCTCCGCACCTGTGGGAACGGCTACCACTGAACTCTGGTCTCCATTTTCTGATATCTTACAGGAGCATGCTCTGTCGTGTACAGTTATCGCCGATAACTTCAAGTTTGGGACCAATTGAATGAGAAACGACCAAGTTGTGTGGTTGCTGTCTGGAAAGATGATGCTTGAGGAGAGGATGTTGCGGGCCAGCTCCTATCTACCTTAGGTATATACCTTACTGTAGGTGTTGAACCCCGGAAGAACAAGGCAAAGAATCGAAAAAATATAGGCAACGGTCCCAACAGCAACCTCCCAACTCGGCCAATCTCCACCCTAATTCAATGGGAGGCAGGCAAAGTGAAACGACGTTGTTGGTCCTGCAGAATCCCTCAAAGTCAACTGAGTGATGTGATGGCTTTTGTTGCCTGGAAACAGCCATGGACGATTCACACAGAGCGAACTCCTCAGATCAAGTCCGGATCCTCCGTCCTTCATCCAGGCTGCCTCATCCTGACGGAGCAGGTTTTCAATTCCAGCAAAGATAGCTGGAGATCACATCGTTGAAGCCGTAAACGCCGACATTAGCGATGTAATTGCCGCCAGGGACACTGAGTCCTGCAATCTGTTAATATCCCTCTTGGGCACATAGCTTTTGAACCAAAGAAAAGTCAGGTAGCTTACTATTACCCTGGCAGTCCGCATCGCTCCAGAAGTAGCAGGCGTATCCATTCGGCACAGATAGCGAGGTAATCCTGTCATTCCAGCCGTTGAAAAGACCATCTACTCAATGTCAGTTACTATGCAAGCCTCAAGAGCTCCAAGGATAGGAATTCAACATACAGCATTTCTGGGCTGGTCGAATTGTTAGTTTGCGATCGCCGAAATGAGGGTGGAAAACTCACTATCGGTATAGAGGCCCTCATGGCGGCCTCCGCGGTCAGCGTCCTCCCAGATATCGACAATCAGAGTCGCAGCAGCAGCGCGACCCTCGATAGCCTCTTCTCTCTTTGCCTTGTCCGCGTTGTTGGTTACGTAGGGGGTTGCGCCGTCCTGGACGGGAGGGAAAGAGGTCGGAATGGCGACATCGAGTGGGATGTTAGGTTGAGCGCGCTTTGCAGGAATGGCCGAGACCAGAGAAGTGAAAACTGCTGCTAGAAGGAGTCTCATGATGGTGGAAAGAATTGCAGGTCGGTTAATTTGATCGAGACTAGAGCTTGGAGTTTGCTTGTCGAGCCTGAAGAGAGAAAGGAGTTTCCGCTGCCGCCTACACTCCTCTTTATATACACATTCCTCAGGATCAATTGACCTTTGTCCTCCTGAACGTCTGTCTTCCTGATCCAGTGGTGGGTGGTGCCGAACTGGTCGCTTAGAGCTGAGGTGAGCAATAAATATCTACAAGTCAGCAAGGACCTTGTGTTCCAGCAAAGACCTTGTTCTCCTAAACGTCTGTTTTCCTGATCTAGTGGTGGTGCCGAACTGGTCGCTTAGCCCTGAGGTGGGCAATGAATATGTACAAGGTCAGCGAGGACCTTGTGTACTTGCACTCTCTTCGGCCCGGGTTATCTGCCCTCGGCCCGGTAGTCGAGACCCATAGAGCCGTGAGCAAAGCCGGCGCGTCGCAAACCAGCATTCCATGTGGAGTGAGAGAAAGGAAAGATAGAAAGACGTACAGGAATAAAACAGTAAGTGCAAGCAATGCCGATAGACACTCAGATAGAAATCCAACGCCATAATCCCCCATAGTTTTATGCCTTTTCACATCATTAACTCCCATTCATCCTACCCATAGATCTCTCCATCCTTCCCGTAGCTCCACCCCCTACCCCTTACCCCGCGAGCAACCAACCAGTGCCAAGACTCTGTGGGGGCGGCCCCGGGATAATGACACGGGCCCCCTCCCGACCTGGTCGTTTAGAGCTGAGGTGGGCAATAAATATGTACAAGGTCAGTAAGGACCTTCTGTTCCTGTACGTCTGTTCTCTTGATCAAGATAGGTATATGTTGCGAGGGATACATAAACCAGACTTTCGAGTGGTTCCATCAATGGGGCCCGGTTCTCCGTTTTGGTGCTTCTATAATAAGCGCTGCAACCTAACCCTTAAGGCACCGCTCCTCGAACCCCCCTGCGCCGGCCAAGGGGACTTAGCCGAACTCGTTGTTTGGGGGTGAGCAATATACGGTATGCAAGAACCTCTTCATAATACCTTGTTGGTCAGGCCACATGCGGTCACCGCCGTCTCTACATGTGTATCCGTACAGTAGCAGCCACTGCGGCTCAGAGTGGACTTTAAGGGAGCCAAAAGTGACGGAAGATGACAGCGGGGCGCGTGCTTGCAGGATACAGACCATGGGGCTGACTGGGTGACTGAAAACAGCAACGCAGGTAAAGCGAAGGGATGGACGAGGTGAGATGCCGCCAGGAGGGGGGGGGGTGGGGGGTTGGGGGGAACAGGCCGGTCGAGCGAAAAGTTGTAATGGACCAAATGCACCGTAAAGGTTGGAACATCTCGATCGATTGCCGAGCGGTAATGAGGGTAGGGCTGGAGAGAATGGACCGCAAGGCTCGGAGTCTCCACTACCGTAATCGCCGGCATCGGCATCGGCATCGGCTCGGGCTCCGGTGCCGACCCGGCCCGTAGGGCCCAATCCTCGGATCTGCCCCGTGATTGGAGCTTACCCACCTCCGTACCTATGAACGGCAACCATTGAACTCTGGTCGCCATTTGCTGACATCTTATCTTCAAAGAGCATGCTCTGTTAATCGGAGGTTTGTTAAATTGAGCAGCCATTTTGATAGGCTCTACTTGTCTTGGACGGCTTCCGGACACGGCTCTCGCTCCGAGAAACTCCACCAACTTCTTCCCCCTCTTTCAGGCTGCAAGCAGAAAGAAAGGGTCCTTATGTGCTGCAACCCAGAGACTCGCCGGCTATGGTAGTGGAGACTCCGGGGAGCTCATCATGACACCGAGACATACACTCCAGCTGCAACAATAGTACCTACATGGCGGAGGACAAGAAAGGGACGCGTTCATAATTTACTGTGAAAATCAGCGCATATTGATTGTGAAAAAGATGCTGCCTCGTCCTAGGTCATAGTGCTAACCCAACCCCTTTCCCCAGGTGGCTCCTGACCACAATCCATGTGCAGAATTCGGGAGCTGTGAAGACCTCAAAACAGTCGAAAGCAAAACGATGGACCCGCCGAATTCGCCAAGAACGCAACCCAAACGCCGTACCCAGAATCGCAACACCGTGATCGGAGCCCAGGCCCGACAAAGTCCCAGGTTTCCCATCGCGACCACCCTCATCAGCCCTTCATTTAAGAGCCCGAGCCCTTGGTGGTGGTAGCCGCACGCTCCTCGACAGCACCAAAGCCGCCGGCCTCGAGATCCCGCTCGTCGTACTCGGGAGCGGCGGTGCGCGGCACGGCACGGCGCTCGTTGTTGAAGTCGGCGACGTTCCACGTGACCGAGCTTCCGGCGGCCACGCCAGCGGGGCCGTCGATGACGCTGAAGCCTTCGGCGCCGGCATTGTTGTCGCAGTTGCTCATGTCGGCGACCTGCAGGCTCTTGTTGATGCAGTACTTCTCGGCGAGGGCAGTGGGCGCGAAGAAGGCGGCGGCAGCGAACTGCAGCGCCGGGAGGGTGATGTGTCCGCGCTTCATGTTGGTTGGCTGGTGATTGCAAATGTTGATAATGAAAAAATGTGTGGGTGGTCTTGGACTTTGTGATGAGCTTGCAAGATGGTGGAAGATGCTGGTAATAAGAAGCTGTAGAGGCGTGGAAAAGGCCACCTTCTTATACTGTTTTCGGCGCTCCTAGCCAACACTGCATTTGTGTTTTGCCACGCTGTATTCCGGAGGCTTTTTCCATTTCATGAGATCACTGCACCTTTGACGGTGACCTGGCATGGCTCACAATGGGCCATGCGCGCCAGGATGATCGTGCCAGGTCCCTAGAAGGACCTTTGGCAGGAGGGATGACCAATGAGCGAATGACGAAGTCCCACGGAGGAAATCGTGGCCAACAAAACGATGGTTAATCCAAGGGTCTGGAGACCAAGTGTACCTTTTATTTATGGCACGGGCCGGGTGATTATGAACCCACTTGACCACCACTGCGCCACATGTTCAAGCCTGATTAGCCTTTTTAGAGCGACAAGATGCGCAGTATAAGAGATGTGCAGTGGGGGAGGTCGGCCACCTGGTCGTGGGCCATGGTTACTGCTTGGATTTTCGAAACGCATCCTGCCGTTTCAAGATGGGACCGCGGCGGCGACGTCACGATGGCCAACTGTGCCACACCAATAAGCCGCCCTTCCAGAACAATCATGCGGTTACTGTGATGTCAATGTAAGAATTCGAGACCTAGTACAAAACATAAATATGCATCTGGGCCCCGTTGCCGGGTATGTCTACAACGCCGCCTTCATTCGGCACCCCAAACCTTTTAGTAATCTTTCAGCGGCCACTCGAAAGAAGATCTCATTTACAATGCGCCGAGTCCAGGTAGACAAGCGTCCCAACGCAACTCGGCTGGTGCAGAGCCAAGGCCTCGTTTACTCAAAAAGCCCGGCCCCAGGAGACACGTCGGACCCGTACTGGCCGGACGACCGATACTACTCCTTCACGACCGACGAGATTGCGCTGCTCGAAAAGGCCGGTCAAGAGGTCTTCGACATGTGCTGCGAAGCGGCCGAGTACCTTGTTGAGCACCCGGATATCATCACGAGCAAGATGGCGATTCCGGCCTTTGCGCTCAAGCAAATCATCGAGTCGTGGAATCGCGAGCCCGCCTGGGGCAGTGTCTACGGCCGCTTCGACGTCTGCTTTGGCGGCCTGGACCATCCCGACCCGCGTCTGCGGGTGCCCAAGTTCTACGAGTTCAATGCCGATACGCCCACGTCGCTTGTGGAGGCCGCGTCGATCCAGTGGCTCTGGCTCGAACAGACGGGTCACGGCAACGACCAGCTCAACTCCATCACCGAGCGGCTCATCGAGGCCTGGAAGCGGAATCTGACCCTGATCGAGCAGCAGCTGGGCCACCGTGTCAAGGTTCACTTCGCCGTGGCAAGGGGAGAGCCGACGGGAGAGGATGCCATGAACACGACGCTGCTGATGGACACGTGCCAACAGGCCGGATGGCGGACCAAGACCATGTTCATGGACCAGATCGCCCTGTCCCGGAAGGACGGACGCTTCTATGACCAGGAGGGCGAACACATCGATGTCATCTTCAAGCTCTACCCGTGGGAGTACATGGTGGAGCAGAAGTTTGGCGAGGCGTGCTTCAAGGACATGGAAAACATCGGGGGCACGGTGTGGATCGAGGCGCCGTACAAGATGCTGTGGAGCAACAAGGCCCTCTTCGCGATCCTGTGGAAGCTTTTCAAGGATGACCCGCGATCCCAATGGCTGCTGCCGACGTATTTCGAGGACGAGGCACCCGCGTCACTAACCAAGTTCGCCCGAAAGCCCATCTTTGCGCGCGAGGGAGCCGATGTTGTCCTGCAGGCGGACGGCCGGGTCATCCAGGATGCGACAACGGGCGACTACGGCAAGGAAGGGTACATTGTCCAGGAGCTTGCGTTGCTGCCGGAGTTCAAGGACGAGCGAGGCGTCTCGTACTATCCGGTCCTGGGCCTGTGGCTCGTGGACGGCGACGTTGCCGGCATGGGCATCCGGGAGGACAAGACGCCCATCACGACGAACGGCTCCATGTTCATTCCGCATTCTATCTCCGATGGACCGGTGAACTACGAGAGGCAGCCGGTTCCGAGTCTCGAGGAAATCGAGGCGTCGTTGGCGGTGGAGCATTATACGGATGTCGATGAGGGGTCGCGAGGCGTCCTGAATTACATAGAGAGCATTGCCAGCGCGGTCGCATAATGCTCTTTTACCTTCGCGACACTAGAAGCGTTTCCTCGGTCACATTTGATCACATGGATTGACTTTGGTTTATGTGACCGTCTGTGGTGCAGAGGAGGGAGGGGATAAACAGTGCATCTTGTGTATCGGCTCTGGTGAAAGTTACGAAAGTTGACGGGGGAAAGTACCTTAATTACCAGGTAAACACAGGGAAAGTTGCCAACAGAAGTAAGGTACTTATTACCATGCGTAACAAACGCGTTGTGACAGACGTTAGTAGGCTGGACAGTTGGCGGCAGGTAAGGAGAGCGGGGTAGGACGGGAGTCGGTGAGGAAGGAGCGAGTTGCCCGTGCCTGAAATCTCCTGCAAGGCAGCAACCTCTCGGGATTCGAACTCGCCCTTTCCCTCTCCAACGTCCTGAAGGACTGACTGAGCCACTGCAAAATCCAACCATCTAGATTCGTTCTACCGATGCGTGACGGCCCAAAAAAATGGCCGCGACGACTTTGAACGATCAGATGGCCGGGTTATGCTCGGAATGCAGCAGTGTACTGAACGGATATTGTCTTCTGCCGGTGAAGTCATCGAAACCACCTCCGGGGTCCCCAACCGCTACCCCGTGACTTTCCGACGAGGAAGACTATGCAGACTCCAAGAGCACCCTGAATACTGGAGTTGGACAGCCAATCACGTTGCTCGCCAAAGCGGCTGTCCTTTGTGTTGCAAGCTCCGACATTATGCAGCCGGTGGGCGTCCTGATGACTCGCCGGTCATGGTCCGGCTGAACACCATCGACGCCAGTTTCCCGCGGCCTAGCCCGGCAAAGAGGTGGTGCCTGCCCTTGGACGGCTATTGGACCATGAGGCTTCACGGCCTGAGCGCGCCAGAGGAGTGTTGTATGTTCCCGGTGACACATGGCGATGCTGCCATGTGTAGCAAATATAACCCTCCTGAAGGAACCGGCGAGCCTCCCGCACTTGATCTGGTCAAGAGGTGGATCACGGCGAGCCTCCCGCACTTGATCTGGTCAAGAGGTGGATCACGGCCTGTATCGAAGGCCACGATCAGTGCGCCAAGAACCTGACCCCAGATGTTGTTCCGACTCGGCTTCTTGATATCAGTGACGGGACGGTGTTCCGTCTGAGATGGGAGTCACGGAGCCATACGTCACTCTCAGTCATTGCTGGGGCGATGCCTCCAGGCAGGTTACCTTAACGTCGGAGAATCAATCTCGGCTCCAACGAGGCGCCCCTATCTCAGAGCTGCCGGCCACATTTCGCGAGGCTGCAGACGTCACCCGTTACCTCGGTTACCGGTACATCTGGATCGACTCCCTATGCATCATCAAGAGCGGAGAAGGGGCTGCCGAGGACTGGGCTCGTGAAGTCCGAACCATGGCCTCGGTCTACCGAAACTGCGTCCTTAACCTGGCCGCCTCGGATGCGCAAAGCTCGGCCGATGGCATGTTTCGGCGGGGGTCCCCTGATGTAGTTAGGCCACTCTGCGCCGACATACCGGTTCCGATCTTGGAGGGGACGGCGGATTGCGCTGGCGAGTCTCAGCAGATTGTCGGCCGCATGTGTTGGTGGATTCGGAGCTTCTCGAGCGGGGCATCGGCCATTCTCCTCTAGATAAGCGAGCCTGGGTCTGCCAGGAACGCCTCCTCTCGGTACGGAAGGTCCACTTCACGCGCAGAGAGATTCTCTGGGAGTGCTGGAGTCCCCTCGCGTCCGAGTCATTCCTGTCTGGTATCGACAAGGAGCATACTCTCGTTCAGACGCACCGCACGGCCTTCGCCTACGACCCTGGCGAGCCCGGCGAGAGCGCGCTCAACTGCATGGAGTCAAACTGCACACCGTTGCTAAAGAGTCCGCCGGGGACGTGGACAGCCCATGACCGAGCGGCGCAGACGCAGCTATGGTTCGAAATACTTATAGACTATACGTTCCGTAGCCTTACGCGGGCAACTGACAAGCTCCCCGCCATCGGGGCCGTGGCACAAAGAATCGGAGAGGCCTTAAGCGATGAATATGTCGTGGGGTGCTTTCGCTCGCATCTTCCCCTGGCTCTTCTCTGGCAATATGTTGGTTCTCACGTAAAGTCATGTCGCCCGGGCTTGTCGGCGACCGGACATACATCGCACCCTCCTGGAGTTGGGCTAGCACCACCCATCCGATCAGCTTTAAACAGTGCTACATGTTCCTCGCTCGCGTCCCGGCCCCGGAGCTGGCGAAGAACCACATCGTCACGGAGGTCGTTGACGTGCATGCGGATCTGTCTGACTCCCAGAACCCTTATGGCAGAGTAACGGCAGGTTATATGGTGCTCCGCGGCCCACTCGCACCGATACCTGTCGTAACCTGTTCCGTGGTGCCCGGCGTGTCCAAGTGGGTCTGCATCAGAGGCCTTGCCAGCGCGTATCACATCCTCTACTTCGATGCAGCACTACTAGAAGCGGTGTGGAAGCGACATGTTGATAGTTCTGTCAATCTCATGCCTATCGCCTGGCGGAACTCGCCGACCATGGGGCCCACGAACCCGCTGGGAATGCAAGAATACGGACTCATTCTTCTGCACAACGATGATGGCATCTATCGCCGTATAGGCATCTTCCATGGGTCAGTCCTGTCGGACTCTGCCCAGAGTGAGGAGTGGGGCGGTTGGCCAACACCCAATTGGAGGTATCCAGAGAGGCTGGTTCGCGAAGTACGTCTAGTATGACGCCGGACGCCGTGGGACGCCGTGCCTTATGGACAGTGTTTCACCTAACCGACAATGGGGACGAGATACGGGCGTCATAACAGAACGATGGGTGTGAACAATGACCGGCAGGGTGACATGATGGTACTAGTAGTAGCTCTATGCAAGGGCGATGCTAGAAATGACGGATTCATGTCCCTGTGGTTTCAACGACCGTTCATGTCTGACGGTGGGCATCCCACCCTTCTTAGTGGTACGGCCCATCCTCGGTGTTCTACTTCATCGGGCGAATGGAAAAGTACGTGACCCGAGTATTGCAGCAGCCGAGCACTGGTCGGACCATCTGGTTTAAGAACTCCGCCAGTAAGGGGTCGCTGCCCAGTCCTTCTGCCGCCTCCAGGCCCGGTCGAGAGGGTGGATCATCAACAGGCGTGGCACACAGCAGCAGCAGCAGCAATGGCAGTCAGGGCCGGAGCCAGAGCTTGAGGGGGACGACGACACCAGGGTAGTATCTAAACGCGTCACAGGAAGAGTAGTTCCTGGAGCTGTTCTTGCAGTCGCACCACTGCTCGCTATAGATCGTCGACGAAGCGGCATTTCGCGAGCACTATCGGTCTCTCTGCTTAGACCCGCCGCCGGGGTGCTTCCGCAAGCCCAGCGCGCTCGTCGACATCATGGTCGCCCTTTGCATGCAATATGGCATGGCCTTTCTCCCTTACCACGAGACACCCGTGCCGGCTAATGGTAATAGTGGTAATGGTGGTGGTGGGGAGAGCGGGGAGAGCGAGGACGCCAGCAGCGCCGACGACGGCACTCTTGCCGGCTGGCGGCACTACCAGCGCTGCCGAGCCCTGGTTGAGGCCGAGATGGAGCGCCCGACGCTGTCGACGGTGCAGTGTCTCTCCTTCTGCGTCCTCTATCTCCGCTGTGCCAGCTTCCAGAACACGGCGCACCATCTGCTTGCCCTAGCGGTGCGCATCGCCTGCACGCTCGGCTTGTGCCGGGAGTTGCCCCCGCACATGGACATACTGCGGCCGGAGAAGGAGCTGCGGAAGCGCCTCTGGTGGACGATCTACCTCACCGAGGCCGAGACGTGCATGAAGCTCGGCCGTCCGTGGAGCACCGCCGACGGTCAGATGTCGTGCAGCCTGCCGGTCGACGATCACGCACTGGCGCTGCGGAGCGGCGGCTCCCACACGGCTTCCATCACCGTCGACGGCACCACCGTGACCTGGCTGACCTATACGCTTCAGAACGCAAAGTTGGTTCTGGCGGCGCGGGACGTGTATGTTCCCTTTACGAGCGGTGTGCGGAAGTTCTTGGCTCGAGGGGGACCACCGGCTCTAGTACATATGACGATGGTGCTGCCGCACTCGAAACCGTGGCGGCCGACGCGCTTCGCTGTGGCATGGACGGACCCGGCGGGCTGGCGGCGTGGCTGCGAGATGTGCCAACGGCCATGAAGATGCAATGCCTCGGAAATGGCCTCCCTTTCTCGACTGACCTGAGCCGTCTCGACATCGCGATGTTTGCGCCCGCATGGTTGCAGCGCCAGCGGCTGTTCCTCGAGCTCCTTTACCACACGTTCATGATCAACTTACATCGGCCCTTCATCGCCTTTCCCGCTGCTTCTAAGTCAGCGTCGTCATCTTCGGCACCCACCCCCGGCCCGCTGGCCATAGCCCACGCTACGACGGCGGCCTGCCACTGCATCGTCATCACCGCCATTCTCCGCCAGATCCTCACCGAGACGGACCTTCTCAGGGGTTGGTACGAAGCCTTCCAACAGCAGTGGAACGCTGCCACCACCATGATTGGTTTCCTGCTGGTGTCTCCCAAGAGTCCCGTCCCGTCGGGCCGCGGGCGTCCGTGCCGCCTTGGCCGATGCCATCCCGGTGTTTGAGGAATTCGGCAAGCACTACCCGCGACCTGATGGCCAAGGCCGAATTGGTGCTTTACCTTCTTGGGGCGGGTCCTACTAGTAAAGGCTGTGACAGTGACTTGAATCTGAATAAGGATGGAGCGCTCCGGAAGAACTGGTCTTGATGGCTGCTTGGATCATGGATGGAGCTATCCGGCTCTTCCACTTGATGTGTCGGCTGGCATAAGGATAGACTGGATAGTACGAGTAATGGATGGAACGAGAACATTTCTTCAAGTGAATTAAACACCAAAGCCGTTGCTCCGCCTCTGTCTTCGTCATTCAAGTCCAAGTGCACCGACATAAGTATACGGTTTAGTGTATACTAGCCAATTCGCCAGGTTGCCTGGGCCCATCTAGCACCTCATTCAGCGTGAAGCAGTATATACACATCCACGCCAAATATATCACAAGTAAAGCCATAGTTGTCGAAACGAGTCGAGTAAGGCTCGGAGTGATGGGAGACGGGTGAAGAGGGGTTAAACGTTAAGCGCCGGTAGGTAACACTGCATAAGTCTGCATCAATACTACTTCACATTTGGGAAAGTCCCGATCTTCCTTAGAAAATATCTCTAGGTATATCTCCTCTTAATTACCCCGCTCATCTCTCTGTGATGACAACTGTCGAATTCTTCAAGTTCCTTCATCGAACGGTCTTCAAATCCTCATATACACCTGAGATCACGACGTCGTGTCATGATTCCGAATCACCGTAAATACCCCCCTGTTAGTAGGAGTACTAGCGAACCTCAAGTCTGGCAGGAAGTCAAAATTACAGATCTTCCGGAACGCGCAGAGAATCGGCCAACCCAGCGCCAAGGCAGGAACTTAGCCTACGCGACATGGCCACAGCCGCCGTTTGAAAGCGCAGCTCCGGGTGGGCCCCCGAGTCCTGTGAGCCCGGGCTGGGCTGAATCCCCAACTGGACGTGAGGCAAGCCGTCCTCAAGTGACGCCATCTAGCAGTGAACCTCTACGTTTCGAGAGGCCAAACGAATCATCCCACCTGAAAGATCTGCCGTTTGCTGCGCGTCTGGCAGCGGCTGGAAAGATCCACGTCTACGCTAAGACGAGGAGTCCACGAGACTACAACATCTACCTCAGCTCCCTCCAAAGGATGGTGATATGCCAGCTGCAAAAGGAACTGGCTGAGGTGGTGCGCAAGATATATGCCAGCACGTGGGCCGATAAGGACTCCATGGATAAGGCAAAGCAGCTTTTAACAGACTATAGTATGTCTATGTCGTCTGGATATTGTTGTTCAAAACCTCTCTCTCAAGGGGGGCCGATTCATACTCGTACTGTCTTATCTAACACCAATGTCCTTGTCTATAGCCAACGCCATCCGTGACTACGACTTCATGACCGAGAAGTTGAAGCAATCGGTTGAACACGGCGAGCAGGATCCCTTTCAGATCTCCACCACCCGCACCCTAGAGGCGCTTCTAATGGACGATGCCGGGTTGATCCCGAAGGCCCAACCACCGAGCCCGCCAGAGGACCGTGCGGCGTACGAAAGGCGCCAGAACATCCTCCCAGGGGTCTCGCGCTCAGAACACCAGCAAGCATCCGACCTCGTCAGGTTTCTAGAACGTTTAGGGATGGGGCTCGGGGGTGGCGTTGCCTTGATCGTACCAATGCTTGTCATGGTGCTGCGCGACGATGTTTTGACGCAGCTTCTCACCACCACGGTAGCGACGATGCTTTTCGCTGGTATGTTGGCCATCTTTGGAAAGAATCTCAAGGGTGAGACTGTACTAGCCTCCGTGGCCGCGTACGCGGCGGTTTTGGTCGTGTTTATCGGGGCGAGTTCGTGATGAACCTGAGGTAGAAGGAGTGATATGGGACTACTATAGTAATCTAGATCGGAATAGAGTCCTGTCTATTGGTTGCAGTATGACCTTCCTCACTTGGCTCACAAACGCTTCTTCACTCAGTGAATGAGACGATCAGTTTCCATCCTCCTGATTCTCTTTTCCTCCGTTGAGACACGGCAAGTACAAGACGACTGCCTACCTACCTTACCTAGGTAGATAGTCCCAGGAGGTATGGCATCGAGCGAGTGATTAACAAGAGAATCCATGACCACTAATCTACGTGCAAATATTGCTTTCTTTATAGCAAAATTTCTTTGTTTACCTTGCCGAGTACAGGCGGAGATACTGAATGAAAAGATATTGGTATCCAAATTGAAACCAGCTCACCAGACTTGGAACTCCATGCACTCCGAAAGACTAACCTCTTCACCAATTCAAAACATTGTACAGTGTCTTCTTCGGATCTCCCTCGGTATCGACTAGGAGACTGCGGTTTCTCCTTTCAAGCGCCTCCGGCGTGTTTTGTCTCGAGAAGGCGCGGTTTATTGCCTCCGATTCCCTCCGCAGTTGAGCCCGAATAAGTGCTACAACGCCCGTGACTATTCCCAGCTTGAGTTAGACCTCATTCCAAAATGTCTCCCAAATGGAGAACGGGATAGAGCTCCCGCCGTGGGCTATAAAGTGGCGTCACTCACCTACAGCGCCAACAACCACCAATCCTGGGACAATTGTCTTCGGTGCGGATCTACCATGCATGTCAGTCCCGGTCCCAATCTTGAATTTGACAGACGAAAGGGCAGCAGAACCCACCTTGCTACTACAGCGCTGTGCATGCCCGGGTGTGCGGCCGCGGCGAGTCGCATGGTGGGGGAGAAAGGGGCTCGTCTCAACATGATGACTGGTGAACGAATCTCGCGAGATGGGAAGTAGGAGAGTTTGGATATGAGCCGAAGGTGCTGCGATGCAAATGAAAAGCGTTCGAGCCTTGGTTTGAAACCGTTTGATGTCTCACGTTGAGCCAGCTCGATCATGTTCAACTGGACAGTTAAGTCTAATATGCGACGCCCGTGAAGTGCTCTTGGCAGTTGGGATCGTGCCAAGAGCCATCTCGTGTGCTGACTGTTGGGTGATTCCGGGCCAAGGATCAAGCGACGATTGCGGCGCATCGGGTGGAATCGCACCATGGTGGTGCGACTGCACACTCTGTGGTCTGCTTCTCCACACAAGTCAACTCGAAATGCGAAAACAGAATGCTGAACTCTGGTCACATGCTGATTATTGCTTCCGGGTCTTTCCTTAAGCCAGCATCAGCCAAGGACTGAATCAGCCGCAACAGGCCATGCCCTGCAGGAAGCCCATGGGCAGAATGGAAACTGGCCTGTGAGGGTTAGGGTCATTTCCCCGCCCCCAGTTTTGTTCTGGGACCAGAGCATCACAGCTTAAGGTTTACATAAAATTTCAAGTCCAGATTGGTCACGTCGGTATGATGTGTCTTTTGTAAACCCTTTGCGAGTAAACATAGTGCCTAACAATCTCAGAAAATCTCCAGTTGCACCGTAGCCTTCCAACCTAGACACCAGCACCACGCAGACCAGAATCAGATCAACAACACATCAAGTTTTGCCTGTTGAAAAGAGAGCAAGCTGGCACGGCGTTCTATTTTGGCGGCGCCCTCATCATGCCCATCGTGCCGACAGTCTCGAATGTGCCGGTCCTCCGGGACCCGCTCGCCGACAGCACCCCTGCGGAGAGTCGGAAACCGGACGAACAAGTGGGTCATCAACCAGATCTTCGGCCATCGCGGCTCCGGCATATTGCCTTGTGCTTACGATTGCCCGATGGTCACCTTGGACTTCAAATTCTACATCGGCACTTTTCACACTCTCTGGGCCGTGGTTGCGGTATTGCTGACCTCTTGTCGCTGAGTCCGGAGCTGGCTTATGCCTCTGCACACGTTTATCCTCGGTGAGGAGTGCCGGTTGGTCATGAACCTTTTGGCTGGTGCAGTGATTAAATGCCCCATACGAGCAGTCAGTGAATAGGCGTCAGACTGACAGTATCAACTAGCCGGCGTCTTCATGTTGCTGCCTACAGCGTTCTGCAGAAGAATAATCTGTCACTATACGGCTTCCATTTCGCAGACATAGCGTACAGAGCCGGGCAAGTTCACTCAGCACGTTCATCTTGTTTCATGCCATGACCTGATGGTTTCATCTTACCTGCTTCTTACTCACAAACCGACGCTAAATGGAGTAGGTAATATTCTGTCGGACCGAGTATCTATTACCAGGATGCTTGGCAATCAGATCTCAGCCTCCCAAGACGCCACAGCATAGTAGATCAACAACCCGTTACCGGCCAGATCAGAATTCAAAGACCATGAATCGGACACGCACAAACCTTGAACGTTCTCTAGACCCGCTAGGACTTTCTCCAGGTTTGGGCGTCCACGAATCGGAGGCGGGGACTCCGTTTGAGTCAATCTCCGGGATAAATTCAACGGCGTCTCGCGTCGACATTTCGCGGGGAATCCGGGCAGGCTGAGCATTTGAATGGCAGGTCCTTGGCAGCACAGCCAATCGACGGCGGCGGTGACGGTAGAGGATTGAAAATTAAATGGGAATCTTACCAGCTGTCGGCGGTGCAACGCATCCCAGGCCCTGGTGATTAACATCATGCCAGCACGCTGTTGGCATAGCGGAGTGCAACATGGGGAGGGCGACATGGTTGGCGATGATGGGAGCCAAGAGCAGCCATCTGCCGGTAAAGGGACGCCCGTCCCAGATCCCGGGCGCCGGCCAATGGGGTCCTGAAGCGGGGCGCCACCCGGCAGTAACTGGGGTGCCGGCAACACCTCTCTCGTTCGGTGAGGGGCCGTGGGATTGATTGGGCGCATATTAAATTGCCTCTCCTTCAACACAAACATGACCGACGGTACAACTGCGGGACCTCGTCTCCGTGCTGGGCGTGCAGATCCCGACCCCGGAAAAAAAGGCATCAATCATGGGATGACGACGGCGCACTACTACCACACACACACACAGCTCACACACTCGACAGGCATGCATGATGCGGGGGAGTCTGGGGAGAAGGTGCACCCCGGATTTCCAGGGGACCGCTTTTTAATCTATCTCGCTGTGGCCGACCCAGCTCGGCGCTTGCTGGCCAAGAGTCTCCGTGTATTCTCCCCCGATGAAAGCGACGCAACGGTTGGCTGATCAATTACGAGATGATGGACCTGTGGTATGGAAAGTCGGCTCAGTCTTCCATTGCCAGTGAATGAATTTTCTTTCCCCCTTTTCTTTTCGGATATGGACGGCCCGCAAACAAGTTGGGGTGGTAGGGGGAGGCCCGGGGAACATAAAAGAAAAGGAAGAAGGACAGGATCTCCGTCCTTGAACCTCCCGCCTTCCTGACATACTCAAGCAGTCTGATCCTTCGTTCCCTGTTCTGGGCAGCACGAACTCTGCTTTCTCTCGTCACCATGAAGGCGTACCTCGAATATCTCACGGCGGCGCTGCCGCTGCTCAGCCTGGGCGCGGCTCAGGGCGTGGGCACGCAGCAGAGCGAGACGCACCCCAAGCTCACATGGAAGAAGTGCTCGGGGTCCGGGTCGTGTCAGACGGTCAACGGCGAGGTGGTGATCGACCACAACTGGCGCTGGCTGCACGACTCCAACAACAAGAACTGCTACGACGGCAACAAGTGGACCGACGCGTGCAGCTCGGCCACCGACTGCGCGTCCAAGTGCCAGCTCGAGGGCGCCAACTACGGCACCACGTACGGGGCGTCGACCAGCGGCGACGCGCTGACGCTCAAGTTCGTCACCAAGCACGAGTACGGCACCAACATCGGGTCGCGCTTCTACCTGATGAACGGCGCGTCCAAGTACCAGATGTTCACGCTCATGAACAACGAGCTCGCCTTCGACGTCGACCTCTCGACCGTCGAGTGCGGCCTCAACAGCGCCCTGTACTTTGTGGCCATGGAGGAGGACGGCGGCATGAAGAGCTACTCGAGCAACAAGGCCGGCGCCAAGTACGGCACGGGTGTAAGTTGGAGAAAATAAATACCTCCCGACGCCTATACTCACCTCCTATCTCCAACTAGTACTGCGATGCCCAATGCGCCCGTGATCTCAAGTTCGTCGGCGGCAAGGCCAACATCGAGGGCTGGAAGCCGTCCACCAACGATGCCAACGCCGGTGTCGGCCCCTACGGCGGCTGCTGTGCCGAGATTGATGTGTGGTGAGTTGCTTACCTACTTGGGCTTATTCGTAGTATTGCTAGTACTACGCCCGTAGAAGCTGACATTGTGCCAAAAAAGGGAATCCAACTCGCACTCGTTCGCCTTCACCCCGCACGGGTGCGAGAACAACAAGTACCACGTCTGCGAGGACTCGAACTGCGGCGGCACCTACTCGGACGACCGGTTCGCGGGCGACTGCGACGCCAACGGGTGCGACTACAACCCGTACCGCATGGGCAACACCGACTTCTACGGCAAGGGCAAGACGCTGGACACGAGCAAGAAGTTCACGGTGGTGACGCAGTTCCAGCAGAACAAGCTCACCCAGTTCTTCGTGCAGAACGGCCAGAAGATCGAGATCCCCGGCCCCAAGCACGAGGGCATCCAGGGCGACAGCGCCGCCATCACGCCCGAGCTGTGCTCGTCCATGTTCCAGGCCTTTGGCGACCGCGACCGCTACTCCGAGGTCGGCGGCTTCGACGCCATCAACCAGGCCCTGTCGGTGCCCATGGTGCTGGTCATGTCCATCTGGGACGACGTGAGTTCTCCTTTAAGGCAAACTATTATGTTATTTCCCGATACAACTGACACTCTCCCTCCTCTAGCACTACGCCAACATGCTCTGGCTTGACTCCAGCTACCCGCCCGAGAAGGCCGGCCAGCCCGGCGGCGACCGTGGCGACTGCCCCCAGGACTCGGGCGTTCCCTCCGATGTCGAGTCCCAGCACGCCAACGCGTACGTAGTAGTTTGCCCTATTGCTGGCCCCCGTTTCATCTTCTATGAGTTCTAGCGCTGACCATGGCTTACTTCTTTCACAGGAAGGTCGTGTGGTCTAACATCCGCTTCGGCCCGATCGGCTCGACCGTCAAAGTCTAATAAGGGGAGAAGAAACAAGGAGATCTCTCTCTCTCTTTTTCGAACATGCTGTCCCGGTTCGCCACAGCGCGTTGTTCTTTTTCGTGTTTCTTTCTCTTCTCCTCAGGTTTGCCGTGTCTTGAGGCTATGTCGCAGAGTCTATAGGATGAGTACAGTACTAGCAGTACATTACATGAATAAAAAAGGCCCGAGCATTCACAATGTGTCATCTTGTGATCAGATTTGACAGATAGTAGGCAGTGATGATCGCAAACGCGGCAAGTGGAATAGTAGTTAGTGCCTGGCCCGGGTTACGGCATCGGCTCCGGGCCCCAACATAGTATTAGGTTTCCAACCGCGTGTTAGCTTTGCTTCTTGGCCCGTACCGGTTCTGAGCTTGCTGATAGGCACGGCCGTGGTTTAGTAAACGGGGGGGCATACAGATAGCTGTCTTTGACTGAAGGAACTATTGGTTCAATCGGAGCCAGTTGTTTGATCGTTGCTGCGTCACACTACAGTGTTCTGCATGCAAGGGGCCAGCAAACGCCGCGATGGCTCCTGGGCACGAATACTGGCCCTTGCTTCTTTTCCCGGATTGATACTAATAGTACCGACTAGTAGTACTAACTCTGTTATCTTCTGGTCCAACCCGCAATCACACCCGCACATTTCACTACTCGCGCCTTGCCAGACAACAATAGCTTTGAGGCGGCCATGTACGTGATCCAAGAGATCCCCGGAAAGGGGTTCGGTCTGGTCGCCACCACGAAGATCCCTCGAGGCACGCGGATCCTGTCAGAAGAACCCATCATCACCATCCCGGAGCACGCCCTCGACATGGAGTACGTCAAGTCCAGCATCGCCAAGCAGGTCGCACGCTTGAGCCGTGCCCAACGCGAAGCCTTCCTATCGATGCCTTCGATCCACTCATATCAGACCGACGAGGAGCACTACTTGGCCATCGTGCGCACCATCGCCCTCCCGATGGGCGAGAAGGAGGACGGCCAGGACGGCGGCGGCGGCATCTTCCCCTTAGCCTGCCGCATCAACCACGCATGCGACAACAACGCGCAGAAGAACTGGAACAGCACCATCAAGCGACACACGGTCCACGCGCTGCGAGACATCGAGGCCGGCGAGGAGATCACCATCTTCTACCTCGGGCAGTTGACCAAGAGCGCCGAGCGCCAGGCCGCACTCCGCGCCAAGTTCGGCTTCGTCTGTGCCTGTCGCCTGTGCAGCCTGCCGCGCGCGGAAAGCGACGAGATTGACAAGCGGCTGGACGAGATCCAGCAACTGGAGGAGACGATCAGCCGGAGCGCCATGACCATGTCGGCCCTCTCGGCGCCTCTGCGGCAGCTCCGTTATATGGAGCGGGAGATCCAGCTGTACGGCGAAACGGGCCGGATTGACATTGGCGTCCCGCTGGCTTACTTTGATGCTGCGCAGCTCGCGCTGGCGAAAAGTGATCTCGCGCGGGGACAAATCTTTCTCAAGAGGGCGCTGGAGGGTTGGACGGACGCGTTTGGAGAGGACTGTGACCAGGTTGTGCGGTATGGCTTCCTGTTGGGTGATCCCACGAAGATGGATGTGTATGGGCTGTCTGCGAGGTGGAAGACAGCGGGGTAGGATGTTCCCGTCAACTTGTCTCCAGACGCTTTTGAGAAGTGGTTGTGGAAGAGAGAAACGGGGACGCCAAACTCGGGGCCCAGGCCGCCGCAGTTCGCGAATCTACGGGACCGCTCCGTGTTCCCGAGCTTTTCCGAGCTGCCCAACGAAGATAGCCTCGACCTTGACTTCTACGAGATGGTGGATGGGTCCACGTTGCGGCCGCGGCGTCACTGGTGCTTTTTGGCCGAGATCGTTGACATCGGGGCCGATGTCCGTCTCCGGTTCGCGGTCAGGGACGTGGACGGAGAGAAGATCGAGGTCGCCTTTCACACGCTGAAGAGAGGGATAGAATGGATCAATGACGACGTCCGTGTCGGACACACGGTTGGGATTGCGCATGCAGAGCGCCATGTCTTCGCGTTCTCGCCGCCTGGGATCAGACAGGAATATCCCAATACACTGAGGGTATGCACACATAATCCTTTCTGGATATTGGGGCTCCGCGTTTAGTTTCCTTTCCGCTGACACCAGTTGGCCACCTCCTAGATCTTTCCCGTTTCACTGCAGAGGCTGCTCCTCTTGAGTGACAGGATCGGCGAATATGCAAACACGGCCGACGGCACGAGACGCTGCCATTCTTGCGGTAAAACTGGCTCGTCGTTGATGAAGTGCGCCCGGTGCTTGATGTTCTGGTACTGCAACAAGGTAAGTACTGCTACTACTAGTACTAGTAGTAAACGGACCGGGATCCCGCATTTTCATCATGCATCGGGCTGCAAATACTAACAAGCATTCTACAACTTCCACAGGACTGCCAGAGAGTAGGCTGGAAATACGACGGTCACAAAAAGGACTGCAAGCTGCTGCAGGACTCCAAGATCAAGGGGCTGTTCATGGGTAACTGGTACGAATACAGCGGTAGAGTTGGCTTTCCTTCGGTGGTTGGCGGACAAGGAAGCTAGAACGGTACTATCAGTGCAAGCGGCGAGGCAGAAAGAGACAGCTGGCTCGCACCGCCATTCCCACGATCCACTCGATGATCATAACTACTACCGCGATGGCATTATCTAACTAGCATTAGAGGGGTATATCAACAGAGTACTCCACGCCTATCCAAAACATGCCCGTACCACTACCAGTAGTACTAATCACTATTGTGGCTCCTCAGTCTGGGATTTGCCGGTGGTTGCTAGACCGCCAAATGGCCGCCTCACAAACACGTTCTTCTCCCACCCGTCGATGTCATCAACCACCGTCTCCCGCACCAGCTCGTATTTCCCAATCTTGGGCAAAATAATCGCCCAGATCAGCCAGTAGACGCCCCCGGCCAGGATGATGCCGAACCCGACGACGCAGTGGATCCAATAGGGCAGGCTCTTGTAGATGTTCTGGCCGTTTACGGGCGGCACGAAGGGCGCAACGATGAGGTAGATGTTGCTGAGGAAGAAGAAGACCACCACGGGTAGGGTGGCGCTGATGGGCGGGTTCCAATTCCATTGCTTGCGGTTGATATAGAGGTAGATCAGGCCTGCGGCCACGAAGGCGTTGACGATGGCGAGTGGATATGAGATGAGACTAGGGAATAAAGATTAGCAATGTGGAATAGGGAACTGCGGAGACAGGGGAGCTGACTCACTTCAAGATAAAGTCGTAAGCATCGCCAGGCGGCGGAGCGAGCATGATGATGACGGACACAAGCCAGTGCTCAAACAGACCGGCGAGGGGCGCGTTGAAGGGCCGGTTGCTGGCCCACAGGCGGGAGAAGGGCAGCACGCCCTCGCGGCCCAGCTCCTGGACCAGGCGGCCCTGCGAGAAGATGACGCTGAGGACGTTGCCAAAGGCCGACAGGGCCACAAACACGGAGAGCGCGCGTTCGGCGGCGGGGCCAAACATGTTGCGGAACAGCGACGCGGCGACCAGCCTCCGGGCCTCGAGGATCTCCTCCTTGGACACGGCGGCGAAGTAGGCGATGTTGACGAACATGTACAGCACCGCGATGACGCCGATGGCCAGCGGCGCGGCGATCTTGAGCGTGCGCACGGGATTGCGCGTCTCGCTCAGCGCGTAGTTGGCGTTGCTGTAGCCGACAAAGCTCCAGATGACGTTGTACAGCGCCGTGACGACGCCGTAGGCGCTTCCGGTCGTGCCGTCGAAGGCGTGGGCGAAGTTGTGCGGGTGCTGGTCCGGCGGCAGGTAAGGGATGCGCCCGGCCAGCGCCACCCAGCCGGTGACCACGATGATGAGGATGACGACCACCTTGATGGCCCCGAGCAGGTTCTGCAGCCGGATGCCCCACTTGAGCGCCGTGCCGTGGATCAGGAAGGCGGCCGTGATGCAGGCCAGCCCGACGCCGCGCTGGTTCCACCGGTCGACGTCGACCTGCGCCGCGTGCAGGATGTACTCGCCGAAGATGACCGAGTTGCCGCTCGCCCAGCCGAGCAGCACCACGTAGCCCGTGTACAGGCACGTGGTCAGGAACTTGGGCCGGCGGTAGACGTACTCCAGGTAGTTCTTCTCGCCGCCGTTCTGCGGGATCGCCGTGCCGAACTCCAGATACACGGCCGTGCCCGCCGCCGCGATCAGCGCGCCCGCCACCCACATGAACAGCGAGAGGCCCACGCTGCCCGACAGCGCCAGGATCGAGCCCGGCGTGGCGAAGATGCCCGTGCCGATCACCCGGTTGACCACCAGGAAGGTCGCCGACACCACGCCGATCTGCCGCTTCGAGTCCCGCGCCTGCTGGAGGTGGCCTGCAAGGGGGGATGGGAAAAAAAAAAGCCCCGTCAGCAAAATCCAAAATTCGAAGATGTCAAGGCTATATGTATCATTTTCTGCTACTACTACTACTACTAGTAGTAGTAGGAGTAGTACTTGTACTTACCAACCTCGCTGTCGTGACCTTCAGGACCAGTAGTAGTAGCGGTCATGTCGTCGGTGTGGTCGTCCCCCTTCCCGGGGCCCGCCTTGTTGGCTGCTGCGAAGAACTTGGACATGGTACCGTAGCCCGTGGCTTTGGATCTGGCCATCAGGAACCTGAAAGGCGTGGGGGCGGTGCAAGGTTCTCAGGCGCAACACCAAAATTGCAGAGCTTCCCGGGCGTTCCTTTTCAAGTCCTGCGTGGAATCATCCGTCCGCCGTTTCTCATTGCATCATATCGTGTTTACTATTCGTGCCTGGCCACTCACGCGGGTATCAGCGGGATATGTACCCTAATAAGGGGCAAGGGGCGATGTTGCTGCGCGCAAAGTCGCACGAACCCTGGTCCATGGGTGGATATTGTGCGCCGAAACGGGCTTATCAGATGTCAAAATCTTCAGATTCTGGAAGCCGTGCTAATGTCGTGATCTGGCGTCATTCTGGGGCTGAAAAAAGTTTTTCTCACTGTGGGTTGGTGGCCAGGCTGCTGCTTCACACTGCTTGCTTTGCCTTGCCCAAAAATGAACAATCTGCAGGTGCTGGCAACAAATCGGATATCATTTCGTATGCCGACATTAAACAAAACTATAGCTCCAAAAATATCCAGACACGTCTTTATTACGCCGAATACCCCCAAGTTTCGCCGTCTCGGTGTGTTATTACGGTTCCTTCTCCGTGGTACGGGGCAACCCCCCTGGGACCTTCAGCTCCCCTTTATCTTCCTGCCCATTTTGCACATGATCCTTCTCGTTTATACCCTGCTTGATGCCCTCGGCCGAGGCATGTTCTTTATTGCTGCCCCCCAACGCACGGGGAAGACTCAGCGATAGCCGGCCTCCTCCGGCGCCGCCGCCGCCGTCCTCGCCGTCCTTTGCCTCCTCCTTCTGCGCCGCCTTCTCCTTCTTCTTGCGCATCTTTTTCATGACCTCGCCCGTGAGGTCCTGCTTGAGCAGCCGCTCCAGCACATCCTTCTTGCGCGTGCGCCGGTCGCCGATCGAGATGAGCACGCCCGCGGTGATGTTGGCGGCGATGGAGCAGCACAGGATCGTGGTCGTCACCGCGGTCGGCCGCCGGTCGTAGGGGATGCCCCACGTGCACACGCCCAGGCTGATCTGCAGGCAGCTGTGCAGGTCGAGCAGCACCACCACGGCGATCAGCAGCCGGAGCGGGAACGCGTGGTGCGTCTCGGTCTCGTGCGGCTTGTAGAAGGTGTGCGACTTGGCCAGCTTGGTCTGGTGGTGCACCAGCCGCGCCTGCTCCTTGTCCGAGAGCACGGGGAAGAACTCGTCCTTCTTCTCCTCTTGGTTTTCTTGCTTTTCTTGCTTCGGCTCCTGCTGCTGCGGAGGTGGGCTCTGCGCTTCAAGATCCGGCTCCACGCTGTTTCTCCCGGTCGGGAGGTCGTTGTGGTCCTGAAGATCCGGCAGCAGAAGCTTCTTGCGCAGCTTCCACGTCTTGCGGTCTGCCGCGGGATGTGTTAGGGCTTTTACTAGAACATCGCTTTATCATCAGAGAGAATCAGCGGGTTAAGTACTTACGATAGTGGGCCACAAACACCATGTGGTACGTGTCGATGGCGCGGAACGGAGCGAGGCCGTCGCCGACAATGGCAAACAGGGCGACCAGGACGTAGTCGATAACGTTGATGACATACAGTTGCTTGTCGCCGACATAAATCCAGCCGATCAAGAACAGTACCCAGGCCAGACCAAAGAGCGTAATGAGGGTTGCGTAGAGTGTCACCAGAAATCCAAGCGGCTTGCTGGCGTACTTGCCAAAGGCCTTGAACCGCTGCTTGATCTTGGACCGGCGCGAGTGCAGCATGTGCCTGACGTAGTCGTTCAGGAGCTTGATGTCCTCCTCGGACCAGCCTTCGAGCGACGTGTTCTCGGGAAGAATGGCGTACTGCGGCTCGCTCAACACTGACGACAGACTGGGGGAGCGCGCGGCTGCTGGCGCGTGCGCGGCTTCGCCTTGTTCCGCCGCGGACACGTCCTCCTTGGACGGAGGGAACGCACCGGGCATGGGCGGAAGCTGGGGCAGGTCATATGTCGGCCTGCGGTTGACCCATCTGCCGAGAGACGGCACGAAGAGAGAGTTCTGGATGTTCGTGACGGAGGTTAATGTCGATACCTCCGGGTCTGTGGGTGGCGATGTCTCGTCAGTTGGCCTGTCTCGGACAAAAAATGGGATGAGCGAGGAAGCAGATCCTTACCGACGACATCGAGGAAGTCGACGATCCTCGAATCATAGCAATCCCGTTCCGGAATTTGGTTTAGGGTTGGCCCCTGCAGGGTCTGGCCGCGTCGACGGGATCCAAAGCCAGGGAGTGTGCTGAATGCCCGCCCGGATGCCCGGCCGGATTCCCTTCCCGGTGCCGGTGCTAGTGCCGGTCCCTGCAGTAATGCGCGAGGCTGGGTTGGCGGGTGACTGTTGCCTTCAGCCAGGGTTGGCATCGCCGTGTATGCTGCCGCTGTGGGGAACGTTGGCCGCTGAGGCTCCGAGCTCGAGCGCCGGCGTTGGCCTTCGAGCGGTTCGCGCTGCGTGGTCGGGATGGGCGGCAGCACCGACGACACGCTCGGTGCCCTCAGCCTGCGCAGGCGTACTGACGACTGCCCGCGGCCGGGCGGGGGAGCGCGATCGTCCGGGGCGGCCGGGGCCCTGTCATGTTGTGAGGGTTCGGGCGGTTGCTCAGCTGTGGGTGTGACCGGGGCTACATTCTCCACAGACGATGCATCGGGGGCTGCTCCAATGTGGGCTGCGTGACCGCGATTGAAATACGGATTGTGGTCCTCAGCGGTGCTGCTTGGCCCGTCTCTTGTGCCTTCTGGCGGTGGCTCGGATGGGTCGGCCATCGTTGTTCGGGGTTGTTCGTCGTCGAAAGAGGAAAACTCTCTCGTCTCAGCTCACGCAGCAGACAAGACTAAGTAAGTAAAGTATATCCAACTGCATTTTCGACTCCTGGTGCCGTGCAATAAAGCTAAAGTTAAGGCTACAATCTACGTCGTCTCCGGTGCAATTCGGCGGACCTTGCTTTGCTGCCAAGTGTCACTGCGTTGCGCGACCGGGGTGGCGAGTGACGTCACTACTAGGCCGCACGGATCCGGCCAGAATCTGTCAAACTTTGGCCCGCTGACAGGGCTGTCAATCTGTGGGGCATAGGGAAACGACCACGACGACGGACCATTAATTTGTAGAGGACAGCTTCAGCTATCGAACCACCGAAGATGACAGTAGGGTAATGTAGGATGAAATCATGGTGTCACCCAAGATAATAATATATGGTCAGTGCCATTTATAATGTTAGACTGGATAGTTGCACATTAATTGTGTAATATACGGTATAGTGAACTTGTAATTACGCTCCCTCTTCTGTATTGATAGGCGATTTGCAACACTGTGCTAACGGTAAACTTACAGCATGTATACTACTAAGCTCCAGTTCCTTGACTTATGTCACGGGTATATCGGTAAACTTACGATCAGCTTCCCACCTCCCATGCGGTACGGTCGGTAATTACCCCTCTAAGACACAACTGCGCCGAAATAAAGTTCTGTACACGGTGTCACCTGACTTGGGATGCCTGAAATCGGTGGTCAACATTACCGTAGGCAATCTGGAAATACTAGTGAAGGTTGTCGGACTTCTGCAGGAGAAGGTTCTTCCCAGAGGTTCTGTCCCAAGCGGCATGACACAGGACGAATGCCGCGCTGAATTTGCTCTGCGCTTCCATGTAAGCTTTACGCCAGTCATGCATCCGACAGTTTTGCAATGACAATGGAATTATGGGATGATCGGACTCTCTCGAGCATTCTGTTTCGCAATCTTTTCTTGGATGGTTCATTCGATATTACACGTGTTTACATTCGAGATCATGTCGCTGCAACCATACCCTAACAGCTCTGTCATCCTTGATCTTGCGCGCTAACAATCAAACAATCAAAGCATTGGAGGAACAAACAGCCAAAGCTTGGGGGTCTCACTGCCGTGGCTATGTCAACCCTCAAGCACACAGCCCACGGGAGGCATACAGAGCCAGCTCACCGATATTGAGGCCGGCGGTTTCATGAGCTGACATGGCGCGCGGCAGGCTGCGGGCGTTGTGTTGCCCCTAATGCGGAAAGCCGATTGTTTGTCTGCCTCCTTCAACCAACTAACACGGAAGCACTGAGGCCCGCAACAAGGCTCCGTTTGTCAACCTCCAAAGCAGTCAATCATCACAGTCTTTCAATGGTCTGGGCTAACATGGCTTTGGGATATAAAATCAGCAGGATGAGGAGGCACTTGGCCACCAAACCTTCTTCCCCCTTGACTCCCAACGACTCCATCATTCCGGTCGTCTTTTTTTCAAAAGTCTTAAGACACTGTCAGTTCTTGAAACATGAACGAACAGGCTCCTGTCATGACCCGCACCAAGCCCGTCGTCATCGGACTCTACGGGGTCCCCGGCTGCGGCAAATCGACGCTGCTGCGCGAGCTGAAGCGCAAACTCGGCGAGACGCAGAAATTCTCCTTTTACGAAGGATCGGACATGATCGCCTCCCTGGTGCCCGGCGGACTGGCTGAGTTCAAGCAAGCCGACGACCAGGTCAAAGCACACTATCGTCAGTGCGCCATCAAAGCCATCGGCGAACAGAGCTGCAGCAGCGGACTGGCGGCTGTTGTCACCGGCCACTTGATGTTTTGGGACGAGGATAATGATTACCTGACAGAGATGGTATACACGCAGAGCGACCTGGACACGTACACGCACATCGTGTACGTCAACCCGGCTCCGGAGCTTGTCGTCCAGTGGCGCCAGGGGGACCTCTCACGGAACCGTCCGCCTGTTTCGGCCGAGCACATCCGCAAGTGGCAGCAGTTCGAGAAGGCCGAACTCCGACGTCTCTGCAGGGATAACGGGATCCTGTTCATCTCGGTACCTGACGCTGAGACGGTCCTGGACAGAGTGGCCGCCTTGCTGCTTGACTTCGAGCGTCACACCGAGGGCCACAATCTCGACAAAGCCGTGGACATGCTCCGCAGCGTCCTGGATCGCCATCGAGAGAAGAAGATGCAGACCACACTGGTCCTGGACGGTGATAGGACGCTTGCACCGGTAGACACCGGTCCGCTGTTCTGGAAGCTCGCTGCGAAGGGGACCGCCCCGGTTGAAGAAGACGACATTTCCTTGAAGACGCTGTTCAGCAGCCCATTGGGGTACACATACACTGCCTTCCGCCAGGCAACCTTCCTGTACGAAGAACATGTTCCCCGCGAGGACAACTTCAACCGCATGTGCGATGAGGCAGCGTCGTTTGTCCGGCTCTACCCGGAAATGGTTACCCTCTTGAAGCATGCGGAGAAGCACAGCCAGCATGTTGCGGTGGTTGTGGTGACCTGTGGTCTGCGTCGCGTCTGGGAATCCGCGTTGGCGAGGGCCGGCCTCTCAGACACTGTCCAAGTAATCGGTGGTGGCCGCCTCTCGGACGGTTTTGTTGTCACTGCTGAAGTCAAAGCGGCTTTGGTGGTCCGTCTGCGCGAGGAGTACGCCTCGTACGTCTGGGTCTTCGGAGACAGCCCCCTGGACCTGCCCATGATGCAGGAAGCGCATCAAGCAGTCGTCGTCGTGGGCAAAGAGCAAACCCGGAGCAAGACGATGGAGGAGCGGCTGCAGCATGCTATCATGGTCGATGGCCTCCGCGCCCGCCAGGCACTGCTGCCTCCCACCGCACCGCCTCGATTGGACACGGCCAGGCTCCCTGTGGTGCGGATCGCCGATGACGAGTTCCTCGCCGCCGTCGTGCGTCCGCGCAGTACCAACGATCGCATTCTGCATGCCACGGCTCGCAGCGCGGCAAAGCTGTTGATGACACCGACCCGCGACGCAAGTATTGCCGGTCCCGCTCTGAGGAAGGCCCATGCAAAAGTTGGGTGGTATCTGGCAACGGAACTGCTACCGGATGTACTTGAGACGGAAGAGTATAGCATCCCCCATGTCCAGGGGCACACCACCAGCGGACATCGCATCTCGAACGAAAACAAGGCGACCATCATCGCCCTGATGCGCGGCGGCGAGCCCATGGCCCTGGGTGTCAATGACGCCCTCCCGACCGCCATGTTTGTCCATGCCAAGAAGCCGGGCGATGTCAAGGCCGAGCATGTCAAGGGCCAGTGGGCGATCCTACTGGTCGACTCCGTGGTGAACAGCGGGGAGTCGATGGTGGAGTTCGTCCGGCGGATCCGGAGCCTCGATGCGACTGTCCCCATCGTGTGTGTTGCCGGCGTTGTCCAGGCCCTGTCGGTTCACTCTTCTCAATACCTCGGCCGGGACCTGGAGGCGGATAAAGCGCTGAGCTTGGTTGCTCTTCGTCTTTCGGACAACAAGTTCACGGGTCAGGGGGGCACTGATACGGGGAATCGTTTGTTTAACACGACCAAGATCGACTGAGCCTCTCTGTGTAAGCAGGACATGAATGTATCTTTAGATTACAGAGACTACAGTTATTGATGCGTCTAATACACCCTCTTCTCCGCCGGCGTATCATGGACGCCCGTGTCGTGGAATGGCTTAGCCGAGATGCCAGACCACGCCCGGCCGACGGCCAGCGCGATGTCGTGGTCCTTGGTAGGGAACAGCAGCTCCGACTCGCCGTCCCAGAAATGCGTGATGGACCGGTCCTGTCCCTGTTAGCTTTCTTAGCCAAGATGTGTAGCGGCAGGCGACCTACTAAACCCAGCGTCAACTTGATGACTCCGTCACCCCAGGCCGGCGTGTACGTGTATTTTGGCTCCTTGCCCCGTACCATGAGGACGACGTTGTCCGAGGCGATCTCGGCCTGGCGCATGGCGAGTCTCCCGTTCGGATTTGGTGCGCCCGTCTCGGCCACATCGCCGCATACGAAGACGTTGGGGAGTGAGTCGTCGTCGATCTGGAGCGTCGGCTTGACTCGGATATGGCCCGAAGGGGAGATGGCTTGGGGTGCTACATTGGCGATGAGACCGGATGCGGGCCGTTGTCCCGTGCAGTTGATCTAACCCTGGTGGTTAGTTGTGTCCCTTCCATCCTTATGCATACAACGTTATAGGTTGACTTACAAAACAATCGCATTCGATCCTCCGCCCGGAGCTGAGCGTGATGGACTCCCCGTCCACACTACCAAGGTCCACCCTCTCGCCGAGTACGACTTCGATGCCCAACCTCTCCAGCGCCTCCATTGTCGCCTTCTGCAGGCCGGCCCCAAAGCGATGCATTACAGCCTGCCGCGAGTGCACCAGGGTGACCGACTTGTCCGGATACTGGTCCTTGGCGTCCGTGGCCAGCTCCACGCCAGCGGCACCCCCACCCGCGACGACGATGCGGGTAGCCGCCTTAATCCGCGCCTGCATCGCCTTCAGCAGCTCGACGCCCTTTTCCTTGTCCTCGGACCCGACTCGAGACGGCAGCCCTTCGCTAGTACTATTGCCCACCGTGGATCCCGTGGCGATGATGAGGAACTCATAGGGGATCTGCTCGCCGCTGCGGAGAATAACATATCCCCTCTGCACCGACGTGACGCGGTCTCGCACCCAGCGCACCATACCCTTGGGCCCGCGAGCAAAGAAGGCCGGCGTGTAGGGGATGAACGCCTTGTGCTCGTGGCCCTCGACGACGCAGAAGCGCGGGAGCACCCACGTGAAGTGGAAGTGGCTGTGGGGCTCGACCACCACGACCCGGTACCGGCCGTTCCTGGGCAGCGAGCCCGCGAGGAAGCGCGCCGCGAAGTAGCCCGCGAAGGCAGCGCCGACGACGACGATGTTCTTCACCTCGGATGGGTCGATTGGTGGGTTTGCCGCTGGCGTCCGTGTCGTCAGGGCGGCCACCTTCTCGGACAGGATGCGTCCCAGGAGGGAGAATCCGTACCGGAAGCCATAGACGACTAGTCGGGCGAAGAGGAGGGCCTTCCGGATGCGTTCAGGTACCATGGCTGAAGATGTGAGTAGGTAGTGTTGTTGATGGAGATGGAATCTTACGCTGAGAACAGTTCGAATTGTCAAACAGCGCAAGAGGTAAGACAGCAGGGGTAGCATCAAATGCACGCGCCTGGCATCCGAATCGGTTCCAGTAAGACCGAGACCGGCGGAGACAGTCGGACTAGCTGACGGGGTTCTGCAAATTCCCCTACGGTTCGGCCATGCTGTGTACAGTAGAGTAGGTACATGGAGGTACATCAGATAGTACCTACACGACATGTCACCCTCGAAGCGAGTGGCTGGGCGCTAATGCAGGCCAAGTTATCTGATGATCTGATAATTTGTCTGGGCCGAGCCCGTGAATTTGCCGCACTCGGTCCCGCTCATTCGGCAAATTATCAGTTCGGCCGTCGGAGTTGTTTCCTCTCTGGCTGCTTTCGTCTGTGGCACCCAGCTGCAGTGACTCACGTCCGCAGTTCGTTAACTTCAATTGGGATAAGCACGGAAAGATGATCGTTGGAAGATTAATAGCCATTACTGACTGGCCCGGATGACTTAAGTTATGTCTCCTAAAATCCTTATTATCGCCGTTTCCTTTGCAGCCCAACCTTAGCAAGCACCATCCTGGACAGCTGTGCCCAGCTTGGCAGCCGAGACGAGCTCTTTCCGGCTGAAGCGCCAAGCTTGCTGAAGCTGGGGTACCCCTTTTCCTTCCACTCGTAAAATCCCATGCCGCCCGCGGCCTTGGGCATCCGCACCATGAGCGGCACCGAAACGTCCGAGTCGGTCCCCAGCAGCGCCGCCTTGTGCACGACCGTCTCCCGGAGCCTCTCGTAGCCGAACTTCTCGTACATGCCAACCGTGGTCGGCGACGCCTCAAAGTACAGCGGCAGGCCCGTGCGGTCGCACAGGTCGATGCCGAACGACACCATCACGGCGCCCGCCTTCTTGCCCTGGTGTTCGGGAGTCACGCCAATGACATGGACGTCTGGTTTGACAATGTGTTAGCTGCCACTCAACCGAAGCAGGAAAAGAAAAAGGAAAAAAAGAGGGAAAAACAAAACGGGATTGAACGCACAAATATACGGCTGCCCACCAAACAACTTCTCGCGCGCCTCCCACAGCGGCTGCAACACCTTCTCGGCCCTCTCCCGCTGCTCCCCCTCCAGCCACGGCACGCCCTCGAACTTGCGTTCCTCGTCAGCCCGCCCGGGCGGCATGTAGATGTCGAGCAGGCCCATGCCCACGATGTCCCCCGTATCCATGTCGACGCACTTGTACGTGTACTGTGTCGTGCTCTTGCGCAGCCAGTCCACCGTACCCGCCGCGTGCGCTGCCCGGAACTTGGGCGAGTCGACGCCCGAGGGAAAGAGGATCTGCAGCATGATCTCACCCATGCGGTCGTTCCGGAAGGCTGCGAAGTAGGCGTCGTAGACTTTCCGGATGTCCGGGAGGAGGGCGGGGAGCACGGCGAAGACCATCTTGTTGATGTGTGTGTGTGTGTGTGTGTGTGTGTGTGTGTGTGTGTGTGTGTGTGTTTTGGGTTAGGGGTTGTGTTTCTTTGGTAGGTAGCTTAAGAGAGTAACGAGCGGGAAGGACGAAGCAGTGGCGGGAGGGTGGTGTCGGATGTCTGGCCAGCAGACTTCAAGCAGCGGACAGTCTTACATCAAATACTTGCATGAGTTTATACGAAGTACCAGCGGCAGAAATTGACCTTCTCTTTACGAATGGCCATCCTTGACCCCAAATTCGGGGCTTTATCCAGCCGTGGCATGCAGCTCCCGCGAGACTATTGAGCAGCCACGAACGGCGGGCCCGTTGGGTCGTTGACTCTGGGCACTGGGGTACCGGTTGTGCTGTGGTTTCGGTACGTATACGCCTTAGCTGAAAAATATCCGGATACCATGGACCAATACATCGTCACCCTCAACCATGAGATGCCCTCTTCCCACTCGCAATTGTTGGACGTCTTACAGCAGTGAGCTGTTCATAGCTCAACCCGTAATCAAACTATCAAAGTCTTGAAAGAGGCGAAGGAGCGATTGTGTCCCGGCTCACCAAGGGGAAGAAACATCTCTTTGTTTGGATCAGGTCGCTCGAGCAGGTATCTTACCGCAGTTCTTTGGTGTGTTGGTGCTAGAAATAATTCGTCCAAGGGGTGGGCAGCCTTTTGGGTTCAGATACTCGACTATCCCAGCAAAAGATGTACAAGTACATGTACCCGGCTCGTTTTAGAATACGAGGCAGCGACCTCGATGCGAGCAACTTCTGCGCTGATTTGCCGCATCCCTTCTCGTCTGCAGTGCGGCAACAGACAAGGGTGGGTTGTGTTGGTTGCTTACACCACGACGCCGTGACACCTCGGTTACCTCGGCCGCGTCCAGGTCCTCACGACGGTGGGGAACTAGCAGCGGCGGTCTTCCAAAAGTCCCCAACTGGCATCAAACTCCGTTCCGAACCTTTCCTTGCCGATGCCACCATTTTAGACGCGCCTATTTTCTACGGATTGGGTAACGCCACGGCCTTGGCAAGTTGAAGTCGGCTTCCATTTTGACGTTTTTGTCCTTCCCCACTTGCCCATTGTTTAAAGTTATCAGATCCGCAAGCCCCCCACTTCTCCCTCGTGCTCATCTTCCGAGATCGGCAGTGGATCAGATAAAAGCTAACTTGTGCACGCTAGTGATACCCACAGACTGATAGACACCCCGAGACTCGAGTACTTGATGGCGCCCACCGATGGTTTCGTGGCATTCTTTAGCAGATCCAAGCTGCCCTTCATGGTGTTAACAATGCATCTGTGATAGTTCCGACACTCTAGTATTTGACTCTTCTTATTTCATCCCAGACTACCCCCCCATGAAGGTCCGCAGAGGACTTCTCTTTCGGTTATTTTGTTACTTCGTGTCACCAGGTCTTCACCGCTGATGACCGAGTCGAGAGCGCCAATAAAGCCTTGGCGAATACCCTTACCCTGGCTGCTGGCGTCACGAAGGTTAAGCCGGTTGTCGGACTCCCGGCAACAACATGGCCAAGCAGCTTCCTCGTCGTGGAAAATTTTGACCCAACTTCCGCAGTCCCCCGGCGCCAGAGGCTTGTCCACCATAGCAACGTTGACCTCTTGAAATGTCTGGAACCAGGCAAGCGAATGAAGGACGGCGTCCCTGAGAGCGCACCGGAATTGAAGCCGTTCTGCGTCAACAGCGTGACGCAATCGTCACGGGTGGTACTAGTTTCGACCTGCTCCTGGTATGACTCGAGCGGGATGGCTTCGTTTCGATACGGCGGGATTCCGATGCCGTGCGCGCTCCCCTCCGTAGTGTTGATCTGTATAAATGTGGAGTCCAAGATGGATGACCGCAAGGCGACCAGCCGAATCTTCACAGAAGGGTCCTTGAATACCGTCCCTGCTGAATCCTGTTGCCCCAAACACTTGGGTGGAAACTCCGGAGACCTGGGAGAGGAGGGCGCAGAAACCAGGGCATCGTCAGAGCGTGTCTCTAAACGTTCATCCTCAGAGCTTTTTCTCAGGCGAGGAACCCGAGCCTTCCTGTGCTTCAAGCCCAGATATACCGTCAGCTGTCGAGCCAGAGATGGGCAACACTGAACTTGGGCTACCACTCTTAATAGTATCGGCGGAGCTGCCACCGTCGTCCTCATCATCACTCAAACCGATGATCTCGCAATCGTCATCGCTTTCTCCAGTACGCAGTAGTTGTTCGTGGCTGGGGACGCCGTGGCAACCTGCTCGTTCGGCCGGCAGGAAGTGGTCGACTGAGTGAAACATGTACGAGCCATTGCAACTAACCACGCCTCCCACCGTGGCAGTGCCGGCGTCGGTACCTTAGTCAGGCTGTTTTGGATCCTCGCGGCCAATCGTCACCCAGATAGCTGGTCCTGTCGCTCGTCGAATCTGAGTCGGATCAGAGAGGTTGAAAGGTCGCAAATTCGGCCTTCAGGGGCATCTGTCCAAGCCCAAATCCGGGGTAGTCCTTCATGATGCCGCTCTCCTCGATCATGCGAAATGCTTCTTTCCGAACTTGCTTGTCATCGGACACGCACATCACGACGGGCTTAGTTCGCTCGCGCGATTTACCCATCATGCACAGCGAAAAGTGCACGATGCTAGCCGAGTCCTGAAACTCGTCACTGTTCTCATTGAGGTGGGCGACAATGGCTGGGAGAAGTTTGTCGGCGAAGATCTCTCTTGCTTCGCCGATGGCTTCGTAAACCGGGACCCTGCTAATTATTCCCACACTCAGCGTACCGAACGGCCTCCCTGTCGAGCCTGCGGCATACGGGCGGGGCTCTGATCTGAGCGGTATGAAACCCATGACTCCAGTTGCGCGCTAGAGATCCCTTCGAAAGACTTAGGGTGAGTAGCGAGTTCCGGCTGAGCGATGGAAAGGTGCAAAGTGACTATCATACTAGTACTCGGGCGATGAAGGCGAGGATGGCATAGGAAAGAATCTGGGGGAATTACGCCCAACTCATGGTCTGATCGGGCGATGGGCCCCCAAGATTATTGGTGGCTACAAAGACGCAGAGCCCAGCTTCAGGTTGTGCAACTTGAACAACTGGAACATACTATGAATTGCCTCGCTGTTATGTGCCTAGAAGGCGAAGGTGGCTGCAGAATTGATGCACTTTGCCGCTGGTGCAACCACATCATGTGGAATACAAACGAATCAAGCTCACGGATAGCATCAGAGATGAGCAGAGACACCCAACCAGGCACCGGGTCGATGAGCTGTACATATGGCAAGACTCTAAGGTCAACTTACTCAACTCGTTCGTTTTATACAACCAATACCCCGAGTCCGTGTCTCATTGAGCGGGGATTTGTGACTACCTACCCATGGACGGACGCCTCGTTGCAAAAGTATCCAATCCCCCAATCCATGCGAACTAGGCTCCTACACGATCTGTGGGAGTAATCCGAAGCTCCGGGGGCGGTTGAGAGGTGGGATATGTCTCCGATTTCGACTACTACTCTACTCGATGCAAACGGTTTTCCCGAGAGAGGGCGCCGTCCATATCTGTGTAGAGTCACACGGCGGTCTCGTCGACATTGCGAGGCAGGTCCTCACAAATGCGACGAAGGATGACAACCCCTATTCCCTGACTTAGTCACCCACGAGGCGCTCCTCACGGTCGCCCTGCTGTTCCACAACAAAACCACTGCAAATCGCGCCGCTGGCTCTCCGGCCGGATCGCTGAATACTCGCTCAACCCGGGAATTGCCCGATGCGGTAGGCTACTGGCACAGGAAAAGCGGTCCGAGAAGTTGTCTTTCTGGCACGACCAGCTTGTCATCCTCCATCAGGCCTTTGATGAATGTGACCCGCGAGGGCTTCGGCATTGGTGGAACGATCGCCGCAACTCTGTGCAGTGGTACACCTTCTGGATTGCCGTCTTAGTGTTTGTGATGACGGTCTTCTTCGGGCTGGTGCAGAGCATCGAAGGCGCGCTGCAGGTGTATCTCAGCTGGCAGGGCTTGAAACAGGGCGATGCGTCGTAACTCGGCATTCTCATCGCTCACATTCAATCCAACTTACATATAGTACCTATTCCTGTACAATTGCTTGGAGTTGGAGACCTGAGAGGATCCTTCTTTCTGAACATCGTCATGTCATTATTCACATACACCGGACTTTTCACAGGCTCCGCCGTACTAATATTACAGAAATAGCACCCAAAAAATGTTGACCATCACCCGGCTTAAAGAACCACGGCTGCGACTGCGGCAAACGGGACCACAACCGCTAGAGCATGGGCGCCAAATCTTGAGACGGCATTTGTGCTGGTGGTGGGGCTCGAGCTGGACGTTGTTGTTGTTGTCGTCGTCGTCGTTGTGTTCGCTGCGGAGCCACTCGGGCCGCCAGTAGTAGTCGGATTGGCCACGGATGTGACGGTGCTGCCTGATCTGGCGACGACGACCTCACACATGTGAGTGGCCGCGGGCAAAACCTCGCCTAGGCACAACATAAGATTAGGTCGCTGCTACACCGCGGGGGAGAAAAACCTGTGGACGATAGCTTACCGACTGAGACGTCACTGCCACATGCCTGAAGGACACAGGCCACGCCGCTGTCATAAATTGCACGGTAGTTCTCGGCAATGCAGAAGCACTCGAGATCGTCGGGCCCCTTGCAGGTCGTGGCGGTGCTGATTGCTGCTGTGAGGCAGTCGACGGAGCAGGCAGGCATGTAGGTGCTGAGGGATTCAGCTGCAGCGCTCATTGCGATGGCGGCGGCAGAAAGAAGGGTAATTGCAAACTTCATCGTTTTTGACAGGGCGGTTGGGCTTGTGATTGGGTGACTTGATCTCGTCCTCAGGGGCGCGTCGCCGTCAACACGAGTGGTGGGATGCTCTTGCCTCAGGCTTTCCAACCTGTTACTTAAAGCCAATTCCCGATTAAGCATTCACGATGCAACTCGGCAACTCGGCAACCTTGCGCAGACCTGCAGCCGACGACCCTCTTATTATACACCAATACGAAGCAGCACATGCTGAAGTTCCCTCCTCGCTGGGTGCCATCGGTCCCGCTGCCTGGCAGTTGCATCGTCGGAGCGCCGATCTCGCTCTCGCAGAAGCCAAGACAGGTCCGACCAACGCTTGAAGCCACATGCAGCAGCTTCCCAATAGCTCCTGCCGCCGGAGGCTTGGCGGCAGGGCAGAGTTTTCATTTATCAGATGATCTGATGATCTGATAAGATCAAGCGGTCCGTTCGGCGGTTCGGATTGGAGCGGCCCACGGCGCGGCGGACCCGAATAGGGAAGGCTTCCAGGTGTGGTGGGGTGTAGCAGCCAGGGCACCTAGGCAGGTCCCTCTCCCCCTGTCTTGTGCTTTCTTGTATCTGTCCATACTGTTGCTAATGGATTGTCAGACCACAGAGGGAGTTCCCTAAAACCCCACTTGCTGCTGCCACGCACCAATGCCACCCAGGTGGACATTCGGCTGCCGTCTGCAAACCCGCGCTGCCCACAATATGCATCCAGCACGTTACATGGACACACATGCCGAGGCTGTGTTTCTCCGATAAACCTCGACGTGTGCCAAGTGCAAAAACGGGAATGCTGCCCTTCTTCCCTCCTCCCCCCTTTTCTCCCTTCTGCTTGTGCCATTCCGGACCTTGAATCGCACTGAGTTCAGTCCGTCCGTGGACTCGGCTCAGGATGACCTCGACCATGCAGTCTCTCCAATCCATGCCCGACGGCAACACGGTCAGCCCCTCCTCCCCGGAGCAGGCCAAGACACCACAATTCGAAGCCCGTCCTGCGGCGGCGGCGGGGGAAGCCGACCCGGAGAAGGCGGGCAGCAGCAGCATCTCGAGCGAGGCGCAAGCGGGCGTGAAAAACATCGAAGCGGCCGCCAGCGTCTGGAGCAAGTGGCACCTGGTGGCGGCGTACGGCATCATCTGGCTCATCTACTTCGTCACGTCGCTGCAGGAGGTGCTGGTGCGCACCTTCACGCCCTTTGTCACGAGCTCCTTCCAGCTGCACTCGCTGACGGCCGCGACGTCAATCTTCTCGAGCATCATCGCCGGCCTGTCCAAGCTGCCGCTGGCCAAGATCCTCGATCTGTGGGGCCGCCCGCAGGGCATGGCGCTGATGCTTGTGTTTTGGGTGATTGGGTTCTGCATGATGGCGGCCTGCAAGAATGTCGAGACGTATGCGGCTGCGCAGGTGTTTTCGTCTGTTGGGTGAGTTGGCAACGAATTTTATTATTTTACTACTACTTGTCTCCTGGTTCACTGAGCAGCAAAACATAAGCTTACTCGTGATATCGTTTAATATCCAGTGCCCAAGGCGTGAGCTACTGCCTGACCGTCTTCATCGCCGACACGTCCAGCCTCAAGAACCGAGGGCTGATGCTCTCGTTCGCGACCTCGCCCTACATTGCCACCACCTTCGCCGGCGGTCCGCTCGCCGACGCCTTCCTCAGCGGTCCCGGGTGGCGGTGGGGATTCGGCGTCTTCGCCATCCTCAACTTCGCCGTGACCCTCCCGCTGGTCGTGCTCTTCTTCTGGGACCAGCACCGCGCTAAGAAGCTGGGTGTTGTTAACCCCACCAAGAGGGAGGACCACCATCACCACCCGCTGAGCGCGGCATCCCTCAAGAAATTCGCCATCGACTTCGACCTCCTCGGCGTGTTCCTACTCGCAGCGGGCATGGCTATGTTCCTCACGCCGCTAAGCATCTGGTCGTATCAAGCCAAGCAGTGGCGGTCGCCGCTAATTATCTGTCTCATCGTCTTCGGTGCGGTGCTCATCATCATATTCGCGCTATACGAGCGCTTCCTCGCACCCGTCAACTTCGTTCCCCCCCGGCTGCTAGCCGACCGCAACGTGCTGCTCGCGGGCGCCACCATCACGCTGGTCTTCTTCAACTCGGCCGTGTGGGGCAGCTACTTCAGCTCGATGCTGATGGTGGTGTGGAACCAGAGCGTGACGCACGCGACCTACATCAACAACATCTACCGCGTCGGCTCGTGCCTGTCGGCGCTGCTGTTCGGCTTCGCCATCCGCTACACGCGCCGCTTCAAGTGGGTGGCGCTGTACTTTGCCGTGCCGCTGATGCTGTTGGGCGTCGGGCTGATGATCCAGTTCCGGCAGCCCGACGCCGCGATCGGGTACGTGGTCATGACCCAGGTCTTCGTGGCCTTCGCGGGCGGGCCCATCGTCATCTGCGTCGAGCTGGCCATGATGTCGACCGTCGACCACCAACACATCGCCGCCATCTTGGCCATCCTTGACCTGTTCAGCAGCGTCGGCTACGCCGTCGGGTCGACCGTGTCGGCGGCCATCTGGACCGGCTCGTTCCCGGCCGCCCTGCGCCGCCACCTCCCCGCCGGCGCGCCCGTCGAGGCCATCTACAGCAGTCTGTACACCCAGCTCGGCTATGTCTGGGGCAGCCCCATCCGGCAGGGCATCGCGCTGGCGTACGCCGATGCCCAGCGCTACATGCTCATCACCAGCGTCTGCCTCCTGGCCGGCGCCCTGATAGCGACTGCCTTCTGGAGGGATGTCAAGCTCAAGGACAAGCAGGTCAAGGGTCTGGTTGCGTGAGGAAATGGTCAATCTGAAATAAAATGGCAGGCTGGGCCCTTTGATCGAGTATCTCTATTGTCGTTAACTCGATACGACTTTGATACTACATGTTGATGAAAACAAATAAAAGGGGGTATCTGGGCGGGGACACAAGGGTTGAACAACTTTGTGTGCCGCGTCTCTATCATACAATGATACATTTGAAAACATAACGGGAGATCTATCCAGAAAAGCGAAAACAACTGCCTCCCTTGCCCTGCCCTACTTTAGTCTTTCTTCGTAGGCCGAACATCCGCTTCGGGCACCACCTCCTCCCCAAGGCTCTCTGTTGGCGGGCCGCGGTAGTTCTTGCGGCCCCAGACGGCGTACCACAGAGACGCAATGACGATGAAGCCGACAAACACGACGGGCGCGTAGTTGACGCTGCTCGCCGTGACGGGGATGTAGGCGGGCATGCAGAATAGGGGTACCGCGAGGATCGACCAGGCTGTGTGTGATGCGTTAGCGAGACTGACAAGGCCACACAATTTTTTAAAAGTACTAATAATCAAGATTGGAAAGGAAAAAACATACCCAGGGCAACGCTGTTGGCGACCCAGCCAAACTTGCCCAACGAGAACTTGGCCCCCCTGACCTGCGAGCGGCCTTCGAGCATGGACACGGCGATGGGCGCGGCGTAGGACACGGTCAGCGAGATGACGCCGACACCCGAGAAGGCGTTGAAAGCCGTGTAGGACCCAAAGTAGATGACGCCCAGCACGATCTGGATGGCCATGGAGAGCATCATGGCGTTGAGCGGCAGATCAAGCGTCGGGTGCACCTGCTTCCACCACTTGGAGCCGGGGATGGCGCCGTCGCGCGCAAAGGCCCACGTGCAGCGCGAGGCCGCCGTGGTGCAGGCGACGCCGCAGAGGATGGCGAGCACCATCAGCGGCAGCAGCAGCGCGATGGCGCCGCCCGAGTGGCCCACGGCCGACTTGATGATGGTGGGCACGGGCTGGCCCGACGGCAGCGCGACCAGCATGGCGAGATCGGGAAGCACAAACATCAGCGGGACCAGGAATAGCAGGCCGCCGACCGTGTTGATGAGGATGGTCACCACCATGGCCTTGGGCACCTGCGTGGCCGGCCGCTGCACCTCCTCGCACATCGAGATGACCATGCCCGTCGACGACGTCGCGTAGGCCGCGTGCAGCAAGCCGACGCAGAACGACCACCCGGCCGGCCACCCGGACGTCGGCTCGAAATCCCCAAAGGCGAACTTGGCACTGCGCCTTCCCTCCTTGGCCACGGCCAGCACGGTGATGAGGATGGCCAGCAGGCCGGCAAACGTCCAGAAGATGGCAAACGTGTCGAGCCAGTGCAGCCAGCGGTTGCCGAAGGTCGAGATGGCGTTGCACAGCAGCGTGATGGCCAGGAAGGTCAGAAACACCTGGTACGTGTCGGCTTCCCACACGCCCACGCCGGGCTCCGACTCGAACACGTTGACGCAGGCGACGAAGAACAGCGTGGTGCCGAACTGCACCGCCAGCGTAATGGTGATATTGCCGACCACGTACGCCCAGCCGCAGATGTAGGCGGCCACGCGGCGGAACCCGGCCGGGGCGAGCATGAAGGTCTGGTAGTAGACCCCGCCGGCCGTCGGGTACACCGACGTGATCTCGCCCAGCGACGCCGCCACGCACAGGATGATCAGGCTGACCAGCAGCCAGCCCCAGACCACCACGACCGGACCGCCGCCCTGCAGCGGGTAGTACAGTGTCGTGGCCAGCCCGTACGGGATCGACGCCAGCACGAACGACATGAACGCCACGTGCCACGTCGACCGCGTACGCACCAGCTCGGCCTTGTATCCCATCGCGGCGAGCAGGTCGTCGCCGTCGTCCGATTCATGGCCGCCAATGGCCGGGGGTGGCCCCGGGCGCGCTTCGACGGCACCTCGGATGACGGTGGTGGGGTGGGCGCTCATTGTTGATTTGAATTGACCGCGGGGTCGGGAAGAGCGCGGGAAGGGGGAGGTCGTATTGAATTTCGCGGGGCGACGACGATCCTTCGGTTTGGCGTTGAGGGGCGCCCGAGTTGGAAGAGAATAAAGTTGGAGCAAAACATGGAGGGTTCGTCAGGAACAGGCAGTTTAAGGCACCAGAAACCGGGCAAGCGGCCGAGGATCACAAGCGATGGCTCCACTGGGCCACCCGCTTGTTTACCAATAACAAAACGGCGCGTGAAAACCATCTTCGCTTGTTATCGGGATGTGGAGTCGAGCGGATCCAGCGATCTGGTAGAACCTTCTGCTGGACAAAGCTTTCAGAAACGAAACAGAGCATATACTCCACGATCACGAATACAATGTTCATAGTCCTACCGCAATTGCTCATCTCTTAGTATACTGGTCCAATTGGAGGCCTCCTACAGTCTACTATGCTCGAGAATTGGCAAAGACTTCGGCCGGTAGCCGACTTACAATCCCATCTGGCATCGAAGCACGTGTCCCTCGGTCGCCAATTGTGGAACTGCATCCCGCGGAATCCCTGCTAAGCGAGCCCATGACGTACAGGGGGCCAAATGTGGGGGGGCGCCACCGCCACCTGTGTAACCGCGTAACCCGGCACGTGCATGTCACCTCAGACCTCTGCCTGAGACAACAACTTTGTTCAACATGAGATGTCTCAACCATCGAAGAAAACAGCCAACTACCGGCAGATCTCCCGTTACTTCGGATGGTCTATGTATCATCGAGTCGCTCCTGGAACCCCCCACGTTAACCTTGACGCGCAAGCCTCGGAAGGCACGTTTCGCAATAACTGTTCATCAGTAGGTGGACAGTAAGGTAATACTTGTCTCTAGGTGGTTGAGAATATTACAACGTTTGGGTCGCATTAAGCTAGGCATATACTAGAGCTGGATGGGATGATCAGGTGGTAACCTAACGCCCCCACCAGTCGTCGCCGCAAGTCCTTTCCGGCAAAGGGTCCTGTCTCGACCTGTTCGATGGTAACCAGGAAGCTACGTCCATGCTCCCATTGATCGCTCACCCCATTTAGCTACCTTAAGTACCTACTGGGCTTCTGAGCCAAGTTCACCTAATGAGAAGACGAGGAAGATGAAGAACCGCCCCTTTCGACTTCTTCCCTCAAGACACAGTTTGCTTCCATGGCCTCGAGACCCTCTTTGACGGCACAATACAATGGGGAACTGCATCGTGCAACGGGCCACCTCGTCAGACAATCTTTCGGTGTCTCCCCAACAGAGTTTCGCCGCCCCACATCCACCCCAGCTTGACGAAGGAGCTTATAGATTGCTCCTACCTTGTCACGGACTGCGGGCTGATAAGGTCTCTCCCTCAAGACGGCCCGCCATGATCGCTTGCCAGTATTAACATCCAAGAAGCGCCGATAGGTTACAAGATCGTGCAGGTGCGTGTGCCCATCTTTACTCGTGTGGTTTGGATCTAGACGCCAGGTGTTGCGAAACATGTCGACCAAACGGACTCTGCCAAGCGCCACTGCACGGTGCAGGGCCGTCCGCCCGCTGGGGTCCTCAGTCCCGGGATCTACTCCGTATTTTTCCACTAGTAACCGGACAATGTCCTCCCGATCATACGCAGCGGCGATATGGATGGGTCGGCATCCACAACACTGACGGCAGGGTAGATCTGGATTGACGCCATGTGCCAGCAGGTTCTCCACTATCCCAGCATGACCTCCCATGATGGCCAGACAGAGAGGGCTCAGGGAGCAGGTATTGTCCTTGTACCCGTCGCTCCAGGTCCCCCCGGTTTTAAAGATGAAATCTCGGCACGTATAATGATGCTGTGTACCCTTGGCTGTGAAGCGGTTTGGTTCTGCACCTCTCTTGAGGAAGACATCTACTGCGTCCGCGGATCGCCAATCCGCCGCTTCGTGTAGCAAGGTCCAGCCGGCAGTGTATCCGAACAGGCCGTGTGTTTCGTTTAGATCCTCGCCGTAGTTGTCGAGGAACAACTCAAGGATCCGAGCCATCACAGGTCTGACCGCATGACAAGCATTAGTTGGAGTTACAGGCACTTTCCACTCGCGCAGGAGTGCCTCTGCTACCTCACCATTGCTGCGGTGAGAGACGTGGTCCAACGGAGTCATGCCTTCTTTGTCTTTTGCGCATGGATTGAGATTCGACCAGTGTTCGAATAAGCTCCTTGTCCCCAACGCATGCAGCCCTATAGATCCTTTTATCCGCACAGGTGGTTGTCACGGGAGACAAGAAGTTGGACTGATAATACTGGCTGAGAAGGTACTTCATAATGTCGTTATGGCTGGCGAGGTCGTAGGGCTCGGCCTCCAGCAGGGCTTGCAGCGGCCAGTATCCACGGTCATCCCTCTTCTTTGGGTCTGCCCCAGTTTCTATCAGGAGTTTGACAATCTCCAAGTTTGGGTAGCGCATCGAGACAGCTTCGTATAAAGGCCGAGGTGGTGGAGTCAAAGGACTAGTCCTTGCCCTGACGCCATTCACACGGGCGCCCGCAGATATCAGTGCCTTAACAATACTCGTAGTTGAATGCCTTGCACCCGGACGAAGGATGGTGGAATGACAATGGACGGCATAACTTAGGGGTGTGACACGCTCAATCGATCGTCCGTGTGTATAGCACCGTTCAAACAGCGTTCCGGAACGTGCCGGTGCCACATTCGGGTCCGCTCCGCGGGCAAGAAGAAGCTCGACCGTTGAGGGCCAGCCTCCCAGGATTGCACAAATGAGCGGCGTAACGGGTGTATTTCTGTCCGCAGAGAAGGAGCCGTCCAGACGAAGTCTTAATCTTGGGGACTTTAGCATTCGCACTAACAGCTCATCCAGACCGAGGGACGCGAAGAGGTGAAGATCCGGATGGACTAGACACTGCCGGTGCTTTTGCCGGTGCTTCTACGCTCTTCCAGTTCTTCTCGCGCTCCCAGGCCGTCTGGTAATCAAAATCTTCAAAGCTAATCGGCGTCCAGGTGTAGCAATTTGCGCGGACGTCGGAGTTCTTCTCGAAGAAGTCTTTGTGTGAATCGGCCACGGCTAGCATAGCTGGGCCAGCTTCCCGCATATGGCAATGCCACTTGCAAAGTGCGTACCGTAGGAACGGGCGGGAACCCTTGAAACCGAGTGAATACCATCCGAGTTCCCGGAATTCTCCGTAAGTGTGCTGCTCGAGCTGTACCTGAAGATAGTCCAAACACCTGGACGCAAGCCTGGCGTGCCCTTGAGACTTGTCAAACGGCACGAGGTCCGACAACAGTCCACTCGCTGCCCTAGAAGTGCGCACCCCAAGAAAGTAGTCTTCAACACTCTGGTGGTACAAAAACGCGGTGTCTCCTAAGGTAACTACAAAACCCCGGCAATAGGCGATGCGGTCCCGAAGTATTTGGACCGCAGTCAGCGACTCATTGGCCCTGATTCCCAGTGCATCGACAAGCAACTCGAAATCCGCCCCACCGTCGAAGACGCCGAAGAGGGACCAGTCGAGGAGCTCCCGAATTTGCTCTAGGTGGCCCGGTCTGAACTGCGATATGAGTCTTCCATACATGTCATCCAGACCGCTTGGAAGCCGTTGGAGGAATTCTTCCACCTCAGATGGTTCCTTGTCCTGAAGTGCCCGAATGGTGAAGCCGACCCAGAGATAGGTACCCGCGGATCGCTCCGGTAACACCTTCTTAACTTTGAGTGAGAGCTCTTCGGGATAGTCTTTATTCGTTGGCTGGCCGAAGTCATCAACTGCGAGCGAGATGTATCGCTCCAACCCTTCGCTCGTTGCAGACCCTGGGCCGCGGTCTAGCTGGATTCTGATCGCGGTGTCAAGTGCACTCGTAATTGAAGTAGGGTGCTCTCTGCTGAGGAAGATTCTCTTGAACGAACCGGCCGTCTGCTGCTGCTCCGGCTTGGCAGCCGCTAATAGTGGCAGCTTGGTGAGGAGCTGGCGGAGCGAGTCGGGCTGGCATTCATCGAGTCCATCAAGAATGCAAACCGCCTTTGACGGTCTCAGCCCGGTTAGCATTGCCAAGAAGATATCCCACAACTTCTCAAACATGTCGCCGTTGAAGAGTCGTTCCTTGTATATGTCGTAGCTATCCAGAAGGCAATCAACGAGATCTGCTTTGTGACGGATCAGTTGGTACATCAAGCCGCGGACTACTGAAACGGCCGTGTTTCGCTGCTGATCCCTGGAGTCACAGAAGAAATAGATGACAGCGTCACCATGGTTTGGGCGGCGGCGTTCAAGATGCTCACTGAGATAGATCGATAGCATCGTTTTACCCATGCCTGGGCCACCCGAGATCCAGAAAAACTTGGTGGTGGAATCAAGCCAGCTTTGGTAGAGAGGGTCTTCAAGGATCCAGTCACAGGTTCCGGAAACAATCTGGCCTTTGGTCGTCTTTAGACCCGAGCGAACCACGGCCTGGTCCTTTTCGAGCAGGTCGCGAATACAGTTCGCCTGGCGATCCGTGGCAGAGCAGGAGGCGGGAGCAAGCGATCGAATGCGGTCTATCTTGTCCTCGATAGAGGCAAGCTGCGGTCCTGCAGCGTGGGAGATGGATCTGCCCTCCAGTGAGCTTCCGATCAACTTCTTGAGAGCACTTGAGCACCACATGGAATCTGTTAAGCCTGGCTTACATGGTGGCAGCATTTATGTGGAGTTGCAGCGACGCCTTTTCACGCTCGAGACCCGATAGGAGCTTGGAGATGTCTTCCTCTCTAGCGACTCCAACAATAGCCTTCCATGTCCTCTGGTTCAGTGGATCCTTTGCGTCCGAGCTGATGCTTTGCAAGATTGTCGTCAATTGTCGCGCATATGTGTCGCATCGGGCGAAAATGTCCTCGGCAGTCTTTGTTTGTAGGGGTTCAATGGAGCGGATCTGGTCGACGATCTCGCGGAATGTTTCCAGTTCCTGGAACCGCTGAAGAATGTCGGCTGGACCGTCTCGCATTTGCTGATAGACTGATCGGAGGAGCTTCCCGACGGCGATAAATTGCTCAGTGAACTGGCCGGCGTCGGCGACCGCCCCTACCACCTCGAAGCCGGACATGTCAAGCAACTTTCAAGCACTAAGAGAACACGTTGATGCATACCAAGGTAGCTTCCTTTGTTTGACGAGGAGGGACGGGATGGGCTCGCGGGGGAGCTGGAATGATGAAGCCGGAGTCGGGGCCCAGCATCTCTCTGCTTACTGTCGTACAGACTCAGGTCGTACTTGACTTATTACGCCGCTTCCGCGCCGCTCAGATGCGGCAGCTAGACATTCAGCGAGGCATAATAACCCGTCCATGAGGAAGTTCGAGCGAATGAATGAGAAGACTCGAGGCATTAACATGATCAAGAACCTAGGCATGTGCCCTATGCACAAAAAGAGGAGGAAGGGATGGATAATGAAACCGGCCGATGATGACCAGGACGAATGATTGATGGATTGGTTAGAACAGTGGGCTCCAGGCACAGAGTCAAGATGATTGATCCGGTGGTATCCGAACCCTGACTGGCTCGCAGTCAGCGGCTGACTGACTGTAACCCTAACCCAGACCCACTTTTGCAGGCGATATTGGCAAATAACCACCTGCCCGCCCGGCTTGGCAATGTGGTTATTCAGTAATATCCACATCCACCGCTGATCGGGGGATTTCTCGGCCTCTGATTGGTCAATTGAGCCACTTGCAAGTGCGGTCTACATCGTCAATGCCCTCTGAACACAGTGGATGACATGCAGCACTTAACCTTACATCGCATACAGGTTGCCAGATGGCTCGCCGAACGCTTCGCAAGCTAACGCCGGCGCCGGCCGCGAATCCAGCGCGGGCGCGGGCGATCCTGCCGTCCATTACAGTACTGCCAGAGCCCTCGGAACCGGAAGAACCAGGGCCCAGCAACGCGGTTACGGTGCCCACGCGCCAACGCCCCGCTATATGGAACCGGAACATCAACAACAACGCCGAGTTAGAAGCCAACCTCCACCACATACATACTACCATCCATGCCGAGCGGCCAATGACTACGAAACGGGCTTATGCGCCGAAGCAGGCGGAGTTCCAGAGCTTCTGCCGGGCCCGGGGCTTCCAAGACGGGGACACGGTTACGGAGAGCAAGCTCCTCCTATTCCTCGAAAAGGAGGTCGTATATCGCCCACTTCGAGGTCCAAGCCGGAAGCTAGTACCCGGTATGCCAGCCAGTGAGGCCCGGTTACACTGGCGGTCTGTCCGGGCCTACGTCACCGCGATCACGGACCTTTGGCAGCAACAGCGAACCCTCGGCATGAATAACCACCCGTCTCCCCGGGAGAATACAGCCCGGGAGTACGTACGGACCCTACAACGGCAACATGCAGCCCAGAGCCGGTCTATATATACCGACAAGGGCCAGGACACCCTTCTTGATGGCTACTCGGAGCCAGAGCTCCGGAAGATTGCCGAGAAACTATGGGGCCAGACTGCCGAGAGCCCGGCCAATACCGAGCAGTGTCTCCGAACATTAACGGACCTCCTGCTTAGCCACTATATGCTTGCCCGGCGCAACGACCGGCGGGCGGCCGAGATCTCGGACCTCTTCACTTTCGAATTCCCTAGCGAAGGGCCGACCCGGTGTATGCCACTGATCTTTACGACCCGTGGTGGGAAGACCAACCAACACGGCCGGCTCGAGACAGCTGGAGCGCTTCGGAGCCGGGACCCCGAGATCTGCCTTCTCGGTGCTCTTGCCTTCTACCTACTCTTTCGCTGGGATCTCTCGCCGGAGCCGTTCCCAGACTTCGGGAGCCCCCGGCAATGGTATAGCACCCGCCTGATCAAAGCCGCCGGTGCCGATCCATCTGCCGGGATCTCGTACAATACTCAACGGAGCTGGGTTAGCCGGGCTTTCGACTATGCTGGTATCGTCTCTGCAAAGAAGACCCACGCCAGGCGGAGCTCTGGGGCGAAGACGGCCGAGTTACAGGGGGTAAGCGAGGCACAGATCCGGCGTGCTAGGCGGTGGAACCCGGACCAGATGGTTGGGTGTTATCTCGATGCCCTACCCCGGAAGTTCATGCGGAGCATTGCCGGCCACCCAGCGCAGATGGGGTGCTTCAACCTACCCCGAGCTGTGCCGCCGCCGCCGGCACTCCTATCGATGATCTGGCCGGAGCTAGACCAATAGGTTAAGGGTGCCCAGAAGCCGAAAGATCTTGCCGGCACTAGTACGGTCAACCTCCTTGCCTATCTCCGTGAGGTAGTTCTCCAAGACTCGGCATTCTTGATCAACCGATACCCTGGAAGCCCAGTGTGGAACCACCCAGTCTTCCGGCACCCTGAATATCGGCCCTTCACTCGCCGGGTACTAGCCCAGGCTAACGGCAACGAGGAGCCGGACCGGCTTACACTACTTACAAAAGCGCTCCCACAATTTACGGAGCATCTATTGACGGCAGAGGCACGGCATACGGCACAACTTGCCAAGGCAACGGCCGCTTTAACTACCGAGATCGCAGGGCTGGAAGCCCGGCTTACAAGCGCTTGTACCAGCCACCTCCGGCAGACTCTCGCCGAAGCCACCCTCCAGATCCGGCTACCAGAGGCTGGGGTGGCGCCAGCACTGGCGCCAGGGCCAGGGCCAGCGTCAGTACCAGCGGTAGCTACGGTTGCAATGCCAGATGTTAAGCTTGAGCCGGTATTAGAGGACAACAACGTCGACTTCCGTATCCCTGGCGCCGAAGAGACCCCACCCGAATACCGGATGAGCCGGGCCATCAAAACTATTGAAGCCCTCTGGCAGGAATGGATGACCGGCTTGCCAGGGCAACCAGCTGTCTCGACACTTGATACGCGATGGGGAAGCCAGTGGCGGGCCGGCCGGCGATCGGAGGTCCAGTGGTACTCCCTGCGCCTCGAGGTCATCCGGGAGATCCGTCGTATAAGCAAGGCCCGGCGCATCGCCGAGATCTCGGCGATGCACGCCGTGGCGGCGGACCACCGGCAGTCGAGCCGGTCGTTGGATGCCTTCTGTAAGCAGCTCCGGGCAAGCCGCAAGCTCCGCGAAGCCGGCCAACGGGCGCCGGGGAGGGCAAGAAAGTAGATAGATTCAAGGCTAGTAAATAGAGTGTATTCTTGACCCCATTTTGGCCATGTGCACGGCGATGATCATGGTGATGCGGTATGTAGTATACCGACTTACACATAAGGGGTGGATATTGGGGAATATTGCCACCCGCTGATTATAGTGGGTCGAACCTGCGCCATTTTTGGATCAGCGGCCGGATCAGCCACTGTGGGGCGAGTGTGGTTATCCCCCTGATATGTGTGGTGCAACCACGCTCTAGGACGCACCTTCCCTGATGGCCAACCAACAGGAAGCATCGCTCCTGCCACAATAGCTTGAATGCTATGACAAAATCATTGACTAGCCGTAACCGCCGTAAAAGACGAATGGGAATTAGGTAACCTCCTCTCGTTCGACAAGGATTCGCGGAAAAGTCGAGCGGTTGAGCCCACCGTTCTAGCTTCCAACCAGTCAGGTAGGTAGTCAAGTCCAGCAGGAATACTGGCGCAACACAACCGACGTTCCGACTGGGTTGGCCGCTTATTACCTCATCAACTTCAACCTCACACCACCGCAACTACACTCCCTTCGCGCATCAGGTGCCCGCGTTCTTGCCCTGGCACCGCCACTTTCTCCGAGACTACGAAGCAGCGCTGCGGACCATCGACCTGGCCATCTCGCTGCCATACTTGGAACTGGGCGGTGGACAAACACACGCCCCAACCAGTCCGCCATCTTCGCTAATACAGCTTTCAGGGGTGGCGGCGCCAACGACGAGCCACATTGCGTGCAGACTGGCCGGTACGCTAGCTGGTCCCTCTTCCTGGGGGGTAGCCTGACCATCCCTAGCCGGACGTGAAGCACTGCCTATGCCGCATCTGGTCCGGTGGTATGAGTGTGCCGCTGCAGCGGGGACAAGGCGCCGTGGTGCCCAACGAGGTCGATATCGTGGTGAATATCACCGGAGTTCGATGTGGGGTTTGACAACCTTGGACTTGAGAAGGCGGTCGCAATCCAGGTCCATCTTCACGTCTTTTATTGTTTGCATTATATTGATATTCCAACAACCTGGTATGTTTGTGTATGACCTAATCAAGCGACAGCCTACGCGGTGCATAACCAGATGACAGCGATGCGTAGTCCGTTTCTTGCAGATAGTGCGAGTCGTACCCGTGCCCAGCCTGTCTGTGCTGGGACTGGGTGAATTTCATGACCCCTTTGCCAAAATTGGCAAGGCAGAGTACCGCCATCACGATGGTGCAAAGCGTCATGACCAGGGTAATAGCGGCGAAAGCCACAAGCATGGAGATTCTTCGCGGAAGGGTCGCTAGCTTCCAGCTCAGGAACGCAGCGGCTGCCAAATAGCCAAGCTAGAACAACAGAAAAAGTCCCCAGTTAGACAGTCACAACACGCAACAAGCCGATTCGTGGCCTTCAATCCGGGACTTACGATAACCGCAAGCGTGCCAACCTTGTTCTCCCTCAAAGCGCAGGCAACTGCGAGCCAAACCACCAGGCAAACGACGGGAAGGACGGCGATGGACAATCCAAACTCGGGATCGCCCATGTTGGCAGAAGCGTTGACCGCGTTCTGGACCAAAAAGCCCAGCAGGAAAAACACGTCGAACTTGAGGAGGGCCACGTAGGCCTGGTTTATGATTACAGTCAATCATTTTGTTAGGAGGAAGCAGGAAACCCGAGGGAGAAGGGAGAAGGGGCGAGACGCGCTCATACCTGCAGGATCAACACCCGCCGCTTCATGGGCAGATCGGCGTTGGTGACTTTATAGACAAACCAGGCGAACTCGGACCGCAGCTTGTGCGCGGCGAAGCAAAGCAACGAGGTGGCCAATGCTACCACAATCGCCACGGCTATCAAGGCTGGCTTGCTGTCCCCCCAGGCGTCGGTTCCGGGAGTCAGGAGCGGCTGGTTATCCCCAGTTCTACTGCCCGCGAGCGAGTCGAGCGATGCCTTGATATCTACCGGCTGGAAGATTGCGTAAATGAGCAGACAGAGGTTATACAGACACAGGCCGATGGCCTGGATCATGTTGCTGGAGCGCAGTGCATCGTACACCAGAAGAAGCTGGTAGACGAATCCGAAGATAAAGAGGGCAAAAAACATGGGCACCGTGTGCCCCGCACGGACCTGGACCACTGGCGGCGCAAAGCATCTCTGGACTGCGATCAGGACGTAGCTGCCATCAATGTCAGTCGGTCTTATGTGATGGGAGTCTATGGGACTCGGGAGGGTTCGGATATAACACCGGGTGGGGGGTGACTCACGCTTCAAGTGACGCTGCAACAAGACCTTGGACAACGGCAACAGACAGAAACAAGCGCGTCCATGTCGTTTCAGGGGTATACATTGTTGCTCCGGCCATACGGGAAGAGGGTGTAGCTACGGCTGTTTGGCGGCCAGTAGCGTTACTTCGTATACCAACAACAACAACAACGACGACGACGACGAAAAGGGCGGGCGCGGGAAAATTCTGAGATCAAAAAAGGAAAAGCCTTGATAAGAATTGTGTCGGTGAGTCGAAGCAGAGTTGAGGAGTGGATAGGAGTGTCCGATTTAAAAGGGTTGAGTTTCGTGAGTCCCAGACGCTGATCACACCCCCCTGGTGATAGGGCGATATACGAGACGATCCCAATGCCGCACTGTTGGGTAAGGCGGTTAACCGGATAGTCCCGGGCTGTACGAAGTAGTACGCAGAATTAGGCACTCGGCGCGCCTACGGATAGGGGTTCTCTGGGTTATAGACTGATGGGGCCAACAATTTTGGAGTGGTGCGCCCAAGGAAACCCCTACGCATGATTTTTCTGTGCTTTGTAAAGAGCCAGAGATTTTTCCAGGTCAGGCCGGCCGTCCTGCGACTTCTGGGCGGGTGGGTCAGCCAAGATGACCTGCATCAGACCCCCTGTAGCCAAGTCAACTCAACCGGCCGTTGGGATCTTAGTGATCTCTACAACTACCGGTACCGAGTAACGTGGCGCGGTCCAGACTATATGTTAATAAGGACGGCGATGACGCTGGAGATGTCGGAAGAGCAGAGATAATGAAGCGTCACCATGTGTACAAACGTAACATAGTTGTTAACGTAGGTAGGGGTGTTCTAAATTAGTAAGGCAACTAGGAGTGTACTCACTGTAGTAACTACAAATACAAGACCTCTCATCATTATCATCGACCTCACCTTTAAGTGCGCTGCCCTGCCAACAGCAATCCTATGTTTGTTCGCCCCTTTTCAGGCTGCTACTGCAGCCTACCAGCCTCGGAAGGCGTTGCGCAACGGTCATCTGGCTAGCGGTGAAGAATGGCCAAAAAGAAAAGACTTGCAGAATTGGCCCACTATTTACCAGAGATAGCCATGATTGGCATGGCACTACACATTCAAGATCCTACAGAGAGTGCCGTGTCCCGAGCGAGTCGCCTTAACAGTGGGCCGTTTTGCGCGAAAATGGGACATTATGGGACAACCGGTCCGGCCCTACGGATACATACATGATAGGACGGACCGGGCTGGAAGAAACAAAATGAGAAATCTGGCTCGAAGAATTGGAAACTGCTGATTCATGAAAAGTCTGTCACGGTTCAGCCCTGGCGCCCATCCCCACATCCCCACACCGTTAATGCCGAGCTTCTCAGCTGGGGACACGAAGCCTAAAACGCCTTGGCACGCTAACTAGCATATACATTCGATTCATGGACGTTCAGCTCAGGGTTGTTCTTCGGCAGTGGCCTTTGTTGAGGATCATAAGGCAGGGTCGGGTTACGAATCTTACGATCTACCTCCGGTGCGGCCGAGTCCAGGTCAATGTTGTGTTGGGATAGGTGTTCCGAGTCAAATGACTTCGATTTTCTACATCTAACGTTATCCGCCTCGAAGGTCAGCTCCTCCAGCTCCAATGACACATATTGCCCCATAGTTAGTACTACTTAGTACTACTACTCGTACTACTCAGTATGTGTAGCACAGTCTGCCGCCCTGGGTGTCGATAACGTCCCGGACCGTGACGTCGTCCTCAATGCCGCCCATCAGCAGCTTGTCGTCGAGGCTGACCTCCCGGGAGCCGGGCTCGCCAAAGTGCGACGCCTCGCCGTTGTACTCGGACAGCCGGGCGGGGTCCTGCTGCTGCCAGAGCCACCAGAGACGATCAACCTGCGCGTGGTGCAGAAAGAATAGGGGTTCTAAAGATTTGAAGATTTTAGCTTCTTTGTCAGCATCACCTAGTCTGGTCTGGTCTGTGGACTCCCTATGCAATCGGGATGGAGGCGTGGGGGGAGGGGAAACCGACCGTTGGGAGAGGTGGTTGGGTTCATCTCTCCTCCGAGACAGGCGTGGATGGTGCCGTGAGGGCCTGCCTCGAGCGCCCAGTGGTAGTCGGACCAGTTGCCGGTCGCCTGCACCTCGGCGATGCCGTCCGGGCCGAAGATAGCCGCCATGGTCTCGAAGGCCGCGGGCTCTGACACCTCGGGCAGGTTGCGGAAGAGGCAGTGGTTGAAGTTCACCATGGTCTTGGGGTCGATAGCGAGGTACTCGGGCCGGAGAGCAGCGAACGGGCCCGAGTCGACGCACTGCAGCGTCCGGCCATCTCCGGGGGAGGTCTCGGTTTTGTTGGGGCTTCCGTTGCCGCCGAAGCCGGTCTCGGCCGACATGACCGGGGAAAGGCGAAGCCCTGCCGTGTCAAGAGTCCAGTCCCAGTAGCTGGAGGCTTGCGTGTCAACACGGGTTTTAAGTTTCGCTGAGGGCGAGCAGGGGATCACACATACGTGCCGGGGCCTTCGTAGCCGCACTCGCGCAGCGCGTTTTCGTAGACGACGCCGAAGTACCGGTGCCACGGCAGAAAGGGAGGGCCTCCGTGGACTATTAATTGCACGACATCAGCGTCACCATTAGCGAACCCTCTCACGGGCGTGGATATACTGACTGTACTCGTTGAGCTTGAAGTGCAGATGGGGAAAGTCATCGTACAGAGGCGTGCTGAGGCCCATGCGCGAAGGCTTCGTCTTGAGGCACAGCACAGCTTTGATGTAGCTCTGCTGGTCGGCGGCCGAGAGCTGCCGCCACTCAATCCTCTTCGCGGGGCTCGTGCAGCCCTGGCGAGCCTGGTTGGCAGGAAGGGCGGCGGCCTGGCCGATGGCACCGGCGGCCATCAACATGGAAGACAGCTTCATGATGGATGAGATTGAGAGAGGTGACTGAGAAGTCTGGGGGGGCTTTACAACCGAAAAGGCGTCTGGCTTTTCCCAAGAGAGTGTACGTCAATGAGAGAAGACGATATCGGCTTGGCTATCCAGATGCTGGAAAGACGGGCAAGACACTCTCGTCTTATAGTTTCCGAGCCTCGTCTCCCAGAGTCCTCAGTCATGGCTTTTCGGATGGTTGGCCGGGGTTCCGCTTGGCGGTATACCAGGCTCAATGAACCTTACAAGTCTTTGGATCCTACGTGTAGTCCTTAATAAGTGGGTAAGGGACCGGGACCCGCTCCACAGTCCACACCTCTTGGTAGTTCACAATACGAGGCGACCTTCATGCTCGGCGATCACTACAGCTGATCTCCCGTAGGATGGAGCGATGAGCAAGCCGCCCCAGGCCCAAGCAGGAGCTCGCCAGTCGCTATTATTAGGGTCGACTGAAACTGAAGAAAAATACTGGTATGGGTTGCACCATCTCAGCAATGGCAAATCCCCGTCAGTCAAAGAATACGAGGGGTGGTTGTTTCATATCCCTTCGTCACACGCCGACTCACGCTGCCCGGTTGCTGTGCCGACATCCGCCACACGTGGGCTTCCATCCCGCTCTTCATTCACCGCTTGTACGAATCTCCTTGTGATGAAGCCGGCGGCACTACGGGTACCACGATCGTCACTCCATGTGGTGAACACAACGCTAGCAACATGAACGAGAGACTCTCTCCACTCACTGTGCCTGTGATCTGGCCGACATCCGCGTCATGAACCGCCGCACCTTGGCCCGCATCCCTGATCCCACTAAACATCCCCTGCGCTGCCTCGGCTTGACGTGCATCTACTTCCTCCCAACCTCGAACAACGCGACCAAACCCACTCTGCTGGGCGCCACGTTGCTATCGCCCGGCTCAGCAAAACGTTGGAGAATCTCCCACATTCCCCGCGGCTCACGTAGCCCATTGGGGAAAAGCGAGTTTACGCAGGGTTCCAAACGCCCACTGGCCACTGTTTGATCCAATCCCGGTTATCAACCCGGCCAAAAGACAGCCGGATGACGGTGTAGTGACTGCGGCTTTTATTACCCCGAACACCGCAGGGAGATCCAAGGAGGACATTGCCGGAAGAAAAACGATTGGCGCGTCGGGTGGGAACTAGGAACGTAGCGAAGAGGGCTAGGCAAGGAACGCAAGTTGCCATGGACTAGGTACAAGGCGTTCGTTTCCAGCAGGGCTTTCCCCCGTCGAGTGTGGCTGGCTCGCTGTCAAAACGGGTGTCTTGAAGCAGGCAGGGCGGTTGCTTGGCTGGAATTTGCAATGCTATGGCAGGTGCGCTGCTTGTATTTTGGCGTGAAGAATCTTTTTCTTTGGGGTCAAGAAAAGGCTGCAATCAAGTGGCTGGGTCTTATGGGATGCGTACCTTAGGTAGAGTAGTTGTACGCGGTTGTGGTGTGCTGTAACCATCAGCTTCTCGGTAAGGTGAGTGTCGTGCTCGTCGAGAAAAGGGAGGAGCCGATCCGACGCGTTCGCCGGCTTTGTTTCAAGCAAAGGAACGTGTTCAAACCACTGATCCATAGCGATCTCATTATTGCCATATTCCATCTGTCTATAGGGAGCATGTCGGTGACACCGGCAACCAAGGCGGTCTTATCTACAACATCGAGGCCGGTCAGGAACACCACACCTATTCACACCTGAGTACACTGGTTCCCGCTTGCAGTCGGGTGCTAGACGAGGACATTAAGAACGGTCCCACCTCACCGCACACGCTTCTGTCCTGGACCGCCGCAACGCACGCATCGAGCACTCGCCCTGATTGCGTCGCCATTGGCCCGGCTTAAGACCGGGAGGGGGAGCTCGCCAAACACGCAGACAGGTAGGTAGGCCGTGAAGTCGCGGCGGGGACATGCACGCTTTGCAGCCCGGGCTGCAGCAACCGCACTCACGTCCAAGGCGCCGCAGCTCGGCGGTCGATGTGCTTGTTACTAGGATTTTGTCTGAATCTCTTTTGGATGGAACGCCGTGGGCGGGATACGAAGCTTAAACACAGCGTAGTTAGAGCTGAGAGGAAAACGGAGAAGAAACTAGTATTGATGCAGTAAGCCTGTTATGCTGGCGGCATGTATCGTAGAGTCCCCATTGCACTTGGGCAGCGCACGTACTACTAGTAGGTACATGTATGTACGTTCACAGAACCGGCTGGGACGGACGCCATGCCTAACAACCCTGGCTCGTAGTGCCTTTCCAAAAATAGGTTATCTTATCTCGACTTCTGTGTTTCATGTTGTCCCTTAGCTCCGTTCCCCCCTTTTCGATCATCCCCCATCATGCTAAACTTATCTCCTATCTGACCGCTTATTACAGGTATGTAGGTACCTTATTAGACCGTTGCCTTCCGGACCAGCTCGGCAAAGTTGGCAATCTGGGCAGCCTTCAGGTTGACCGAGAAGCGCTGGTGCGAGTTGTGAATGCTGAAGCGGCTGGCATTGTTCGCCGGCTGCGTCGGCGGAGCGGCCGACTGCGCGTAGGCGAGCGTCACGTTGCCGGCGGGGTTGAGCTTTGTGCTGCCCCATGCGCTGACGCCCTGGGCAAGGACGCTCAGTGTCCAGTGCGTGCTGTTGGCCGTCGAGCCGGAGAGAGTGGTGTAGGTGGCACCGGTGTAAGGAGTGGGATACGTGCGGGAGCTTGTTTCGTTTATTTTTCAGGTTAATCTTTTCCGACGGCTGGATACGAATGGCCGCAACTCACCTCGCGCTCCGGCTCGACACGACGGTCTTGTCTCCATTGGCCCATGCCACTGTCAAGGGGTTGTTGACCATGACGCCCGCCCAAGCAACACCTGCCCAGCCTACGGTCTTGGGAGCCTGGATCTGCAGTAGCACATCAAAGTTCCCTACCGTTGCGTTGTCGGGAATGGCGATGCGGATGGCGATCTGCTCCGGACTCACGTACTCGGAGTAGCATATCGTCGTCGAGGCATCGCAATACTTTGCGGGAGCGGGCGGTTCACCCTGGGGCACCGGGCTGCCGAGACCAATACTCCCAAGGGTGAGCGCCACTACGGCGAAGTGGAGAGGGCCCATTGTCTGAAGAAACCTGAGGATTGGAGTCAAGGGAAACAGTCGATGAGTGGACCACGTACGGGTGGCCTAGCCGACGCAGCAGGCCATACTCGAGGGGGTCGGGGGATTTTGTGAGCCAATTTATAAACAATCCCCTTGCTTTATCCGGTTTGCTTGCTGCCGGCACTGAGTCTGGGACGGCTGAAAGCAGACGCATGGCCGTGGAAATTCGTAATTGAGCGTCTGTGAGTGGTTGTTGGCAAAACTCCAGGTTAATATATTGCAGATTTGGGCCCTGCAAGCCCCTTGCTCTTAATATAGTTTCCCTACCGAATACTACCGAGTCAAAAGGGCCGCTCGAAGAATTGCCGTATCTCCCAGGATCTCCCAGGTGGTAGTAGAGATACGCGGAATTCTCCCGCCTCCATAATAAGCGATGCCTCGCTGTGTCTGATTTAGGTAGGTTCGGGTTTAACTTCTGCCGGTAATGGCTAATAACTGCGACAATGTGATTGAACGCTATAGAGGGTTCAAGGATGGGGAGTCGGCGTGCAAGACTGGATACATCACGAAAGTGGCACCCTCGCCCTCCCAGCAACATTTCTCGAGCCAGGACAGTCGGACGCCGTTACGGCATCATACCTAGCTAGCAGAGCACCAGATTCTTCCGGTGAGGCCACTGCAGCTTGGCGAGCAAGGGAAGTCCAATTGAACTGCTGGGATCGGTGTCGGGCACCCAAACGACTGACTGACAGTGGATAAGAACAAGCAGAGCGGCACGGGACAGGTAGTGCAAAGCTCGCGCGTCTCTGACATCTGTCACGGTTGGACAGGCAGCAGCGGTGTGAGTCGTGAGAACGCTGTTGGTGATGGCGGCACTGGTGGATATAGCTCTATCGGGGCTGCTCAGACCGTGCGGAACTACTTCCGGTGTTTCGTTTCCGGATGGAACCTAAAGAACCCCAAAACTATGATCCCAAAAGATCTCACGGACTCCATCAAAAACGTAGGCACTTTGCCGGTCCAGAGGTTCCCGGCTTCGCCGCTAACAAGACAAGACAGTATATATCCTGGATCCATTGCTGAAGGAGGGTCTTGTCGCGAACGCCACTCGAGAACCGACCGATTTTTTGATGTCATTTGACCACCTGTGCAAAAAAAAGCGCTAAGTTTGCCGAAATCGAAAGGATTCTCAAGACGGCCATAGCAGACGGTTCCGGGCCCGCCGATGAGTTCGGCTACCCGCCTGACGACAAGACATGGGAGGGGATCAAGGAGCCGATCAAGAAATACGTTGTACTGTTTTGCATATAAAGGTTCCCTGTCTGCTCAGAAGGGGCTAGAACTGGTAGTTATAAGGACAAGAAACCGCCCTCTTTGGACAACAACGAAGACAAGAAGCTGTCGTTGTTGCAGGGAAGCAGAGAACGTAAATCTGGACTTGGTAGTTCACTTTCTTTTTGGATCGAATTGCTGACTCAGCAGAGCTTGGGTTATATGTTGGAAGACGTTTTCTGAGAATTAAAACGGTGGTAGGGAACGCGTATGCGCTTAGTTTTCACTATTCCGTTCACCGGCCTCCGTTTGCTATCTATACTTGGGTGTGATCCTAACATCGCCTTTAACTACAAGTTCCACTAACGCGTTGTAAATCTTATTCTTAGCCAACCAAACGCGTTTGCGGCCCTGCGGTATAGCAGCTAATCGAGCTCTGCCATCGGGCGCAATCCCGCCCTGGGACGAAACCAGGCAGTCCTGCCTCCGAAAGGGTTCGCCGGTCGAAGGTAGTCTGGTCGGGCTGTAGGTCTCGGTGAAGCCAAAAGGTTCATAACAATGCAAGTCGCAATGTCTGCACAGTAGATAAGGGCTACTGTTTGAATTGCTCACTGAGGAAGCTAGCTATCCGAATGAGTGACAGAATGGTAGAACTATATACAGCTTCCTCCCACAGGTATCCTCGTACCTGAATCTTCCTGGATCGATGGTATCGATCATCGATCCATTGATCTGTCCCGGGCTCGACTGGATCGATCCTCGATCCCGTCGATCCTGTTCTTATTAGTCCGTCCCGGGTTCTGAATGATTGGACGCGGGCCCCGCCCGCGGACCATGCACGTCGGCCCCTATTAGCCTCTGCAGGTTAATTCATGACACCTTGCCCTATATATAAGTAGGGACGGCGACCGTCTTACTCTTAATTAAGATAGTACCATTAGGAGCCCGGAGATTATAAGGCCTATATTATTATCCGACTCTAGGAGGATAGCTATTAGGGGTCTAAGGTAGAGAGTCGTATCGCTAGCGAGCATAATAGTACCTAACCCGAGATTAGAAAAGATATCAATAGCTTTAAAGGGCGCCCCGTTAATAACCTTTAACCTGACGAACTAGTTCTGTATTACTACTACCGGCATCCCTTATATATAGAAGAATAGACATAGGGTTAGTGTGACAATGGAACGCACTGACCATAATGATGATATCATTTGTATAACGTATCTTATCAGCGAGCGCCGCATATCACCGAGCGCCGCACCTTTCTACACTATATGTCACCTCTGCACTTAACACCAATTTTTTCATCAACTCAATATGCCTCCTACTTCAAATGAAGCCAGGGTAATCTTAGCCATTGAGGCTATTCAGAAGAACCCGGAACTAAATATACGCGCCGCAGCAAAGATCTATAACGTTGCCGACTGAACTATCCGCCGTCAACTTGCCGGCCGTATTGCAAGATGCGATCTTCTAGCCAACTCGCGTAAGCTCACCGATCTAGAAGAGAAGGCAATAGTACAGTATGTAATTGACCTCTCTATACGCGTATTCCCACCTAGATTGAGTGGTATAGAAGATATGGCCAACCATCTGCTACGCGAACGCGATGCGCCGCCTGTTGGCAAGCTCTAGGCGCATCGGTTTGTCAAACGCCAGCTAGAGCTCCGAACGCATTATACGTATAGATACAACTACCAGAGGGCGAAATATAAGGATCCAAAAGTCATTGGCAAGTGGTTTGCCCTTGTATAGAATGTCAAGGCCAAGTATAGTATTGTAGATAACAATATCTATAACTTCGACAAGGCTAGGTTTATAATAGGTATTATCTTTATAGGCATAGTGGTTATAACCTCAGATGGTTATAGCAAGGCAAGGCTGGCCTAGCCTGGCAACTGTAAATGGGCAATGGTAATCTAGGGAGTTAATGCCCTTGGCTAGGCTAGCTCTCTATTTATTATCTTGGCCGTACAATACTACCTCGCTAACTAGTATACTAAGTATAACCTCCCAGCCGACTGGTGTATTATAACCACCGACAATAGCTAGACTACCAATAAAGTAGGCCTAGATTGGATCAAGCACTTTGACTTCTATATAGCACCTTGTATAAAAGGCAAATACCAGTTGTTAATCCTCGATAGCTATAAAAGCCACCACTCGACCGAATTCGAGCTCTATTGCTAGCAGAACAACATTATTACACTCTATATACCTCCACATTTGTTCTACCTCCTCTAGCCACTTGATGCTAGCTGCTTTAGGCCATTGAAGCAGGTATACAGTCGCCAGATCGAGGACTTAATGCGTATATATATCAACTATATAAGCAAGCTCGAGTTCTTTTACACCTTTCGTAAGGCCTTCTTTGCCTCTATCACCGAGAGGAATATCCAGGGCGGCTTTATAGGAGCTGGCCTTATGCCGTACGATCTAGAGAGGGTGCTTTCCAAGCTGGATATAAAGCTTCGTACACCAATACCCCCAACCTCCCGGCCTAGCACTATACAACCTTAGGTGTTCCAGACACTATACAACCCTCGGGAAGCCGAATCGCAGTCAACGCTCATTAAGACTCGCATTGCCAACGATCAAAATAGCTCCCCAACTTCGATGTTGGCTGCTATAGACCAGCTTGCTAAAACTATAACGGCTGTAATGCACCAGGTGGCTGTGACGAAACCACAGGCAGTCCTGCCTCTGAAAGGGTTCGCCGGTCGAAGGTATCTGCTGGTCGGACTGTAGGTCTCGGTGAAGCCAAAAGGTTCACAACAATGCAAGTCGCAATGTCTGCACAGTAATGTAGGGCTACTTTACTGCTTGTAATTGCTCACTGAGGAAGCTAGCTATCTGAATGAGAGGCAGAATGGTAGAACTATATACAGCTTCCTCCCCTAGGTATCCCGTACCTAGATCTCTGGAACATTTGGAACAATTGTCGTTCCCATTGTTCCATCTGGAACAACGTTCCTTGGCGTTGTTCCCCAGGAACAATCGTTCTTGGCATTGTTCCTGATTTCCCTAATCCTCATTGGTTCCTTCTTCCTCGTAATGATTGGGTACGGGCGCCGCCCGTTGACCATGCAGGTCGGCCCCCACCGGCCTCTGCAGGTTAGTTCATGACACGATGCCCCCTCTCCAGGGCTGTTCGTCCCGAAAGCCCAAGTCCGTTTCAAATAGTGCCAACATCCCACGTTGCAGGTATGTCATGTTGTTCCTCCTTCTTCTTCCTTAAGAAATGCTGACAAGATGTCTGGTCGCGTGAAGAAAACGAAATCGAGAGCGAAACCGGAATCCAAAGTCAAACTTGCCGAACGCAGCGACCTTTTATCCATCATTCTTCGTACTGCGACCATGGCGAAGAGTCCTTGCTCATACTGCAAGGCTCGCGGCCTTGATTGCAAGTCTTCCGCCGACGCATCCTCCGCCTGCTACGAGTGCGTTCGCAGTCATCAGTCTTTCTGCGATGCGCAAGGCGTTACTGTACAGCAACTCCAGCGCATCGTTTCCCAACATGATAAGTTGGAATCCGAGATGGAAAAGGCGGAGGCCGAGCGCGCGGCCCTTGATGCAAAGATCAATCGCCTGCGTCTTCAGAAACGAATGTGGTTTGAGAAGATGACGCGGGCCATCTCTCGTGGTATCGATACCGTGGAAGAACTGGAGCGGGTAGAGCGTGAGGAAGCGGAGGCGCTGGCAGCGGCGGAGTCGGCTTCTGCCCCTCCTACTTCGTCAACCCCTCCTCGATTGTCGCCAAGCTTTATGCCGTTGTGGGACTCGGTATATCCTAACGTTTCCTTGGAGCCTTCTCTGATGGTGGATTTTGGGTTGGTTGGCGGTGGTCCGTCGTTCTTATCCGAGCAGGGTTCCTCTGGTGAAACGACGTCTTCCCAAGGTGGCGGTGGTTCTTGATGGTGGCCAGGTCTTGGTTGTGCCTGCCGTGCGTGTCGTGTTATAGTGTGGCTGCCTGCAGCCGTTCTTTTCCTTCCTGGGGTTCTTACCCCGATTCTTGTTGCCTGTTTCCCGACAAATGAAATGGCTCAGTGGTGCAGCTTGGTTATCACACCCGAGTGAATGCTTCTGGGAGACTATGGGTTCGAATCCCATCTGGGCTTCTTCTCCACATGGGTCGCGTTACCGCGGGGTGACGCGACCCGGCCGGAGATTTTTGTGCTTCCCTCCTGGTCGGTCTGGGTTCTGTCGGTGGAACTCCTTTAGTTTTTCCGTGCAGTTGAGGTGTTCTGCTGGTTCCCATGAATTGTCTTCTGGTCCGAAGTCGAGCCATTTGATTAGGTACTCTAGCCTTCCGTTGGCTATTCGCGAGTCCAAGATTTCCTCAACGTCCCATTCTTCTTCTTCGTCCTCGGCTTCGATGTCCTTTGCAACCCGTGCGTTCCTGGGTGCTGGTTCGAGGAGCGAGATATGGAAGACGTTGGTGCGTAGCTTCATCGTTGATGGTAGCGAAAGTCGATAGTTGGATCTCGAGATTCTTGCGTCGATTTTGAATGGTCCAATCTTTCTGAAGTCGAGCTTCTGGCTTGGCCGTTTCGTTCTCAAATTCCGGGAAATGAGGTAGACCATGTCTCCTCTCTCAAGGCGAGGTCCCTCGAGCCGATGTTTGTCGTAGTACTCCTTCATCCTGAGTCTGACGAACTCGAGTTCTTCTTTTAGCATTGCATGCAGTGCATGCATCTTCTCCGCCTTGATTTTTGCCCTGGGTACCGTGACATCTGGTCCCTGGCGTAAATCTGCTTCGTAACCAAAGTTCGCGAAGAACGGAGTGACCTTTGTTGTCTCCGTTGGCGTTGTATTGTATGCAAGCTGTGCCGCTGGCAATAGATCAACCCAGTCGTCTTGCTGGAAGTTGACGAACGTCCTGAGATATTGTTCGACGATCTGGTTGAGCCTTTCTGTCTGGCCATCTGTCTGCGGGTGGTATGCTGTTGAAAGCTTGCTTTTCGTGCCCAAACGCTTCATAAGCGCTTGCCAGAACTTTGATGCGAATTTGGTGTCTCGGTCTGTGATCCATTCTTCCGGCCACCCATGAACTGCTGCGATGTGCCGATAGATCGTATCCGCAAGTTGCTCTGCTGACCATGATTCTTTGTATGGGAAGAAGTAGCTCCACTTGGTGAGTCGATCAACCACAGTGAGGATGCTG